GGTTGTGTATAGTTTCCAGCCTTGGGTTTCACCAAGGGTTTTTGTAACGTGGTAAAGATATCTTTACTTATTTTAATGAAGATTCTGCCTAATGCCCAAATTGTCCCATAAGTTTAGGTTGCAACCGACCGACAACGTGCTGTTGTCTCCAAATTGTGACTTATCACAACTCCTAGTAAATCGTGGGTCAGTACTAACCGTGGAGTCCAAACAATACGGTTAGTGTTGCTTATGCAAAGATACCACCTACTTTGAAATAGTAATAGTCTGGAAGGTGGCCAAGATTGACCAGATTAAGTTTTGACACAAGTTCATCAAATTCGACTGCAGTTTTGAGTCGTGAAGGGAGGTGTAGACTATCTGAGTGGGATCCCTAAAGCGATAAGAATCAGTGGTTAGGGAAATTTGGTGACATAACTGAAAATTAATCACGATGGCACAGATGTATCAACACCCTGACATCTATGGAAGTTTGGATTTTTATTAACTATGTGATTCTCTCGTCACAGTTTTATCTATCTTAATACTCCTCTTTATGTCTACTTTGCATCCTGCTACAAAGAATGAAAACTAAAACCAAGGCACATCTGTGCAATGTTTCACGTTGATTTGATCTTTCATCTTTTGTATCATCTGGACTACAGTCGGTGGATGCGAAGGCGGAAATTACAGATAAGCACTGACTAGTGTCGTGGGTTTTTCCACTTCTTACAGATTATTTCAATCAGGTAACTCTTAGTTGGCTGTAGACTAGTAATCAGTCAAGAAGCGAGCTTTCTGCTTGACAACTGGGTGCTATACCTACACTGAGTCCGTTACACCCAGCCGTTGAATCTCTAGACACTCGTAAAGTGGATTTTTTAGTTTTAGTACATTAGCCAGGTGAGATCGAAAGAATAATCACAGCTGAATCCTGTATGCTTGTCTCAAAAATACAGCGTACTTCCATGACTGGAGATTCCAAAGTTTAGGCAAGTAAGTCCTGTTTCCCGCCTTAGCGTACCATCGAAATTTTTAATGTAAAATTAGCTGCGTGGCCTAGGAAGATTGGGATTGGTGTTTTACTGTCTCGAGTGGTTAACGATAGCCGTATGATGGTTAAACATTGGTATTGGAAAATGAAGGCATGGAAGGAGACTAAGGTAAGTTGTGGTTAGTCAGGTTTTATGCTGCAGGAAGCGTGTGCGATGTAGATACTTCTAGGCTGCGTACACTATTGAGGTAGTTTCTGCAATTACCTGAAAGAGAATAATCGTTAGTTTCACGAAGTCGCACAGCTCATGGAACATCCACTTGAGGCCGGTCACACATGGCCTGTTTCGCAAGCTGGAGATTTAACTCTGTTTTCAATCCAGCTAGAAAATCCATAACGCCGCACGGCAGGGAAGAGTGTGACATTTCGAGGCTCGATTTTTCCTAACTGTGCTTTGTGCAGGAAAGGCAACATAGGCATAGACTGCTGGTTACCCTCTGAAACGACTTACTGTTATCAATCCTCGTCCAGCTAGCATTACAGCTTCGTCTTCCGATCCCCATCATACCTTAGCTATTTACACTATTACGATAATTGCTTTTCGTCTTGCCATTGCCCATCAGATTTTTCCGGTATGGTAAGACCTCAAGAAACAAATATTTCCATGAGTAAAGTTGGTTGAATCATTGTAATATAAAAACCTGTCCATCACTTCAGGGTTACATATACCAATCGGGCTCAAATAAATTCAAAAATTTGTGTTCCATTTCTGAGTATTTGAACTGACGTCGTCCCTACAAAACGAAATTACGGAAGAAACAACCAAGCACACCTAAAGCCATCAGGACAAGCTACCAAGTCACTTGTAGAACAATTTTTATAGCTCACTTATTTCTGAAGTTTTTGTGGATGGCATCCAGAGTAGTGATGAAAGCTTCACAATTAAACTATCCAGATTAGAAGACATAACACCGAAATCACTTTCCTGACCTACAAATATTTCACATCGTTTCAAAAGTCTATGAAAGTCTAACTCTTCTCATTGTTGGGCAACGGTAGAACTTTTCAAAGAGGTAGGCTTTCACAAGGTTTATAGTCAACTTGTCTCAATAGCCTCTAACCGAAACTGAAGAGCTCCGGAGTAGCATCAGTTATAATGCAGAAGATCCTTCGCGACTAAAATTCTTCCCTTCCTTGCTGTCATTGGTAAAAACATTTGAACCAAACAATGAGACCCAACAAGAAATGTGACAAATAGTCGTGCTTCTGATCAGACGGAAGGGAAACTATGCTCAGCTAAACAGTGGAAAACAAAGAGCTCGTCAGCGCCTGAGGAATAAAAAGGATATCGTTTTAGTTCCAGCTGATAAAAGGTACACCACATTAGTCATGTGTAAAGATGACTACATGAAGGTAGATGACTTGCCCATGGACGGGAATGAACAACTTGTTGGGGCAAGCCCTAATCGAAAGTTCAACTGTTAGGTCACCAAGACATTAAGCAAGCTCGTCAAAGCTAGAGGAATTGCATGACAAAACCGATGGTGAATGAAATCCGATAAACCTGTTCTTCCACGTTTCTATGCTAGACTCACGAGCTGAACATCTCTCTATGTTCACTCGTTTCACTTCCGAGTACTCCAGCATATTATCTCAAAGAAACTCTTAGGAAGAATGAGGCATTTTTAAGAATTATGCGATTGCTCTATCAATTCTCCGACAATTTTTGGAGATCAAGAGTGTTCGCACTGATATTAAATACCAAGTAAGAAATCTGAGCCAATGGAAAAGGCATCTTAACAATATTTATGGAATTCCATGTCAAAGAACCGACAACTATGATCGTTTTTTGCAACTTTGTTCCGAAAACCACTTGTTTCTGGCCAGCACTAACTTTAGGTGTAAAGAGAGAGTCTCACGTGGTGTCCGCCGACTTCAAACCAACGATGGACACCGATAGATCATATTGCTATAAGCCATCGTTGGAAAGGGTCGGTGGAGGATTGCCGCTCTTTTTGGAGTACCTGTATGGACTCCAATCACGTGTTAGTACAGGCTTGTGTGTGTCTACGTCTTACTGGTCGCAGGAAACAAGTGATAGTAAAGCCTATCTATGGTAGATTGGGAGATGAGAACGCCAAGTACGTATTTAGAGAGGAGTTAGCCAAGCATTTATCTGGACGTGACAGCATTGCTGATGCTGAGGAAACCTAGTGTGATATTAAGTCTGCTGTAGAAACAGCAGTAAAGACAGTTGGTAACCTACACCTGAAGGTCAGCGAACGTCACTAGGTTTCCGCAACGGCATCCTAACTGATTGATGCGAGAAGACCGATTTCAGCTAGCTCTAGCCATGACAAAGCGAAAGCAACTTAAAAGTAAATTTACCACGAGTCTTCCCATTGACCGCCAGCAGTGGTGGGTGGCGAAAGCTTGCGAGAGAGATGGAGAAGGCATCAGAGTTGAGTAACACTTGGCAACTACTTAGGCTTATTAAGGATTCTAGCAAGAGGAAAATGATGGTGAGTGAAACCATCACGGAAAAAGATGAGACGCTGATAACCTCGCAAGACAGGCGGCTAGAATGTTGGACAGAACACTTTGAAACACAGTTCAACTGGCTCTCAGCAACGCTTCAGTAGCCTAACACCTATCATGAACCTGAACGGGGCTTAGATGTTGGTCCTTCAATTCTCTTTGGAGTCGAAAAAACTGTATCGACCTTGAAACGATGCAAAGCGGCAGGACCTGACAGTTCGCAACCTGAAGTTTTCAAGGATGGAAGTAAGAAATTGCTGATTAGATTGATGGAGGTTCTAGGCAATGTATGGAAATCAGGCGTGGTGACGTCAGACTACTGTGCTTCACTGATCATCCTAGTCTATAAGAAGGGGAAGCAATCTTCTTGTGACAACCATAGGGGAATCCGTTCGATTAATATTATATGAAAGTTCCTAAGGTCCATAGTTATCCAGCGCCCAACTGGAGCTTCACTCATGAACAGCAAACTTGATAAAATCAGGCAGGTTTCAGACAGTGAAGTGACATTGAAGGTTTTTCTCAACATCGTTATTCTATTATACTTAGCATCCTAATAGCCAGTCGAATATTTCTCTATAAATAATTGCATATTTCCTCCTTAAGATATCAAGTCGAGTTGGTTCTTATTGTTCCACATCACAGTGTAGAAGTTACCTGGTTATCACATTCTTCTGAAAGCTAATAATAAACGGACTTAAATATTCATACCAACTTCCTATCACTGTGGAGAAAAATCTCATTTTGATCTCCAGATTCAATGGAAATACAGCAGATGAGGTACTTAGATGCAGACCAATGAGGGCTTTCACAAGAACGTTCTATGCACCCACTATGCAAATCACTTATGCTAGTCGTGCAATGGTGAACACGTGTGCGAAGGACAGTGTCACTACTAACCACTTCAATATGCATATATCAATTCACCGGCTCCTGTGAAGCTAGACACAGGCCATATACAGAGGCAAACTGTCCAACATCAACACCAACACCTTCCAGCATGTCTCAGTAAAGGTTAGCGTAGACTAGTCAACAGCTCCAGATTACTAAACTAGGTTGATAGCCAACACAGTTCCAGGAGATTCGTTTGCACTAGTCTAAAAAGTGCAACGTAACCTTTAGAAGGGTGTGACGAAATGTTTACTTCGCATTGTTGAAGCTTTGGAAGCGCAACAATCGCAACTGAAATTGCCATTGTCTGTTTTTATTCACTTCTTAATGCTTAGATTTCCCTTATTCTTTTAAAGACTTATCAGTTTTTCTCTTTGTGCCAGATAATTTCATGGTATCAAATTGAGTAGTTAAATGGGTTCTAATCCTAAAGATATGTGTATACTTCCACCGAGATTCACTTATTAGTGATTTTCTTTCGTTTTCTTTCTTTAGGTTCACTTTGACGCTAAAACTCAGGTAGTTATAGTTCGTATGATTGAACAGTAACGTAAACACTTGAAGAACTTTGATACAACTATCATTCACATATTGACAAATGTCAGCCAATGCTACAGCTCCAAACCAGGTAAGTAAGCGTACTGCTCATACTGGTAATGACTAAAATTTAAAGCATATCCCTAAAAAGAAGACTAATTTTAATGTTTCAACTGTGTTTTACTTTCGAGAATAGAATATGATTGTTGTTTAACTCTGCGATATATCATCTTGTCATATGCACCCAGGATGACTGTGGACGCTTACCGTAAAGGAACTTTCATTTCTATATGAAATAAACACAAACAGATCAATGTAGAACCTGGCACAGAAGTACGTCTAGTCAAATCGTTAGACTTCATGATAATATATAAAGAAGCGGAGAGAAAAGAACCATATTGAAGTAGAGAGAAAGCGAGGGAGTAATTTAGGGAAATCTTAGGCTGACAAGGATTCAAGACATCTGTGTTACTGTAATTGACTCTGAGACATCACCAAGTCTCGAGGACCCCAGCCAAACAGCCTACAGGGTTCAGACCAAAAAAACCCTATGTGCTGGTTTCACACCTTGATCTCACCCCCGTAACCTTCTCTCAACTAACTCCTATTTCTGTTAAAATTGCATGTCAAGGTAGGTTGTGCCTCAGCATGCATAACACATCCTGAAGCCACTTTAGTCAGTGAAGATTCATAACAATATGGACTGACTTATCTGCCTTAATTCATTCTCTATGCCCAATTTGAATATTACTCACAAGGGAAGTGTTCATATGTCACTTAAATTGTGGTAAAATTTGTTCTCTGTGACTTTCAATGGCTTGAATGATAGCAAGGCATTCACGATTAATAATACCAAAATACTGTGTCCTTTGAATATTCAAGAGATGTGTCCAGTAATCATGCTGTGTAAAGTAATGTGAAATACACGCACATACATTTCACCATTCAGCTGTGCGTATCTTGATGTTCTATACATGTGTCTAGATCTTCTTCTCACAGTTATCAATTATTTGTCCTGTCCTTCTTAGCAAACGGATTCCATGAAACTATCATCATGGCAGTATGTGTAAAAGTTTGTTCATTGATGAACCTAATGTGAATGGAACGTCGAGATAGGAGTCTCAACACTGAAAGAAGTTCAGAAAGCTGTAAGTAACCTGAAACGAGGAAGAAAAGCGGAGCCAAATGGATTAGTTTTAGGCATATTTAAGACATGATAGGGTTTTTACTCAAGTTAATTGAAGTGTTAACTAGTGTTTATTATTATTTGTCCCTTGGGTCCCTAGTGAAGCATAGGGCTTCAGTAGCACGTCTTTATTCCACTATGTTCTCTGAAGTCTTTTGAACCTGGCTCCACGTCTGTCCAGAAGGTTTCATTTCTTCCTCATACGATCTCCTCCATGTCACCCTTGAACGCCCAACTCGTTGTTTCCCCTTTCGTTTCCACTCGAGGGCTTGGCGCGTGATGTGTCCCCATTCGGTCTTCTCAGTGTATGCCCAATCCATCTCCACTTTATTCTTCTGCATATTTGTTGGGTGATAGATTCTTGGTTGGTTCGTTGCCAGGTCACAATTCCTTGTTGCTTATTCCTATTGTTCCGGTCATCTGATCTTCAGTATCGAGTGAGCGTGGGTGGCAGCTGTTGATGATGAATATCTGTAGTTTGTTGGAAATGCTTTTTGTAACGCATTAAGTCTCTCAACAATCACATAGAAGCACTGAATTGACTGACATTAGTGTTGAAAATCCGCATCTTGTTCTTTATATTGAGTGCAGTAGGTTTTAAACGATGCTGCCTAGGTAGATGAAAGAGGCTACCTCTTTTAGGTTTCTCCCGTTGATGGTGATTGATGCTTGTTGCTGTTGGTTAGGTGTCTTCATAACCTCTGTCTTCTCTACATTCACTTGAAGTCCCGTCCTCGCTGCGTCTTCTGTCTACTTGTTAGTTTTCACCTGTAGATCTTAGAGTTTGTGCCACAAGACATTAGACATAAAGCATCATCGGCGAAACCCAAATCTTCTAGGGTCTTTTCATCGGTCAAACAGCGTATTCCCCTCTTCTCGCTCCTCACGGTTTGTTGCATTATCCAGTCCACTGGACCACAACCAGGGAGACGACCGGTCTTGTCTTACTCCTGTCTTCACTTCAAAGGCATTACTGAGCTTTCCATTGTGAATTACTTGGCATGTGGCGTCGTTATATAGCTGTTGAATAAGGTTGATAAAGGTTTGTAGTACTGAAACCATAGTGTTGAAGCAGTTTCTAAGTTACTTCTGGGTCGACGCTGTAGAATGCCTTTTCAAAATCGTTGAAGTTGAGGTAGAGGTTAACTAGTGCATGGGAGTTAAATATGGTCTACCCTAACTGGTCTCAATCACTGATTATTCAGGTCTTAAAGAAAGACGGGAAGTCCTCCTGTGATAACCACAGACGAATCAACCTGATGAACATAGTGTCTGAGATTCTAGGTTCTGTAATCATTAGACGTCTAAATAGAACTGGGAAACGGCAAAAGCGAGAAAAGCAGGAAGGCTTCAGACCTGGCGGTGGGTGTATTGACCAGAAATCCATACTGTGCCAGATTCTGGGACACGGGCACACTTACCGACGCCCGACAATAGCTGTATTTCTCGACCTGAAGATAGCGTTTGACTCCGTCTTTTAGCAGTGCCACTCACTGAAAGGGGTACCGAAAAAGTACATCGTTCTGTTTAAGTCTCTTTTACTCGAACATGTGAGCGTGTTAGGTCCTATAGTGGGATATCATGTCACGTCGAGTGTATTTTGAGTGGTGTCCGTCAAGGATATCCACTCTCTCCATTCTTATTCAATTTTATCTTATGGAGGTCTCCTCATCATATGACTGCATAGACATTGACCTAATCACAGGAGAATTTTTGGTAGACCTAGAATATGCAGATGACATAGTCCTGTTAGATGGGGACGTTGACAAGATGCAGAGTCTTTTGGACAATTTGAGTGGCAATTTGAGAACGCTTGGGATGCGTTTCTCGCTGCTCAAATGCAAATTGTTGCTCTAGGACTGGTCTTCAGCGGCGAAGCAGCTGAATGCGTTGAACACTTCACTTATCTAGAAAGTCGGATCAACCCTGGTGCTTCAGGACCAATGAAATCTCTGCATGGATACAAAGGGCTCGATTGGCTTTCGTCAAATTACTCCATCTATGGTGCAGCCGTGATACCTAATTGTGCTGCAGTTCGCTCTGTTCTTCTCTGTGGCTGACTTTGCAAAACACATGAGGAAATGACTCGTGAGGAGCAGGTGGGCTTTCGTTCAGGTTGTGGATGCACTAATCACGTGTTTACCCTCCATCAAGATGCTTGAACATTGCCACACGCATTGCAGGCTGAAGATCGTTTATTGACATAAGGGCTCCCTTTGACTTGTTGGACAGAGCTGTAATCTGGAAGTGTCTGTTAAGAGGAGAAGGAGCGTGGTTGGGAAATTTATTAACATCTTGAAAGCCCTATATAACAGCACATCCGCTAAACTGAGGGTATTCAGCCACTTGTCTCCATTGTTCTAAAGTAGCAGTGTTGTTAAACAGGGTTGCCTGACTTCTCGATTCCTCTTTTCCATCGATGACATTCTTGAGAAGACTCTGCAAGAGATGCATGATAGTGGTGTAGATCTACTACCCGAAGAACGGCTATTCTACCTTGAATATGCGGACGATATCGTCTTACTCCGTGATAACACACAGACAACTCAAATCGCAGTTAATCAGTTGACGATTAGTGTTCGTAAGTGTGGTATTTGCCTTGCAACACGGAAGTGCAAAATACTTTTGCAAGATTGGCAGCAGCCTGTGCCTGCGCTCACCCTTGGTAGTGAGCCGTTGGATATCGAAAGCCGGAGTGACGTACGCCAATCTAAGTCACCTTTGGGGCTGTCACGACATTAACTTGGTCATCGTGTGTACAACGCTTCGGTGCGAGCAGTTCTGCTCTACTCTTATGAAACCTGGCCTCTCCGAGCTGAGGATGTGGGACGACTCTATGTGTTCTACCATCGTCGCCTGTATCCGGTGGTAACACCCTGGGACTGGATTGAAGCAGCGGAGGGGTGTTCAATGTATGACGTGGTGCCGTGGAATGAAAGATAGTTGTATCGGGTTAGCATCTGTTGGTGCATCACGACTCTCTGGGTGGGGTCCACAAGATCATGCAACTCAGTGACGTGAGACATTATCAGATATGACTGAGAATGGAAACGAGTGGTGGTCCTGCTGTAGCTTCCTTCTATATTCTGCTACTGAAAAGTAGTGAATGTTTTGTTTTGAATGTATCTTACTGCACTGCCCTTCTAATCGTTCTATTCTTATTTTTTTTTCATTTTATCCACTTCCTTTCTCCTTATGTCTTCAAAATATTGTTACATTATTTGGTATAGCGCATTTCTTGGTGTCCATGCTGTACCATGTTTGTGTTATGATAGTAATAATAATAATAAACTATAGCTATGATACATAGCCATTAATGGTAAAGGACATGGGAAGACTTTTGGTGTTTGACTACCGTTGCCTTCGCAGCATAGTTAGTGTGTCGTTGTGTCACTGAGTGAGTAACGCAGAAGTTAGGTGTGGAGTTTTAAGAATGAAAGTAAAGTCAGTTGATAAGGTCGGGAAAATTCATCGACTGAAATGGCTGGGACAAATGTCACGCATCCCTCGTCGCGCAAAGTTAGCTGAAGTAGGTTCAGAGTGGGAAGAGGCTTGGAGTGGTCAGACTAAAACACTGGATCACTGCATGAAGTCGTTGGTCCATGTAAGGGAATGTAGAATCTCCGACTGAAGTCCATGTGATGACAGAAACCAGCGGTTAGAGATCTTGGTTAATGTGGCTTAGAATCGATGTAAGTGGCGGAGATGTATCCATACACATTATCTTCATCTTAACCGCTTTACTGAATTCAGTATTTTCTCATTTCTCATTCCTCTCTTTCATTACTTTTGATCTGTTCTTTTCTATTTCGTTACCTTTCATCTTATTACTTCGTTGTTTAATGTTCTGATATGAGGCATAGCTACTTAGATCGTTACACAGTGATACCTGGTCCTTATTTCGATGTTGTTGAGTGATGACAACAAACCTGATGTGAATCAGTATTCGCCTAGTTCAAATTATGCGCTTTCTGCGGGTAGTAGTGAAACATCGGATTGCAATTCAGGGATTTATTTATATCGCAATTTTTCAGCTGGCATATATCTAGCGAAAGTATGCTCTTATAGGATTTTAAAGCTATACCATCTTGAATATCTTTTAGGACATTCATTCATTATCTTCCACTTTTGAATTATATTACTAACTACAAGTAAGTAGTATAATTTGACACCGTTAAACTGTGTGACTACCCATGGACGATAAATAGATGTATGAGCTCTCAGCAGCTTTAAACGTATTATACCTCGTTTTTTATATACATTTCCAGCATTTACAGATTAGAAATAACAGTTAAAAAACTGTAGTATGCATTCCTGTATCACTAACGGCATCATATCAATATGTTCTACCAAATGAAAAGATTTTTATGCAAATCAACGAACACAGTTGGATTTAGAGTTGATAATTAGTCTCCAGGATATATTACTTAGTGGTAATGAGTAGTATGGTGGGACTCCTGTATTAACTTCATTAAGACGAGTGTTTTTGTAATACTCGTCCCGGTGACTAGCACCAAGATGCAGGGCGGTTGTTTCGTCCTACCCGGGACTCGGCACACGGACCTACCTGCTTATCAGTGGGTGTTGTCCCAGTTGGGATTCGAACGCAGTATCCACCGCTGCGAACACCGAAATTTTATGCACTAGGTCACTGGGGCACGCAATGTACATCTTGTTTTTGGAATACATTGTATTCAAGTAACATTTATGAGGATATACGATTTAACTATAAATCACCTCGGGTTTCTCCATAAGCTGAAAGTGCTTCTGTCATAATACACCAACACTATACGCCCAGAGTCATAAAAGGCACAACTTTATAGTTTTCGTTAAAAGCCGACTAGTTGTACAGCTAGGGCTGTTGAAGGGTGGTAAAATTACATAAATTAACTTTACATCTTATGAGTACAAACAGTTATGTACAATTTGAACCTGTGATGTATCCCTGCATATTGCTATATGCTCGTTAAGGGAACAACAAAATTGTCATCAAAGGGAACAAACTATTAAAATTAATCAAAGGGGACATATAATAAAACAAGAGATAACTAGGATGAGATATTTAAATGTCAGAAGAAGTTTTCATATATATGAACAGGATTGTGATTGAAGCTGAATAATGTCATTTCACGTCTCTTACCGCTGTTGCTTGAAGTCCAGTCAGAAATCTTACAGTTCTGTACATAGCTCTTTCCCAATGAACATATGCATTGAATATCTCAGTTTGACCACCTAAAACTTCGATCATTGAAGCGTCACTTTAACGCACACCGAATTTAGGGACAGACAGCGGTTTGGTACCAGTATCCTAGTCTATAATACCTCAAATCCTATACATTTCATAGCTTATAGCAGTTCGTTGACAAGGAGTCATGCTGCTTGTTATAAATTAAGTGAGCTATAGTTCAGGGGATCGAATACGCTAGCAGTCTTCATCGATAGCCGTGTACACTTTCAAAAACTGAGATGTTTTGAACATGTACTGCGTATACCGAGCCACTGCCTACCTTGACGTACAATGCCGGTAGGGGAAGTTGGATTAAGTTGGAAAAGGGTTCAGGGTATTCAGACAAAGACATGACACCAGCCAACGCTGTCTCTTACTATTGGTACCAGTTGTGTGGAGATATGTAGACTACTACCTGGTTGCGGTTCCTGAGACGAAAGGAACCAGTGGTTGAGGACCCTTAGTGAAATGGCTGGAAATCGGTCACAATAGCCCAGATGTATTTACTTTTTGACATGTTCCAAAGCTTGAATATTTACACTGAAGGTTTATTCTCTTACAAAACTTTGTCTACTTTGATATCAGTCTTTTTCTATCCACCTGTTCTTTGTATACTATTGTGAAGTGTGGCAGCTTGAACCGATATAGCTGTGTTCGAGATTCTACACTGATTTAGAGTCTGCCTGTCTATCAGGAATTTACTTACCTATATACCAGTAATACATTATTTTTTTAACTGTATTGAAAATAGGAAAAAGTAACTTAAGTTGTTGGTTTGTCCATCTCTTAACTTCTTTTGATCTATTATGATCGTTTCCGACTGTAAGTAACATTGACTTACCTTAAGCTAACACCAATATACATAATACTGTGTTGTCAGAATTTGAGAAAATTCCAAAAATAGCTTAGTACTGATAATAGCAGCGGTTTATAGCGCATCTTATAGATTACTGTTGACTATCAACAATAATCTAGTCAATCCTACTCACACGTTGATCAATACAATATGGTCTTTTTTCCTTAAACAATCTTTTAGTCTAATAGTAGTCGAAGAAAAAATCGTATGAAAGCCCAGTTTGGAGATGAAGACATACCTATTGTATTTACTGTGCCTGGTGGACATGATGTAAGCTAAACGTTTTATTTTCAACTAATCTTTTTATTACCATCTACTCTTCAAAATTACAGTACTTACAAAGAAGATTATCAAATACCAAAGGGTTGGTTTTACTATATCATCTGGTTTCATAGTATTTCTGTTCTAATTTTTGATAGGACTGCTTTTATATATGACGAACGCATGTTACTGCATGAAAACACATGGTTTCCTGATTTTGTTGAGTGCCCTAAACGCCTTTCTGTTACTGTGGAAAAATGTACAGCTTATGGATTGATATCTCGTTGCTTGGTGATAAATGTAAGTTATCTATCTACCTGATATATTTTAGGCGTAATTTACTTATCATTCTCATCGATAGTCAATTACATTAAATGCTGTGTTGTTTATGCTTGTCTGTAATCGTCACTGATAGATATAATCATGTTGGTTATTGCCTAGTGGGGCGTTCATTCAATAAAGTACCGTAACTAGTCCAAACCATCATGAAGATTCGTTGAAAACTGGGAATACATTTACCGCCCTGTTATGATCCTACGCTGTCTTATATATAACGATGCAACGCTCTGAGACGAATACAATTAATGATAGAACAATGACTTCTCAACTCAACATTAAGCTGACACCAGAAGACGATGAGGCTGGAAATATATTCACTCCAACCGAATCCAACAAGCGAAAACTCAGTCGTTTATATATCCTTAGATGGCCTTGGACAGAAAAAATAGCGTATTCAGAGTGTAAAATGGACCAATCAGCGTTTAGCATTCTAAACTGCGGTAAGAATGAAACATAACATGCCTCCAAAAGGGCGCGAAAATAAGGCTTAAACTTTAGAATGATAATACAAATATTATAAGTTAGTTGTCTTAGCGATTGGCATCCCTAACGCGCCCTACAGCGTAATACAATATTACTCTTTGGAATAATTTAGCATCTTTTTATATCTTTGTATGTAGATATATTCTTGAAACTGGAATTTACTCCAACTTCTCTCCGCTTTATCTTAGCTTTCTCTTAGTTTAGGCATGTTTTTACTTTGCTGTCTAGATTTAGCGTAGTCAACTTAATAAATAAACTCATGAGTTCTCTGCAAGTATCTTAAATCTCTGACTCAATTGGTAGACAGTTATATCGTACTAGGGTTGCTATACTATTTCACTCGGTAAGCGTCAGTCTGATTACTCTGTATGTATGTACTAACGTAGCATACCATATAGGGATTTAGAGAGGCTCAGCATTTATCTGAAAGTGACAGCAATTACAGAACTGTCTACTTTGATATCACTCTTTTCCTAACTACTTTTTCTTTGTGGACTACTGTGGCAACTTCAACCGATGCAGTGGTGTGGAAGGTTCTACCTTGATTTTGTCTGTCTTATAGTCGAAACCTGAAGAAGTCCACTGCATTGACTTTGTAATATACTACCAAAATACCATGTTTTTTTTTGGAGAATAATAATTTCTGGTTGATATTACTTATACTGACTAAAAATGCAGTAGTATTCTGGATCTATCATTCGGATTCCCTACAGTAATTGGTAGTGGATCTTCTGCAATCTTTCCATATACTGTCAGAGATCAGTCAGTTAAATCGCGGTCGGACCTAACACCGTCTTTATGATCTTCGTAATACAAATCTATAGGAAAGAATCTCTGAGTGGATTAGTCTTTGAAAAGTCAAGAGGTAGTGAGTGTGAAAGTGAACACTACTAGTGACAGGCATTCGACGTATCTACTTAAGATAATAACTTTTCATGAGCTGCCGGGTAATCATAAATATACCGGGAACTACTGTCATATCATCACTTATATCATCCACTATTTCAGCGCAGTTACGCTACCGCTTTGGGTCACCTGTTGTTCTGGAGCTGGTTACATAGACTGCATAAAACTTGTTCTATCCAAACGTATCTCCAAAAACTGTCCTGAACGATTGTTTAAGGGAGAGTTCAAGGCAACTAGTAGCTCCATTCTACAGCATATGATTAACTCTTGTCGCTCTGCTCCAATAGAATCTTCTTTCAAAGTCATCTTTACAGTGAAATCAAAGATTTCAAAGGGAGTGTATACTCATCACCTCGACATAGTAGGAATTTCAGCGAGTCAAGCTTGATTTTTGCTTTCAAAAGAGATACTTTCAAACTCCAGGGTTACTGTAGTGGGCGTTGCTGATAAGAATGGATATAAGTAGTATGTGTTGAGAGGATGGCAGAAATCATAGGGAATTAACAGCAATGGTTAAGGATTCTACCTAAGGAAACAAACGCAAGAGACAACATGGGCATATGAAGAACAAATCAAGAGAGAGGCAGAAGAGGAAATGAAGCACATTTTGTAAATGACAGTTTTAGTACAAGGTGTACCATATTTAACGACTACTATACCACTTAGTAATAATGAAGATTCATTTCTTCGTTGCTGTCTCGTCGTTTCCTACATTACCTTTATCTCCCTAAGACATTTTATTCACTTCCTTGTCTATTATTTGTATATTTTCTGCAATTTTTGATGACCTTGAGTTGACCTGTAGCCGTAACCACCTTCATATTGACGCGGTTGCTATTAGTGGATGTATATATTGTTTTAACTAATGATTATGGTTGTCCAGTTTTTGAAAATGATTTGCTGGGAAGAAAATTTTCTTCACTGGAATGCCTTTTAAAAGAATAAAATTAGCGTCCCAAGATTTAGACCAAAACCCACTTACCTCTTTCTGGTTTGACATTACCAAGCACCAGTTTAGAAACTGCTTCAGGCATGTTTATTCTTCATACGACAATTTCTGTAGTTTATTATGCATCGAAATGATTAAAACTGGAGACCAATCACAAAGAATCATTCCTAACCTCTACACTCTCACTTCTACCTCATTCCGTTTAGGTAGTGATTCTGAGATAACATACTTCAAAACTGCTTTATTAAAAGTAAGGCTACAAAGTATCCGGTTCATCTCTATTGATTACTTGCAGCCATTCCTAGTTAGTCAGTTCTTGGAAGTCCAATGTTAGTATTCAATCCAGATTCTCCAGGTTGTGGAGAGCAAGCATCTGACTACACGCTCAACTGTCTGTTTGTATGTTTCGCTTCATATATCTTTTTCAGCGATCGTCTCATTGACATATTGTTTCTGGGACCATGTGTTTTCATAGTCTCAGATAACTGTCAGTGTCTTTCCTCTCATTGGTCATTTCCATCTACCACTGCAGATCATCTTTACAGATATTTTTCATTTATTAGTGTTTCGGTTGCTTTCATTGTCTACTACATTCGGCACTAGGTAGAATGAATCATTGAAAATCGCCTGTTTACACTTCAACAAGTAAACATCTGTGCTAGATTTTATGGTAAAATAATAAAAAAATTTCTAAAAAATATGTATCGATTTTTCCTATTTCCATTTAGCCTGAACCAGCAAGCGATGAATTACTCTCACGTTTCCATAAAACAGAATATATTGAACAAGTTAAGGATACTACAACAATGAGTGACAGTGAATTGAGGGAGTTGAGTTCTACCTTGGATTCTGTTTATTTTAATGAGGTAAGTAACTTACAATTATTTCACTTCTATCTAATACACTACTTATAACTTGAAAAAAGTAGGCTTCGATGAACAATGAAAATATCATTTTTCGATAAGTTTTTAACGGAGAGCTGATGCGACACCGTAATGATTCTATTGGTCTACTTTTCTTTCACTGACTCCTTATCAAAGAATCCCTGTGTATTCGTCTCGCTTGGAAATACGTAGTGAGCTGTTGGAGTCTGTTGACCATTCCAGTTACCTGGAGAGTCGAATTATCTCTGATAGGCCGGTGATCAGAAAATGGCCATTGAAATATAGATGGTCCACTTGGTACTTCCCAATTTATACACTTCTAGTGCCAACGCGGTATCCGAATGCCTACTATTGTTCGATTATCGTACGAAATTCTCTATGTATCAGTGTGCCGCTGTGAAAAGTGACCATTAAAGTTTGAGGAATATAAAAAGGTTTGAGTTTCCAACCACATTTACTTGCGTTGCATCGTCCACACTTCGTGGAAGTACCATACTAGAGACGTGAAGGTAAGTTAGTTGACAAGGACTTATTGGGTTTGGACATGTGTTACATATGTTTAGTCATCGCTTACTCATTTTAAACCTAAGTAGTTTTAGCATGGATAAATGTTAAACGTGGCAGACTAAAACTTAGTATCAGTCCATGAAGTCTCGGACAGTTGAACTGAGCCCTATTGGGATATGTTACATTCTATGTTAAGGTTGTGGCCACAACCGATTGTTTGAGACTGTATGATACGTCTGAGAATCAATCACAGGGAAAAACAGATTCATCCACGCTTTATCTTTACTGTAACCATTACATCCAGGTTCTTATTTGCTTTAACCCTCATTCGTTTCTATGGTTTTCTAGTACTTTTAGCTAGTTTATCTCCCTGCATTTCTATCTTGTTACCTTGTATCTTGATGTGAGGTGTGACAGTTCGGACAGTTACTCGGTATCGGATGTGATGATTTGTTTACTCTACATCTGTAATACCCGCGTTCAGGGCATTCACATAACCATTCTGTTCAAAATTCCTACGACAATAATTGAGGCACTAACTCGGCATTCATGCCCAGTGTTTTTGCATGGTATTATACCTCTTACTTCGTTGTTCCACCCGGAAATAATTCCTCTTTTTTCATGTATAGACAATTCAATTTTCAGCTTTCAGTTATCATAAATCAGCAAAACTCATTCTATCTACTTTTCTTCACTCAACTTTCTTTGGATAATCTTCGAGAAAGAAATGAACAGAATGCTGCACTATTGAATGTCTTTATCGGTTACATGGCATTCATATTGATGAATAAAAAAGGCGACTAACCAACCTGTGTATGAACGATTTTTCTTAATTCAGACAACAGGTTTGTTTTCGGTATACACAAGTTCCTCAAAAGTGTATTTGGACACTCACAACTGAATGACTTGACTTATTCAGATCGTTTAGTGGTTGGTCTGAGTAAATTTTTGGGAAAGGTCACATTCAGAGACTAATAACGTCTGGTTTACAATGGAAGAACCTAATTGATTTGACAACTGAGTAATACAGTTTTACGTGTACTCACTCACTTTGACATATGTTTAAACGCTCAAATCGTGCCTAAAATCCTAAACATGATTGATCTGAAATGCAGTGCTGTGTTACAAGTTGATACTCATTATGGCGTGACATCAGTTGGAAGAACATTGGAAACCTGGGAGTACTGGACAGCTGTTTCGTCCTAGTATGGGATTCTTTAGCGCACTACTGAGTCGAGAAATGTCAAAACTTGCCGATCAACAGGGCTAGGTGAAAGGGGGGCAAATACTCAAAGAAAGATACAACACCAGCGAAACAGCAGAGAGGAGCATAGTATAGTCATAAACCTGGAAAATTATCAATATCCTAGAATACTAATATGATGAAAATACGATTTTAACGGAATAGAATTGATGTCCTTGAGATATTATTGAGAGAACAAGAGTCATACTACTCATTGATAGTAAGTAGTATAAATCTAAAAGCATGAAAGGGTTATGTCAAAACTACAAAAAAGCAAAATAGCTGAAAAAACAACAGCCATACTATTGTCTCATATGGTGCATAAGTCTGCGCTACTCGCTACACTGAAATCACAAGTTACTTGCCTTTATAGTCGTCACTTATTGTATCTTGGTAAGATGTTTAATTAGATGAGTTCTTATGAAACATCTGAGTTCGTTATCGTAATCAACTTTGAACTGCATTGCCTAGGGTCTGCGACCATAGATTTTAATTGTTTCATAGACACTACCCAAGAGACTGAAACTTCTATAAGTTATTCAGACCAACAGTGAGATATTTCATGGACTGGCACACTATATCCTAATCGGTTCACGCTTATTATTATCCAACTTTGAGTCTTGAGATCAACTCTCTGATGATATGTGTAGATTAGGCTATGAGACTGGTTAGTTTATGAGATTAATATTCGCATTACTGTACCATCATTACATCCCTTGTGGTGTAATCCTTAAAATTAGGAATGGTTAATCATGAGCCACCAATTTGCTGTTTACTATTAATTATTTGCCACCGATACACTTGATGTTTAAATAATGTAATTTACCGTTTTTTTCTTTGGCATATATAGCATACTGATCTGTCCGCCAGGCTATCTGTTGGATCATGGATACAAGCAGTTGATATGGTTCATCATGGTGATGTGAAGAATGCTTTCTGCTTGGTTAGGTATGTCATTTCATTTATTACATACTTTGATTGACGTAAATGATCGATGATCGTCTCTTACATTTTCGCTCTAACAGCTACTTGATTCTGGACTGCACTAACTTTAAACATAAGAAGAAATCCTATCTCACTTGACATCCACTGACACTGAACTAATGGTAGATACATGTACATATTGCTATATACCGTCGTTGTAGAGAACCGGTGGAGAATTACCGCTATTTATGGAGTACTTTCTTCGACTTCGACCATGCGTTAGTACGGCCACGCTTATGTTTTTGTCTTACTAGTTGCAGGAAGAAACAGACAATGGTGAAGTCTCTGCGTACCTGACTGAAAGATGAGTATGTCAAGTTTGTATTTGGAGAGGAAATAACCAAGCTTTTATCTATACTTAACAACAGTAGGCAGCTACAGCCTCATGTGAACTCATTGATGTGCGAAGAACAATTCCAGCTAACTCTGACCACAATGCGAAATGAAGGAAACTCAAATATAAATTGACCAACACTCTTCTTAACGCTCCTGAGCAGGGGTTGATTGCAATAGTGAGAGAATGTAGAAGACATCAGCATCATGTATTACTTGGCAATTAATTGGGCTTAATAAAAAGACTAACAAGAAGACGATGGTTATTGAGACCATCACATAGAAGGATGGATCCCTGACAACATCATAGAATAGGTGGTTAGGACGTCGAGCGAAACACAGAAGACAGGCACAACTGGCTTGCAGCCATGTTTCCGTTAATAACATTCGCCTAGACCGTAAATTCGACATAGATGTTGATCCTCCAACTCTCCTCGAAGTCAACTGTCAACTCTCACGGACTTTTCAATGAAGGCTGTTTCTACATTTGATCATCCTGATACACAATCTAAATACCTAAGTATTTGCAATTTTCTCGATCTAATTAGATCATGTGAGAACTTCTGTTTCAGCTGAAAGTGAATTCTTCTCTCAACCCTTGATTATTCTGTAACTCATTGTTTTATATCAAGTTAAAATTCATCATAAATGGGCATCAGTTGGAAGGATAACCGAAACCTGGGAGCACTGGACAGCTGTTCCGTCCCAATATGAGACTCCTCAGCAGTGCGCACCCACGACCCTGCCAGGGATCAAACCCGTGACATTCAGGTTCCGTGACCAGCACGTTACCATTGAGCCACCGCCTCGGAATCCTGTTAGTCCTGTCAGTTCACGACATAGCGCGACCGCCACCCAATGTCATCGTTGACTATTTTTCCTCACGCCCACCAGGTTTGTTCTGTATGCCTGATTCTTATGTTTTGCTTTACTTTTTATTCTATTATTTATGCAGACCTCCAGGTCATCATGCATTGGAGAATGAAGCGTGTGGATTTTGTATATTTAACAATGTGGTGATTGCCGCTCAATATGCTATGGAACAATTGAATTATAACCGGTTAGTATTTCTTGTAATTTCATACACATTATTATTATTTTTCACTGGGGTTCCTAGTGGAACATAGGGCTTCAGTAGCATGCCTCCATTGCACTCTATTATGTGCAGTCGTTTGGACCTGGCACCATGACTGCCTACAAGCTTTCATTTCTTCTTCACATGATCTCCTCCATGTCAACCTCACTTCGGACGCGCAACTCCTCGTTTCCCATTTGGATTTCACTCGAGCAACTGTCCTGGCGCATGATGTCCCCGATCGGCCTTCTCAGTGTATGCCCAATCCATCTCCATTTTCTTCTGCGTACAAAGAAAGTATAAAAAATTTCATGCACATCGCATTGAATATCTCGTTATTGACTGCTTATACTATAGAGTTGGTTTTCGTTTCAAGGGAATGAAGCAAACAGAGATAAGTGAGAAAATGTTTTCTCTAAATGCAATGCTGAATAAGTTTACGATTTTTTATCAGGATACGCCATTAGTTGAATAAACGGACTGGTGAAATTCTTTGACTCAGAGACTTGATTTTCAAACACTAACTAGCTCCTTGCTTCAAAGTGTGCTCCATCTGACTTGATTTTAGCACCCGGGTAATATCTTGATTCTATTACGTAGACTTGCATCGAATGGCGACTAGTGTTATTATCGTTATTACTATAATAGTCTCATATTAGTAGTGTGCTTCATATTGTGATGAGATAAAACCTGATAGCAATACTCATTCCTCCTTCAGTCAGGAGAATCGAATCTTTCTGGAGAGAATGATAGGTTTAGTTGAGTTGCTACTGCTTCTGCTGCTGGCCATCGGTGACAGAATGTCTACCTGTTGAAGAAAGAAGAAAGTGACTATTTTGTTGATACTGATAAAACTGATGACTACATTGGAAAATGATTTACCTAATAGGAAAATTGAAGAGGCAGCAAAGACAGGACTTCAAGTGAACGTAGAGAAGATCGAGGTGATGAAGATACCCAATCAACAACAACAAACATGAATCACCGTCAACGGGAGAAACTTAAAGGAAGTAGCCTCTTTCACCTATCTAGAGAACACTGTTTCAGTTACAGGCGGTGGCACAGACGAGGATGTCAAAGTCAGGATCGGAAAGACAGCAAAACAGGCGTCCATTAGCCTGAAACAAGTGTGGAGATTTTCTGCGCTCAGCATTAGGCGTGAACAAGATCCAGATTTTCAACACCAACGTCAAGTCAGTACTCCTGTATGGCTCAGAGACTTGGTGCGTTATGAAAGGGATTTCCAACAAACTTCAGACATTCATCAACAGCTGCCACCTACGCTCACTCGATACTGAAGATCAGATGACCAGAACAATAGGAATAAGCAACAAGGAATTGTGACCTGGCAACGAACCAACCAAGAATCTATCACCCAACAAATATGCAGAAGAATAAAGTGGAGATGGATTGGGCATACACTGAGAAGACCGAATGGGGACACATCACGCGCCAAGCCCTTGAGTGGAATCTGAGTGGGAAGCAACGAGTTGGGCGTTCAAGGGTGACATGGAGGAGATCGTATGAGGAAGAAATGAAACCTTCTGGACAGACGTGGAGCCAGGTTCAAAAGACTTCAGAGAACATAGTGGAATAAAGACGTGCTACTGAAGCCCTATGTTTCACTAGGGACCCAAGGGACAAATAATGATAAAAAATTGTTATACTGAGAAGATTCTTTGCTTTCGCCTTTCAGAGTGTCAACATTAAGGTTTGAGATTATTTTCTGTCATTGTTAATCTGAGAAAAAGACAAATAAATCAAATATCAAGCATAACTTGAGTCCTCTTATGTGTATGTGGGTGGTTCACGCCTACAACCTACCTAAGAAAAGATTAACCTAATTGTCTCTATCGATCCGGCTGTATGACCCCAGAACCAATGAACCAACTACTCAGGAACTGTCGCATATAGCTGCTTTGAAAGTTCTTGATTTAATTTTAATTTTATTGGATCCATAGTTTCTAAAGTCTTTACCACTGATAATGGAGAACTGTTGACCTGAAATGACACAGAAAGTTGTTAATCTTTAAAAGTTAGGGTGAATGAACACAAGTTATGTACATAACATCCAGATAGGAACCTAGATGAGTTGTAGAATTCAGAAAAGCGATCAACGACAGTTATCCATGCAGTCGAAAGTGGACATATGATCAACCTTGAAAATGTAGACATGTCGCGAAAAGGTTTCTATCCGCATAAAGAAAGCGTAACTTCCGGAGCCCTACATATTTTAACAACATTAAATGTTATAGACAGAAAAGAAGGAGTAGAATCGTCACCTATTTGGAAAATATTAATCTATAGTGGGCGATGATTGAAGGTGTAATGAAAACTTGGACCGCGGCCGGATTCAAACCAGCGGCCACTGGGCTACCGATCCGGTGCTGTACCAACTGAGCTACGAGGCTTGACTGTTGACCAGATTTTTATTTCACTTCAACCACAAGCGGGATTTTACCCGACTACCGTGTGAATTCGTGATGCGTTACTACCGCTTGATAGTATTCACACTGGCTGCCTAGTCAGGACTTCTCATCCCAATCAAAATCTAACTGAATCAGAGAGGGGGAGCATCATATTGCTTGCCATTTTGACTATCTGAGTGAGATAGCCGTAGTTTGGCAGACTAGTATTTATACTGTGTGATGATTGAAGTTGAAATGAAAATTTGGACCGCGGCCGGATTCGAACCAGCGACCACCAGGTTTCCGCCCCGAATTCACATGGTAGTCGGGTAAAAAACGTGTTTAATCTTCTTGTCAAATCCTCTTCGTACTGTCATTGTCTTTCTAAATTATGATAACTAGTCATTCAGTGTGAAATTGTATGTCTTTTGTTGTATGGTGTATGTGGGTGTGTGTATTTATATATGTATATATGTACTCCAATTCATATTCGTCTTGATTGTAAATACCAGACAAAAAGGTCACCGGTGACATTATAGTCATTCGGTAATTTTTATAAGTACAACGGAATAGATGAGACGGATATGTATGGAATTTCAATTGGAATGTGGTGACGAATAGTATTAACGAATTTTTCCGTTGATTAACCGGAAAAACAGTGGAGATGAGTAGTGATAATGATGGTGATGATGAAAATGATAATAGCAATAATGAATCAAATCAATCCAGGTTGTTGTAGTTGATGGAGTAATAATGAAGTTGAGACTGGTGTTGACGGTAAATGCTTTGAGTCACTCTTTCTACTTGCTAATTAGTAATTGTCAAGAGACAGCTAACTGTACTCCATCTCGTCTGTTCAAACTATTTGGATTCCCCCTCATATGTAGGGCTTCGGGTGTCAGTCTTTCTTCGTATAACCCAAAACTTTTTGGTAGAACCTTAGTTCCGTTGAAGTCAATTTTGTGTCCCATTTCTATGGAGTGTAGCGCGACTGTGGACTTATTTTCTGGTTTCTTAACCTCTGCTGAGGTTTTGGGGATCTGCTTTAAGCATAGTTTATGCTCATTGACTCTCACATTTATCTGTCGGCTGTTTCCCCTACATATACTATAGTACAGTCTCTGTGTTTGATTTCATAAACGCAGTTCTGATTTTCTTTAGGTACTACATCTTTAGTTTTCATTAAGTTATAACGTAGGGTATTTGTTGCTCGAAAGTAAACTCTTATGTTGTGTTTGTTGAGAATCCTTCTTATTTCTTCTGAAGTCTGCTTTCGGTATGGGATTATGACCGTGCTTGTCCAATTCTTCGGAGGGAGTTGCGGTACATCCTTAATTTCATTTTTTAAGATACGTCTAAAGAAACCTTTGGGATAATTGTTGGCTTCCAGTGTGCGACAAACTAACTTTAACTCTTCTCCCTTATCTTCTTTCGTTGTAACAAGACGGTTAGCCCTGCTGATCAGATTCCGTGCGACAGTTACTTTAGTAGTCGAAGGATGTGGAGACTGATAATCGATATATCTGTCAGAATGTGTTGCTTTTCTGAATATCTTAATCTTTAGTTCGTTGTGATCCTGTCTTTCCATAAAGTTTAATTTCAACAAATCGAATTCAACTTCCTTGGTGAAAGTAATACTTCCGCACACATTATTTATGTGACAAAAGAGTTCATCCAAACTGTTTCGTTTGATGATGACAAATGTATCGTCTACGTACGTTAACCAAATCCTTGGAGGTGTAGAGCAACTTGCTATTACATTTGTCTCTACAATTGGTGATACTGGAGATCCCATTGCTATATCATTTATCTATCGGTACAGATCTCCTCTGAACGTGAATACAATCGATCGTAAGCATAACTCCGGGGACTTTAAAATTTATCCTGGATCTAATAGGCACCGTGAAGTTAGGTCAGTATCTGATAGCAGTAGGTTATGAGTGATATCTAATAGGTTGCATGATCCAGTCCACCACAATCAGGAATATCATGGGTGATAGTAGGCAACCTTGTTTCACTCCTGTCTTCACTTCAAAAGCATCACTGAGCTTCCTTCCCGTTGTGAATTACTTGGCATGTGTCGTCTTCATATAATTGTTGAATGAGGCTGATAAAGGCTTGTGGTATTCCGTAGTGTTGAAGCAGTTGCCTGGCAAATTACTTCTGGTCGACGCTGTCAAAAGTCTTTTCAAAGTCGATGAAGTTAAGGTAGAGAGTTGACTGCCATTCTATACTCTGTTCTATGATGATGCGCAGTGAAGCGTTGCAATTTGGTCCGCACATGATTTGTACTTCCTGAAGCCGGCTTGTTCCGGTTGCAGTTTTGAATCCAGCACATTCTTTAGTCTCTCCAGGTACGTTAATAAATAAGGAGCAAACATCAACACTTGACATTATTTCGTCTTCTTCAATGTAAGATGAAATGAATTTGTTCATGAATTCAGATGATTGCTTTATTACTTATTGTTCAAATCTCGATAATAGTTTATATAAAACACAGGGATTATATTAAAAAAAATATTTTTATAATGATTAAATCAGAGTTCTACTTTTTCCAGGATATTCGTAAAAGCTGTGCTCTATATGTTTATAATCAATAGCACTTCATTTGATTATTCTCCAAATAACCTTCCTAGCCTGTTGACACCTTGAGAATTAAGGCTGGATCTGTTATCCTCCCCTCTAAGGCATCTGAAGTTGATTAATACTCAGCAGATCCTTTCCAGCTTTGGGGAATCAAATCAAGAAACATTAACTAGCAGGATATTTTGTTGGATTCTTCAAGTCTATCGATATTACCAACAGATTTAGACAGAATATTAAGTCTCATATAAAAGTGCATCGATTTCACCTTTTTGTCATATATGATCCTGTAATAGTATCGACAGTGTAAATTTTAAAGAAGTTGGATGATGTTAAACTATACAAAAAATGGAAATGGGAATAACTTTTAGCCTTGCCTTACAGTTCACTAGGTTTAGTAGCAGATTTTCAATTAATACGTAGTCGGTTCGTGTCCTGTTCCAACTGATTCGTCTTAGATGATCAAATCGTATTTCATGGCTTCATCTCAGCTACCAATAGCCTCAAGTGCATACATGTATAGTGTCGATTACAACGAGCAACATAATTTTATGGTACAAAAGAACATTCATGTACTATGATAATTTTAGATGATTAAATAAGGAATGTTAATGAAACAATGTTTATTCATTTATTTGTAATTGGAAGAAAGATTTCCAAATTTTACCAGGAGAAAGTAACATTCATGACTATGATAATGGAAACAAAATTTCCACATGTCAACACTCCGTAAGACATTTGGAGCAAATAAAAAAATAAAGACAGGGAAATATCGAAGGAATGGTTCGCTTACGTCTGTTAGAATTGTACTTATCAGGGTAACGCTAAATTCTATCACTCGCTTCCTGTACATATAGATTATAGGGAAATGAAGAGAAATTGATAACTTTCATCGTTTAGCAACTTTGAAATCAATCAGGTGGCATGTAACTAGATCCAGTAGTTTCTGCCTTCACGTGGTGGTCGGGCTTGCATATCACAATGACCCAACGAGCTATGCTAGTGGAACACTTGTTCCTTCGAGGTCCTACGATACCAGAAAGGTCTGTTGGATAGTGGTTAGACGAAAAGCAGTTACCGTTGTGGTGCAAATTACTGCACTATGATGGGGGGTCCCAGGGTGAAGTTGTACTGCTGTTGGCTGGATAGGGTGTGACAGCAGTAAGGTGTTTCCCTTGGATGACCAGCAGTGCCATGCTGATGCTGCCTTCTCAGTGGGAGGGGGGGGGGTTAGAAAAGATTGGCCACAAAAGTAACACACTCCACCATGCCCCACGGTCTTCTGGGCCGGCGGTGTTGGTTCATTTGTCGTTTCCTTTCGACCATCCAGCCCCAAAAATACAAAAGTTCAAAATAATCATACTCAAAAGGCTACGTGTGACAGGCCTCAAGCAGATGTCCGATGGGCTCTGTGGTCACACAAATCTTTTTCAGGTACCATAAGAAGAAATAGCCTTCCACAGTGTTGGCAGCCGGGAAGTGTCAACCGCCCTCACAACTCTGTCAGCACTCAAGTTCCCCCAGACTGCTATCCACTTCCTCTATCATTACCTTCTAATCTTCCTTCACGTCTCTCAACTAACGATACTACATCATCTTCAATTTCTCTTAGCTCTGTAGCCTTCGACAACGATCTGAGTCCACAGAACAGCATCCCTGGTTTCCTTAAACCACTCTCCAAATTACATATTGGAGCCTTCAATGTCCGCAGCCTCTGTCAAATTGGCCAACAGGCTTCGTTAGCAAAGACTCTAGCAGCTCGGGCCATGGATGTGTATTGTGTTTGTGAGACATGCATACAGGACTCAAGTGCGGTTATTAACCTAACATTTCCCGGATGGATAGATCTGAAAGTGATTAGGACTCGTTTAGACTTAGATTCTTATGGAGCAGAGTGATTAGAGTTAACCATATGCTGAAGAATGGAGCTATTAATCGCTTTGGACTCTCCTTTAAACAGCTATGCACAACAGTGTTTGGAGATACGTTTGGATAGAAGATACTTTGTGCAGTCTATATAACCAGCTCCAGAAAAGCAAGAGAATTCATAAACCCATATAGAGGTGGTTCAAAGCGGTAGTAATTTAATTACTACCGACAGTGTATGCCTTTACAATCGATGTTGTTGTCAATTGTTTATGCTTTCATCATTTGTTAGGGTAGATCAAAACATTCCAATAGGTTTCCATGCTCCCGTTCGGTTGTAAAACTAACATATAAGTTTTTAATTGTTAGTAGTTTGACCATGAAAATATCATCTGGACGCCTTAGGTATAATGTGTTGTTATCAATAGCCGATTTCATTGCCCACATTTCTACATATGACCTGAATATATCATAAAATATTGAAGTAAATGTACATCTCATAACCATCATCCTCCCAATCTATTAATCTATTTCTGACAAATCTGGGAGGAATATAGAACAACTAATCAGTTATCGTTTTCAATTGATAATTATTTCGTGATGAAATCTGCCTCTTAAAAGCAGTATATTTGCAAATGAATGCGTAGATCTTCTCAATACTGTTTATCAATATTCATTTGTTCTCCAAGCGCTCACATTTCTTCATGGATGTTTCATTATCAGGCTAGTTGACTTGATCAACACTCATTATGTTCTCATTCCTAGTTGTTATATATACAATCACTTTTATTCAGTGTTACACCTACTATGCTACATATATTGTAAATTATCTGTTTGACATAAGCAATTTTTCTAAAACCATGACCTTCACTACTTTCACATCTCTTTTCTACAGTATACTCATAGTCGATTGGGATGTTCATCATGGAAATACCACTCAGTATGCATTCTATGATAATCCAAAGTGAGTTTGTTAACTAGGAGTTATTCATTTTACTCACAAGTTTGCGTGTATCTTGTTACCTTTGTAGAGTTTTCGGCAATCCTCTGCAATCCTTTTGAAAGTTTAGTTCAAAATTAACTTGTCCAATAAACACAAATTCCGCTCTTATACAATGTTCCCAATAGTGAGTTTATTCATGTGTTTCTGTTATGGTTTAGAAAACTTCGACGTGCTATGGCCGCTAACAATGCACGTATATCGAGTGTCAGCCATCAACTTTTCCTAGTTGATTCCCAACCCGATTAATTAGTGGAGAAGATACAATGAACATGTAGAAACGTGTATTGGGGTCGAAAGACTGAAGGCAAAAACGAAGAAAAATATATCTAATATATCGATAGTTCACTGTGAATTGGCTGATCCACCCTCTGTCTGTCTAACTATAAACATGATATCATAAAGTACATTTTGATTGGCCGCTCTCTCTATCCCCATATCACCTCCCTCTTCGAGAGAATGTTATTTGGGGTCAGACTGGGCCGCATTATCTTTTCCTTGCGTCTGTCTGACTGACACGGATTTTTTTCCTGTTTACTAGGGGGGGGGGGGTCAGTAGTCTTCTCGACATTCTTTCGGTGGGCAGGTCAATGAGCATGAAAATCAGCTACCACTTAGCCAAGAGATTTACCTACCGATCGAAAATGAGAATTGTGGCGATATCTTTAGGATGACCTTTGTACACGTTGTTGTGTGTGTTGGCGGAAAAAATCATCCTTATGACCCCCCCCCCCCCCCCCCCAGTATTACAGTCGCGACATCGATGTTGTTTAACTTAACACGATTTGACCGAATGCCAGGCACCACAATGCAAACAAGGCGATGATGATGTCTTCTTCGATGGTCAGTTGGTATCGCATAAGTTACTGGACCGATGAACAAGCAACATATAGCCAGAGGATGTCTGACCAGAGGGTAATGTCTGGTGAACTGTATATAATTCAGAACCACCCTGGTGTCTGGATTAAGCTAAACTCATATCATGCTGCAGGTTTCCCTGTCGTTGATAGTCTGCAGACATGTCATTCAGTGTCTGGACTGTGGCGTCGAAATTGCGATCACGTGGGTTCTGCTGCGAAATCATTTTGCAGTATTGGTCTAGCTCATGTGGACCAAGCTTTCAAAGTAGGAACCGTACCTTCCAGGAATCATCTTTACCAGCAAAATCTACTTCGAAGTAGTCTTCCTACCGCCTGAACCAAGTATGGAACGTCTCATGGGCATCAGGATATCAGTGAAATTCAGTGGTGCTGTTAAAGATGCCATCAATTGAAGGAACTATTAAAACTGGTATAGTAAGCGATGATTCGGTACCAGAAATTCTGGATTACGTAAGCATCTCGATAATCCTCATTCGTTGTTCGAGGAAATTGTCCACCTTTGAAGAGTCCATTTCCCAATATCTCATCTCCGTTGCCACTATTTTGGGTTGGAAAACTGCTACGTGCTATGGCCGCTGACGATGCACGGATATCAAGTATCAGCCACCAACGTTCAACAAATTCCTAGTTGATTCCCGACTTGACTAATTAATGGAGAAGACACGATGGACATGTAGAAAAGTGTATTGGAGTTGAGGGACTGAAGGTAAGAACAAAGGAAAATATATTCAATATATAGATAGTTCACTGTTTAAAATAATACTGTGGATTAGCTGGTCCACTATCTATCTGTGTGACTGTGGACGTGATAATATAAAGTACATTTTAATTGGCCGCTCTCTGGACTAGGCTTTTCTCTCTATCCCCATATCAGTTTCTGGAGCGTTTTCATGGTTGAGATTACTTGAGACTAACTGATTTGCTAGCCTGCCTGCTGTCATCTTTCAATACGACACCATTGAAAAGCATAGTCTCTTGTAGATCAATCTCAGTTGTACTCCTAGCCTATCCTTCAGAGAATCTTGATTCCATTAGTCAATAAAAAAATGCTACACCATATTCTTAAATGGTATTTCATTTTTACTTTTATCTAATCTATCATGAAACAAGTTTTCTACTTCGATGAAATTTGTTTGTCGCTCATAGTTTAAATTTTACATTATAGTATCGATAATTATAGAGTTCAGACAAAAGATGCCCCATTCAGCACACTAATTGCTTTCCTCAGTGTCAGATTTAACTCCACGGTTTGTCTACTCAAACAAAAAATAATTTAAATCTAGTAGAAGATTTCTTTTCCATGTTTTGTGAAATTGTTGTTAGTGTTAGTATATCCATTTCCAGTCTCAGCAAAGAGAACACATTGGTTGTTTATCCATGGAGATGACATTTGAACATTTACGGTTTTTCGTAAGGAATTCATCGCTCGAATCGTAATTAAAATAAACTCGGAGTTAATACTGTATACTAAGCAGTTGTTTATTATCTGCTCGTCTAACGTATTACGAGTCCCGTCATCATTCATAACTGGTGCTCATTGGTGACTATTTTCGAGAGGTGACTCCCGAAGTTCCACTGAGAAGTCGTGACCAGTGGGGAAAACCTGGTGGTCGTAACGACAAATACTCAACGATGACATTGGGTGGCGGTTGCGCTATGTCGTGAACTGACAGAAGTTGGAAATACGGACCACTGGATTCCGACCCAGTGGCTCAATGGTAACGTGGTGGCCTTGGAACCTGAATGTCGCAGGTGTGATCCCTGGCAGGGTCGTTGGTGCGCACTGCTGAGGAGTCCGACACTAGGATGAAACAGTTGTTCAGTGCTCCCAGGTTTCCATCGCTCCTCCAACTGATATCAGTCTACGATGAATACCTACTTAAAAAATTCATAATATCCTTGTCATCAAGTCCATTCTCAAAAATGCAACTCGATGTGCCATATGTGTGTGTATACTAGGGTGCAAGCCACATTGTGTGTGTGGGTATGTGTATTATATATGTACTATACGATTACTCAGTCTGAGACAGACAGAGCAGGATTGGAATGCGGGATCCATTGTTTGAAGGCTCTTTTCATTAGCCTAATTATAATTCTTACAAGAAAAGATTTGATTCACTCCTTATGTAGATTCACTTAGTTATTTGTTGGTCGTTACATATGATAGACAGATTCTCTTAATTGCTGCTACTCCTACCAATATTTCTGGTTCCTATCTTGTCGAACGTTTTGTATGTTTAACAGAGTTCTTTACATATCCATTCATCGTTATGATAATGGGAAGTTTTGGCCTAATCTTCGTGAATCAAATTATGACTTCATTGGTACTGGTCGTGGTCGAGGTTTCAATGTAAATATTTCATTGAACGAGGTATGTGAATTTACATATTTTTACAATATGCTATGTGCATCTGAAATCTAGGAAAATATTTTTGTTCAACTGTCATGTGCTTTATTGATAATTGACTGAAGTTGCAGTTCAAGATTCTTATCAGTAATCATTTGATGATCAAGGATTATCTGAACAACATATAACCATTCTAGATAGACAGAATCAACGTAGAACCTCGCATATAAATGCATCGCTTCAAGTAATCACACGTAACAGTAGTATAGAAAGAACAAGTAGACAGAATAGGAGTGATATTAAAGTAGACACTGGATTCAAAATTACGACGGGAACAGGCGGGCTTCAGAAAAAACAAATCACGTGTGGATCAAACTGCAACGCTACGCATCATCATAAAACAGAGCATAGATTAGCAGTCAACTCTCTACCTCAACTTCATCGATTTTGTAAAGGCCTTCGACAGCGTTGACCCAGAAGTAATCTGACAGGCAGCTGCTTCAACACTACGGTTTTAGTGCCACAAACCTTTATCAATCTCATTCAACAGCTATATAACGCCGCCACATGCCAAGTGATTCACAATGGAAAGCTCAGTAACGCCTTTGAAGTAAAGACAGGAGTAAGACAAGGCTGCCTACAATCACCGGTCGTCTCCCTGATTGTGGTCCAGTGGACTGGATAATGCAAGAAACCGTGAGGAGCGAGAAGAGGGGAATACGCTGTTTGACCGATGAAAAGACCCTAGAAGATTTGGATTTCGCCGATGATGCTTTATGCCTAATGTCTTGTGGCACAAACTCTAAGATCTACAGGTGAAAACTAACAAGTAGACAGAAGACGCAGCGAGGACGGGACTTCAAGTGAATGTAGAGAAGACAGAGGTGATGAAGATACCCAACCAGCAACAGCAAAAGTAGCACCAATAACCATGAACAGGAGAAATCCAAAGGATGTTATCTCTTTCACTCACCTAGGCGAGGCAGCATCTTTTCAGCTACTGGCGACGGCACAGGTGAAGATGTCAAAGCCAGGGTCGGAAAAACACCTAGACAGGCCTTCCTGAAATAATGGAGAATATTTGTAACTCAGGTGGATGGTCTTGGTTGTATTGTGTTCTTTGAGCTGGGTTGTTTAATCATGAAGCCTTCATCGTCTTTCTAGACGACATCATCAGCACCGACTTCAGTATGAGTGACCAATTTTCACCTATATCATCAAGAGTTCTCAACGACTCATTCTTACCGTCTCAGGGGCCCAGCTAGCCAGGCAGTCTATATCTCCTCATATGGCTGAGACCAAAAGTGAGAGACTTCATTGACCGGTACTAGATCTTGGTCTGGCCACTGTGAACAATCCTCTTCCAACCTAATCAAACCTTCCCGACATCAGCTTGGTACGTCAAGGAAGGCGGTGGCTTGGCATGCACCGTACATATCTAAGTCACCTTAGCCGACGATGGTTCACAATCTTATCATCATCACCCCTTGCTTAGTACTCTTCGCATGACCTCAACATTCATCACATGGTGATTCCATCAAATATGAGCAATACTACGAAGAGATTTTTCTTTCTTGTCGTTTACTTTTGGCGGTCATCTCCCATCCGTACACCAGCACAAAATGGACCTCAGTGCGGTATACTCGTCCTTTGGTAGATAGTCGGATATCTCGCCAGTTGGTGCCAGAATTGACGCAAGTTGATAAATACCGAACGGGTCTTGTGTATCTAACCAATTGGTTGAAAAGCGAAATCTTTGGCAGTGTACTTCAAAATTGACTTAGCTCAAGTTATCGAGATGTAGGGAGCAACGACTTCGGACCACATACTTTAATGAACTGGAGATGCTCAAAATCACGTAGATATTAAGACGATAGACACCAATCTATGCCTTAAATGTGACAGTTATATTTGTTACTATCCAGTGACTAATTCTTGTGAAACCAAAGTATTCAAGTCAAAAAGTTAAACCTTAATACTAGTGATGATATCATCCAGTCCACTAAAAGTGACTATGCTTGCTTTAAAATTCATAGGTTCTTGATAAAATCTGACAGAATACTGAATCTGATTCACAATTTCAACAAGTCGTATTCAGTTTAGGGTAGCTTAATCATTTATACTATCCGTAGACTAATGGCTATTGTTTTGACGTAGTCAAACTTTTATCAATACTTTTTGTCGCATTCTTTTAAAATAAGTGGTAATAGCTGAAGTGATGAATCATTCTTAATTCAACTAACTTCAGACCAATGTTCTCATAGTTTTTGTCGGTTCTGAATAGCAGAATCCTAAATGACCATTTGATTAACTGATAAATCCTCCTAGTCCCAATGAGTGTGAATGTTCTGACTATTTTTTCGAATACTGCATTCACCACTTCAGTCCTCAATATTTCACTATCCACCGTCGCTGTGACATCCGATTGTCTATTAAGGGTGGCGTGTACTGCACCTGCACAGCAGTCCGCCCTCTTCTACTACATGACTGTGAAACATAGCCATCCAAGGTGGAAGACATGAGAAGGCTTCAGGTGTTTGACCACCGTTGGCTTCGTAGTATAGACTGCATTCCGTGTATTCCGTGACTAGCGCAGAAGTCAGGTGTAGAGTTTTAGGGATAAGAGGTAAGACAGTTCATGCGGTTGTGAACCTTGATTGACTGAAATGGTTGGGACACGTGTTACGTATGCCTAGTCGCCGATTGTCTCCCCACATAATGTTCGCCGAAGTAGGTTCAGGCTGGAAAAAGGCCCGTTGTGGCATGGCATCAGTGTATGAAGTCCTTGACTGTTGGTTTGAGTCGTGTAGGGGAGTGCAGACTAGTTGGTTGGGGTCCGTGGGACAAGATTGACCAGTGGTTCGAGACTTTAGGTGATATTGTTCAGAACCGATGTTAATGCCGCAAATGCATACACATATTATCTTAACGTTATACCTAGTCTCACCATTTTCTCATTCTTCCTTTCTCTCTTTTCATACTTTATATTTCTCTAGACTGAATTTTCTTATCTTCATCTTCCACTTCACGGTCTTTTTACTTGATGTACTGATCTGAGGTGTGGCAACTCGAACCGTAACACAATAATGCCTAGTCCTATATTTATAGATGATGATGATGATGATGATGATTTCAGTAGAACAAAGAGGTTTCTATGTGCTTGATGTACTGACTCATATTTGCGCTAACTGACTAGATTTCTTTGATACCAGTATGGATTAAATTCGTTCTTGTAAACTGCTGATGCATTCAATCTGATAGACAGATAAAATCAAGGTAGAATCTCTCACGGAAGTTATTTGCTTCAATTTCCACAATTCACAGTAGCATGTAAAGAACAAGTCGATCAAAGGAAGACTGATATCGAAGTAGACTAGTGTGTATGGAAGGAGAGGAGGAGGTTAGTGAAAATATTCAAGCATTGGGAGATTTCAAAGAGTGAATACATCTACACGGTTGTGACCGATTTCTAACCATATCATCCAGAGCCCTCAACTACTCATTTCTATCGTCTCGGGGACTCCAGCCGCATAGTTCTCACTCCCTACATGGCTAAGCGCAGCAGTTCAACGGTTGTTTAGTGTTACGCAGCTCTGATGTCTAGCTAGTAGACTGTGCAAATCGATGTGAGTAATAACTAACTACTCATATCGCATCTAGTAGTATGTGGTTTTAGCCTTGTATCTGTTGGCGTTGTATAGATGGTAGAAATTAAATGTTGTAGAGCCATTTAACAATTTGAAAAATTCTCACCAATTATTGTTTACTTTCATTTATATTTTTCAGAAAGATGTTGGAGACTCAGATTATTTGACAATATTTCATCGTATTGTTCTGCCTTTGGGATATGAGGTAGGTTTCTGAATATATTCATTCAACTATAAATGATCGTATCATTCTGTGATCTTATTCATGTATTGTTCAGCTATTAAAAATCAGGCAAATATCTAAAATTACTAATGTGTTCAAGTGTTGTTCGAGCGAGTGGTTTTTGTATGCAATCGACTGATTGATTGATTGATTTCCTGCAGTAGTTTTACATCACAAACTGACATAAGGCAGGAGAGTCATTGATAACTGGGCAATCTTAGGTATTGGTTTCATCCATAGTCTAAGGTAGCTCTGAAGAACGCATCTACAGCCCCACACAAAACTCAGACTAAATCTTAACAACTTGACATATCTGCTTGAATAACCATTATGGTTAGTTATAGTTAAGTGATCTGGTCACCCTGAACCCTCTTCCAAACTAATCCTACCTCCCGCCACACCAGCCTGAGACGTCCAGGTTGGCGACGGCTGTGCATGCACAGTATATCTTCAAGCTACCTCAGTTGGCTAATGTTCACGACCTCATCAATCGATTTGCTTATCTTTCCCAGTACCCTTATCCTGACCTCTTAATTGATCACACGGTGACACCTAATATTAGCTGACTAAAAGTTGGGTTGCCTAAAGATGGGGAATACGTAAAAACTTTACCAATCCATACAGCCTGTGACTACTGATCTAATATGTTTATGAGAATATCATCCTTTAAGTTAGGAGACAGATAAATTATGTCAAAGTAGAACTTCGCATAGAAGTGCATCGGTCCACAGCATTATGCTAAGAACCATTAGGATGAGATAAATTGGTCAAAAACAAAACAATGTTTTCTAAACGGATTAAGACAATTAAGTGAAATAACACCGGAAACTAATCAAAGTGAAGGCAATTATAATAACAATAATAGTGATAAACGAAGCATACAAAGGTTAAAATTAACAAAGTGGGAGGGGAAGCTAATAGGGTGGGGAAATGTGATGGTCATGATAAAAACAGTGACCACTGTACATACACCTTCTGCACCCACAGGTCAGCCTTCAGTTCATGAATAGCTAAAGCCTCTACTGTTTTAAGAAGTTGAAAACGAAGAGAACGTGGGAGGTTTGGGCGAATTCGATTAATAATTTTAGCCTCATTGTCTCGGTTTGTTGAGTGATGGAAATCAATAAAATGTTCTAGAATCGAACTTCTAAAAGACTTTCTTTCACCTTTATAAAACCAAACAAGAACATGTTCTCGTATACGTGTAGGAGGCATTCTCTGGCTAAGGCCGATGTACCTTGCTCCACAAGAGCAGGTGAACTGGTAGATGCACACAAAGGCGGCCAAACGAGGAAGCTTATCTTTAACACAAACGGAGAATAGGTTACGGCTGGTGAAGGTCAACTGAAGTCTTGCTGAGAAGAAAGTTCTATTGATTGATCTGCATAGACGATTCTTTAGTACATCCGATGCTAGGTCACCTTTAAATTCTAGGCTCATGAACAATCTTTTCTTTGGGATCGAGTGAATGACCGGTTTAGTATTTCTTTCTAGCATAGTTTTATCAATAAAACGGCTAGGGTAACCGTTTTCAACAAGTGTGTTTTTAAAAAAGATAGCTCTTCATCAGTCAATACAATTGTCACTACAGATATTTCTTATTCGATAGCAGAGAGAGTGAATAAGATTTCTTTTTCTGTTGATAGACACCCAACTGTAAAAAGTAGTTAGTTGTCCGTTCCACGTTGCTTTTCCGTAGATGGATCTTTTGAGGTATCCATTCTTACGTCGGGTGAGAAGCACATCAAGAAAAGGAACGGTTGATTCTGATTCATTATCCATGGTAAACTTGAGGGCTTGATGGCATTCACTGAATGAACGAAGAACACCGTCTAGATCAACATTTTTGTCACAGATAATAAACGTGTCACCCATATATCTTCTATAAAAGTCAAAGCTATTAATAGTTTGACAAAGTTGTGAATTCTCTAGTTTCGACATGAAAAAGTCTGCTAACAATGGTCCCAATGGTGACCCCATCGCTATTCCATCTTTCTGTCTATAAATTTCATTATTGTAACTAAATTGGATATTTAATGTACACCTCAACAAAAGCTCTTTCAAGCAGCTAGTTGGTAGTCCTACGTCTAAATTATATGCATCAATATAGTCACATATATAACAGACAGTCTCAGTGAGTGGTACACTAGTGAACAATGAAGTAACGTCCAATGAAAACATCATCTTGTCTGAAGCATTAAAATCCTTAATACCCTCAACAAACTGAAATGTATCACGGATAGAAAAACTCGACACATGCCTTCTAACAAGTTCCAGAATTTCAGCTAACCACTGAGCAGTTCGGTGATAAGGTGAACCAGCCATATCCAAAATCGGATGAAGAGGTAATCCCGCTTTATGTATCTTCGATAGTCCATATAGACGTGGGATTATGGAACCAACTGGTCGGATACGTTCATATAAATCGAGGCCAATTATTGACCTATCCCTCATGCTTCTTAAGATACTTGTGAGTTGTGTTCCAATTATATGTGTCTTGTTGGACTCACCTTCAAGTTTAGTAAACAGTGTGATCAGAGAGAATTACCAAAAGTTTATCACTATACTCCTCACGATTCATTAGGACAACGCCTCCTCCTTTATCAGGATGGCTTATGATAATATCACTGTTATGTTTGATTAATTTTAGCTGTTGTATATGGTCCTTAGTCAATAAAGAGCTAGAACTTATTTTGGAGTTGGTAAATTGATGACAACAGTTAAGAATAGTGGACTTGAAATGCTGAAATTTCTGTGGCGATGCTGGCATAAGACCGGGTCATCGTTTACTTCTAATACATTTCACAGCTTATTTCGTTTTCCGCGCAGTTTTTGCGTCACACATTTATTCGATTGCTTCCAGTATTGATCATAGATTTTACCACTAAATGACTTGAAGAACCTTCTATTAAAGTGTACCATCAAGGTGTACAGTTTGTCTTCAGTGGGCAAGTTCATAGACTAATAGATGGAATTGCAGTTATATCTGATTTAGGATCACTATTTTCATAGACAAACGAGAGAATAATAAGCTCCGGCCTAACTACTACTGTCGATACATTCGTTCTGTGCAGCAGCAACATAAAGATACAGAACTTATCAATAGATGACAATGCCTATTGAATGATCACACTTACATCTGAACTTGAAAAGCATAGTCAACGTTTGTCTTAGATTGCTATGGTTAGCTGTCCAGGATGTAGAAAACATTCACTTACGGTAAAGTGTACTCATTTTCATAGTCGTATCTGATTCTGGCAAAAGTGGAATTCGGTCATACGCCAAACCAGCAGATAATGAAGTTGTAACGACCAGCTGTTGATACGTTTTCGCTTAGCCTGTAGGTAGGTAGGTACGTTGTTGGAGGGGGACGCGCGTAGAGCAGTGTGAGTTTGATGGTGACCACAAGAATATGAAGGGGAAAAGAGGAAGAGAAAAAAAAGGTGAAACAACGATTCAGCAAATATAAAGTAAGTAAACGGAGAAAATGTATTAGGAGAAAACGATTATCCGGACAGTTTCATCAAGAGAAAGATGATAGGTTGCATTTCAAAAGTAAAATTATAAACAGTTACAAGAAAGTCATTGTTCATGTATGCGTTCATCCCTCTATCACAGACACTGTTTAAAGCGTGAATCAACCAATAACATAAACAGAGAAATAGCGTGTCGGAATAAACACCATGCTAATGCCCGATATGTGTAGGATTCAAACGAGAGAGAATGTGATATAGCCAGGAAATGACAAAAAAAGCCTAATGCTGAACTCAAATAGACAAAATCGCATCACCATTAACATTCGTGTGCATAAAACATCGAAGTGTATTCTGTACTATAATTTTACTACTTACTATTAATTATTATTATTATTAGTCCCTTGGGTTCCTAATGGAACATAGGGCTTCAGTAGCACGTCTCCAGTGACCTCTGTTCTCTGAGATCTTTTGAACCTGGTTCCACGACAGCCCAGAAGCTCTCATTTCCTCCTCGCACGATCTCCTCCATGTCACCCTCGGACGTCCAACTCGTCGCTTCCCATGGGGATTCCACTCGAGTGACTGGCCTGACGCGTGATGTCCCCAGTCGGCCTTCTCAGTGAATGCACAATCCATCTCCACTTTATTCTTCTGCTATTTGTTGAGCGATATCTTCTTGGTTGGTTCGTTGCCAGCCAGCTAGAGTTCCTTGTTGCTTATTCTTATTATTCTGTCCATCCATCTGATCTTCAGTAACGAGCCAGCGTAGGCAGTTGTTGATGGATGTCTGTAGTTTGTTGGAAATGCCTTTCGTAACGCAACAAGTCTCTGAACCATACAGGAACACTGACTTGACGTTGGTGTTGAAAATCAGCATCTTGTTCACGCTTAATGCTGAGTGCAGAAGATCTCCACACTGGTTTCAGGTTAATGAACGCCTGTCTTGCTTTTCTGATTCTGACTTTGACGTCGTCGTCTCTGCCTGTGTCGCCTGTAATTGAAACAGTGCTTCCTAGATAGGTGAAGGAGGTTAACTCCTTTAAGTTTCTCCCATTCATGGTGACTGGAGTTTGTTGTTGTTGTTGGAGTTGTTGGTGCGGTATCTTCATCACTTCTGTCTTCTCTGTATTCACCTGAAGTCCCGTCTTCTCTGCCCCGCCTCTTCTGCCAACTTGTTAGTTTTCACCTGTAGATCTTCAAGTTTGTGTGATGTCAGGCACAAGTCATCATTGGCGAAATCCAGATCTTCTAGGTTCTTTTCCGCGCACCAGCCAGCGTATCCCCCTCTTCTCGCTCCCCACTGTTTGCTGCATGATCCAGTCGACCACAATCAGGAATATCATGGGGGATAGTTGGCAACCTTGTTTCACTCCTGTCTTCACTTCACTGCAAAAGCATCACTGAGCTTCCTTCCCATTGTGAATTACTTGGCATGTGGCATCTTCATATAGTTGTTGAATGAGGCTGATAAAGGTTTGTGGTACCCCGTAGTAATGAAGCAGTTTCCAAATTACCTCTATGTCGACGCTGTCAAAGGCCTTCTCAAAGTCGATAAAGTTGAGGTAGAGAGTTGACTGCCATTCTATAATCTGTTCCATGATGATGCGTAGTGTAGCGTTGCAATTTGGTCGGCACATGATTTGTACTTCCTGAATCCAGCCAGCCAGCCTGTTCCGGTCGTAGTTTTGAATTCAGTGCATCCTTTAGCCTCTCCAGGATGATGCGGCATAATATTTAGCTTGCTCTGGGTGGACAGGAGAGTGATTCCGCGCCAGTTCTTGCGAACAATAAGGTCTCCCTTCTTCGGGAGTTTGACAAGGCAACCCTTCTTCCAATCGTCAAGTACCTTCTCTTCCTTCCACACCTTCTGCAATAGTGGTGTGGTGTGAGCATGTCCGCTGTTGTCTCTGCATCTGTTCTCAGTGCTTCTGGCGGGATTCCATCTGGTCCTACTGCTTTCCCACATTTCAGTAGCTTTATGGCACTCAGGACTTCCATTTTTGTTGGAGGATTTATGTTCACTTGTAGTTATGTGGCTGGGCTGTAGGTGGTATTTCTGGACGAAGTTCAGGTGGTGGTCGATTCAAGAGCTTCTTGAAGTGGTCGGCCCATCGTTTCCTTTGTTTCTCTTCTTTCGTAATCATATTTCCGTCATCATCTTTCATTGGTTTCATCTGTGTTGATCTCTTCCCAGATAGTAACCTGGTGATTTGACACAATGTTGTCAGACCTTTCCTACCAGCAGCCTGTTCTGCTTCACTTGCCAGTGTTTCGTAGAAGTGTCTTTTGTCTTTGCGTGCACTCTTCTTCACTTCTTTATCCAGTGTTTTATACATTGTGCTCAGTTCCTCTTGTCGTTGAGCATCCTTGCACTGGTTTATCTTCTGCTTCACCAGCCTCCTCTCCTCTATCAGCTTCCAGGTATCCGTCGAGATCCATTCCTTGTCTTCTTTCTTCTTCCTTCCTAATACGACTGTGCAGGTTTCTTTCCACATCTATTTCAAAGACTTCCAGAGTTCTTCCATACAGGCTTCTTCAGGGATGTTCCCCGATATCTCCCATTTTGTTTTGATGGCTGTTTGACGTGAAGATTTCCTTTGTAGTTTCATGCTTCATTTTCCGAGTGTTGTACTTGAACTGAGGTCTATCACCAGCTTCCTTGAAGGCTTTTAACTTGATTTGGAAGGTAGGTTCCTTGCACTAGACAGTGAGTGGTGTGAACCTACATCTACTCCTCTTCTTCATCTGAACTTGTGTCAAGTAGACTGCGTCTCCATTTTCTTGAGATTGAGATAAAGTCGATTTGATTTTTAGTGTGTCCTGGTGTCTAGTGAAATCCATGTCGCTTTGTGGATATCCTTGTGCTTGAACACACTGCCTCACTGCAATTACCAAATCGTTGAATGCACAGAATTCTGCAAACAATTCTCCATTCTCGTTCATCACCTCACCGAGTGCTTCTCGACCCATGGTTAGTTCTCTTCCTGTGTTGTCTGCTCCCAGTTTGGAATTCATGTCACCCCACCCATTAGAATTTTGATATCGTCAACTGGGGTGGGGTCTTGTCCAGTGTTGATTGGAGTTGTCTGTAGAATTCTTCCTTCTTCTCTTGCTCTGCATTATTTGTAGGTGCATAACATTGTATGATTGTGACCTTCCTTCCTTTTGAGTTAAATCTTGCTGCCGTGATCCTGGAGTAGATTGGTTCCCACTGCATGAGAGCCTTCGATGTTGTTGGGGACATCATGATAGCCACTCCATAACTCAGTGTGGTCGTGGTTGTCGTCTGGGTGACAATATCGGAGTAGATTATTGATTCTCCAGTTGGCAGTTTGGAGAGTCCACTCCCATTCCATCTGCTTTCGCAAATTCCAAGCACTTCGATGTGATACCTTCTCATCTCCTTTGCAATCTGGGCTGCCTTGCTGTGTTCAAACATGGTGCGGACATTCCATGTCCCCACGTTTACTTTCGCTTTCATCGAGGGAGAGAAGACACATCGGCCAATTGGCTTCCCGAAGGCTTTCACCAACTGGCGTCATTTCGCCTCTCCGATTCCAGTGAGGAATAATTTTGTTTTTATTTTTTATATTTTGTTTGTGCTCTGAAGTTTCTTTAGCAGTTAGATTTGTTTTGCAGGGTAGGGTTGTTAGCCCTATGCCCAACCTTCCCTCTTTACCTGGGCTTAGGATCGGCTAGTAACTAGTGAACTAGTTAACCAGGCGAGGTCACTTACTATTAATAAGTAGTATAAATTTTGAAGCATAATGGATATGTAAGCAGATTTGAAACTTATGATTTAATACTTACCAGCTAGATTATTGCGTTCATGATTGTTATTCCTTTCAGTTTGACCCAGAATTGGTGCTCGTTTCTGCTGGATATGATTCTTCATTTGGTTGCCCTGTGGTGAGTGGTCGAATTTATTTAATTAATATGCTGAAATTATCCTTTACAATGTTTATAATTGGCTATTCCTAATGATTGGACAATTAAAAGGTCCTTGAAGAGAAATACATTGAATATACACATTTTCATTCATAACGGTCATATGAAAGTAATAATTATCAGTTTGACTATCTGAGGTAGCTGTGGTTCGGCAGACTGTTATTGATACCGGGTTGATGATTGAAGGTGAAATGAAAAAATTTGGGCCTCAGCCCAAAGTTATAATTTCCTAACGTATTCTAAGCTTCTTTTTAAACCATAAAATCGTATCATATTATTCATCATACCTAAGCAATGATAATTGCTTCCACTGACCAGAATATGAAGCTTAAAATTCACTGGTAAGTCTAAGATATAACTATGCTCATAAGTGGCTGCCGTAAGGAAGGCAGGTATACTGCATTCAGTGAAAAAAGGGTAGGAACAGAACTATTTTAACCATCTGAATTTGTGAATAAACACTGTATGGAGGTTAGAAGCTTAAGCCCTTTACCTTAAATCACCTTTGAATCAAGCTAATCCTGTTTAGACAGTGAATAATACTTCTTTGCAAAGTATCCTACACGTGAGCATGACATCGGTGATTACATGTGAGATTTATCGGTTTTCTACAAAAAACAGACAGTAACCAATCTCATTCTGTCTTGTCCTTAGGGTTGACTGAATTATATCTATCATTCTGTAGTGCGGTCGCCTAACTAAGAGACTTATCATCACAGTGCTGTTTGGCGACGATTAGCAGGAAGAATTGTTTGCCTAGGCTTCATGTATGCTACCCTCAATCTGAATAGCTCTGAGGAGGTCGCAGTAACGTCCTACTGCTTCCTTCCGATTGCCTCTCTCCACCTAACATCTACACTATTGTGTGTTAGCGTAAATTATTTCTTTAAGTAATCTTGAAATATGATCTGTTTTTTCATGTCCTTATTCACTACATGAAAATGTTGTTTCTCATCACACCTATCCTTGTACAGTAAGGTAAGGTTTCATTTCATACTCATCTATCTACCTGGGGCTTGGTATGTGTCTGTGTCTGTGGAAGCAACAACAATAACCTTATGCATCATCAGCATGTATTGACCGTCATTTCCAATAAAATAGATCACGCTTTATTATCCTTGGTTAACTACATTATTATTATTATTATTTTGGTGATAAATTTATCATACATGAACTAACGGATATCTTTCCATATATCTCTTATTTAAACTGTCTATTGTTATGCGTCCTAATGCCGTACACCGTGGTATATCATCGCTTCTTCTTATCAGATAACAACAAATTTTTACTTTAGAATTTGTTTTTGCACGTTTCTCTCTAATATTTCTTCTCAAGGGTGAATTAAATGTTAGTCCTTCGCTATATGCTCATCTTACGCACAAACTTATGGCTCTTGCTGAGGGAAAACTGATCATTGGTTTAGAAGTAAGTTATTTACTTGATAAGTGGGTTACATTTAGCCCCATTGTTTTACAAGTTTATGAAGCATGAACACTTTGAACATGTATCGGGCACTTGATTATCAATATTTACTTATGAATTTCTTTGATATAATGAAATCTTATAATTCCATTGATTTTTCTTAGAATGAAATTCTATGCATTCTCTTCTATTCGATTGAGCAGCTGATTAACTTTAAGATAGTGTTCATCTCGAAATATCATCTTGTATACGGAAGGCCCCGATTGGCATTTGTTAACTTACGTCATCTCTTATGCTGACTAAAGATATCCGACTACCTATCAAAGGATCGTGGGAGCAATGTTGTGGTCAGGTGAAGGGTACCAAGCAAGAAAGGCAAGTCGATTGGTCGGGTTGTGAACTTTCATAAGCTAAAAGGGGTGGTTCGAAGATGTACTGCACATGCCGAGCCACTACCTATCTCGACATAATATGCTGGTGTCGGGGAAGTTGGATTAGTTTGGAACAGGGTTCACAGTGACCAGATTAATACCTGGTACCTATCGATAAGGTCTATTATTGTTGGTCTTAGCGTGTTGAGAGATGTAGACTACTTGACTGGAGTCGTCAAAACGACTGGAATGAGTCGTTGAGGACGCTTGATGACATGGCTGAAAATTGGTCACAATGGTGGAGATGTGTTCACTCCTTGACATCTTCTAGAACTTGAATATTCGCATTAACCTTTATCCTCAGATTGTGTATTCTGTCATACGACTTTATTTTCTTTGACATCACTCTCTTTCTATCCACTTGTGTGCGAGTTTTTATGTTGATTTTGTCCGTTTTATCTGTCTGTTTATCATATATTGGAATTGGGATCTGAAACATTTTACGCAAACAGACAGATCAATGTTGAGCACTGACTGCGATAAGGTTCAAACCACAAAAAAACATTAAAATAACAAACAAGTAAATAAAAGTATGAGGATGTTAAAATAAACACTTATGGACACTACAGAAGAAAGAGAATAAACGAATTTGATCGAATGAAAAACTCGAATTAACATCCCCAACACCTTTCTTAATTAGTGCTTTGCATCTAACCTTAACACTATTCACTGTATGATTCCATCACTTGTGAGCAATACTACAGAGATGCTTACTGTCTAAAGCCTACAATCTCTGCATATCTTCCACTTTTAACCGCTATATCTCACAACCGCAAAATACGTCAAAGTGCACTACATCCATCCTTTGTTAAACGATTGAATGTCTCACCAGTGCTCGTAGATGGCAGATGTTCTGTCCTAAGTTCAGGTTTGCAGCATTGGGACTCGACTATATATGGAATAGAACGGTAAGACATTCAAATGTCATGCATAACTCATTTCCCTAATATTCATTCAACCACATTCTCGTATTTTATGTCAATTCATGATTAAGTAGTAGTACAACCATCTTACACTGTCATATTATCGACATGCATCTAACTACTCATATTCCATCATTTCATAATGAGTTTTTTGTCAACTACACCCTTTCATATCTTCACTGAAATGTAAGGTTTCAACTTTCATTATTATTTAGAGGTGGTATTCATCATAGTCTGACATTAGTTGGAGAACCATTGGGAGTAGTGGACAGCCGTTTCGTCCCTGCATCGGACTCCTCAACAGTACACACCGAATGGCTGGATAGTTAACGTGTTCGCTGTGGAACCTGAAGGTCCTCTGTTCCATTATCGATCGGGTCGTGGGTGCGTACTGCTGAGAAGTCCCATACTAGGATGAAAAAGCTGTCCCAGGTTTTCAATGGTTCCCCAACTGATGTCAGTCCATGATGAATACTACCTCCAAATTAAAATCCTCATTTACCTCGAAAATACATTTCTGTTGACAGTAATAGTAGCGATAATAATAATAATATTAACTAACACAGTTTGACTTCTAATACAATATTGTTCCATAAAACTTTCCAGTATACAACCATATACACTTTATATATAGATTGATTTCTTTCATTCATTAGATTCATATGGGTTTGATTTTCAATCTAATTTTAGGGTGGTTATTATTTGGAGAGTTTAAGTGAATCGATAGGTCATACTCTGTCTGCTTTGTTAGGTGATCCAATGCCATCTTTAGAACCGATTAAACCTGTCAATCCAAGGTTAGTTGTTTCATTTTTCACCTCTTCATTATGTTATCAATCGTGTTTTCATGATTTTAACTACTGTTTAGCTGGATATTTGCTTGATTGTTTGTTAGTCAAGCATTCTGACTATCAACCATTGGGTCATGGGTTCAACCTTCGTTCCATCTATTGAGGTTTGAACAACCAGGTACGTGCCTACTACACAGATGTGCACTGGGTAGCTGAATGAGTTTCATCATTCTGTTCCTGGTGTATACTATCAATTGATTGTAAATTGAATACAGGTTGTGAAGACTGAGCGTAAGACATTATCGTCTCTGGGAATCAAGCAACTGCATCATTGAGACATACATCTTTTCATGTTAGTGTATATGTGGATCTCTAAAGAAAGTGATACCGTTCATGACTTCATGAACGTCACAGATGTGCCACTGGAGGTCCTTCACCCCTCGTCTTATGACCTTACCGGGATTGACATTCTTTGAAAAGATTACTTGTTTCAGTTGTTAGATAAATACACTGGAAATATACATAGATTGCTTTGAACATATTGAGAGACAACTGGAGGATGTTTTAGGTGTATTTCTCACTGCTTGAATAAAAACTACTCCTCCAGGACGTATTTTTGTTAATCTTTATTTGACTATTATGATTGTGTAGTGGTTAAGCGCATTGATTACTACTTCACCTTCCTGGAAAATTGAATTAGCCTTGATGTGAACTATGATCAGTAAAATCTCAACTCGAATATCAAAGGCTAGACTGGCCTTTATCAACACACCTTACTTATGGCGTCAATAAGATGTTTAATGGCCTGCAAGGGGTCGGATGTAGTCCGCAACATTTCACTCTGTCCTACCAAGTTACTATAAAAAATTACTATTAAAAGGGGAAAGCCACCAACATAGAGCCGGAACATCGCGAATCTACACCTTCTCATATATCATGCAAACTTGTAATAATATCTAGAAAATAAGAATTTCTGACCTGATGGCACATTGGTATTATACAAATAATCGCATAAAACTCGTATAATTCATCGAAATTCAAAATATTTAAAGTTTCTCCAACTCAGAGTAGTATGATGTCGAAGACAGCTCCTCTCAACTAGTTAAACTCTCTTCTTGACTTATTTCAGCCCAACATTGATGGTGTAACATCTTTGAAGTTGTAATGAAAACTTAAATCAGGATTTATGAGGATTTATTGATTTCTGGGTATTTTTCACCATGGATATGTACATTAAATAAATAACAATTGAAAAATGGAGATCACTAAGCGCCTTTTTTTTTCTCTAGTCTTTGACTCTTCATCAGTTCTCAACCGCAATCTTTCGAAGGATCCATATTATTATTATTATTATTATTATTATCATCAATGAATACTCACCAACCCTAATTAGGATTACATTCCTATACTCATCAAAACTTGGATGAAATGTATTCAGCAACGTTGCTCACATTCGTGCGGTAGACAATGGGTCACACTTATTGTGTGAAGGCTAATGAAACTACCTCGTTGCCCGAACCTCAGTGCATGGAGCAAAGCTCGGTCCTATTGTAGTGGGCGTTGCTGATAACAACGGATATCAGTAGTATATATCGAGAGGGTGGCAGGAATCATAGGGAATTATCGGCAATGGGTGAGGTTTCTGCCAAGAGCAACTCAGGGGACAACACAAGCGTATTACAGGGGATGCTGCTGATAAGTGTATGAAGAGCCGGTCAAGAACAAATCAAGAAAGGAACGGAGAGGAAACGAAGATATTTGCAAATGGCTGCGTGAGTGCAAGGAGTACCATATGTAACCACTACCATTCCAATTGTACGTAACAAAGATTCTCTCGCCGAGTTGTCTTCTGTTCTTCACTATGACTTAGTGGTTGAAAGCCACTTCTTCAAATCAATGAGACAGCTCCACTGCTAGTGACTTACTTCAAGATAGATTTAAGTCTAATTGGCAAGTCCTAATTGTTATTGTCAACCAAGCTGAGTGTAAAGCGTGGATTGCCATTTTTCTCTAAACTTTTTCATATTTCAGTGTTTTAAAATCAATATCAAATTGTGTATCTACACTTAACTTTCGATGGAAATTATTACGTGTATTCCCATTATCGAAAACTTTACCGTTTCCTGATTTGAGTCATTTGAAATTACAGAGCTGGTAAGTTTCAAGTTAGATTACTATAATAATAATAATAATAATAATAATAATAATAATAATAATAATAATAATAATAATAACAATAATAATAATAATAATAATTGTGTAATGATAATTAGTATTGCTTCACATCAGGAGTAAGTGTTATAGAATACATTTGGGCAGTCACTGTTCTCTGTCAGACAGATAAAAGGTAAGATAGATTATCTCGTTTTGCATCTGTCTTGTTTTCTGTATTTCAGTATACAGTAGGGAAAAATATAAGACGTGAGCAAATATACCACTAAAAAAAAAGTTAAAACGAAGCCCTTACCCTGAAAAAAACGGAGGTAAAGACCGTAGTTGACTCCGAAGAAGTGGTTAAAAGGAACCAATGAATCTTAAAAGCTTTGTCCGAATTAATAAATCCACGTCAATGCATTCCTGTAGGCTCCAAGCTATGTGTAGGGGCGGAATCGACTCAAATGTAGACTGACAAAAAGTCTATTCAATGTTCGCGAACAGTGATGAGTAGCGAAAGTTAAAGTGATGGATAGGTTAACAGCGATAGATAACAGTAGATAGTTATGTAGACTTATTAAGGAAAGTGAGGAAAAGAGGTCAGTGAGAAGGATGGGTTTTTTACTCACTCTCAAGAGAGATGGCTGGAACGATGGCCGAAATACTTGGAGAAACAATTCAACAGGCCTTCAGTCACTCTCCCATTGCTCACTATCCAGTCAGATCCTGAATGGAATATTGAGATGGAGCCTCCAACACTTAAAGAAATGAAATGATGAAGTCCAGCAGGGTCAAAGATTCAGAAAATAAGGTGAAAAAAAGATAAATTTATTTACTTCACTGGTATCATTCTTGAGATGTATTGCACAAGACTATCACCTTTCCGTGTCCGAAATCGCTTTTTCGCTATTTATCTGATTAGCCTCACGGATTCTTATCCTTCTTTGGTCTTATCAGCAGTCTTAAATTCCTTCTTTCTCATATTCGTTTCTCGTTGTTCTACACATATCTCAAACATATAATGATAAGATAATAGTAATGATGACAATATAAGACCACAAATGTAAATAGATTCACTTTGTCCAGTTGACAGCTAAATAGTTTTCAGTGATAGAATTTCATCTTGATGTCATTTTATTAACACTGGCTAGCAATAGAGACCAAGCTGGGCGTCTCATTCTTTTTTTAAATTCGCCAGCTTAATATACTTGAGCTTAAATAAATGGTTGTGTTCTCACAATGTTGTCTACTAGGTTAGTGTCTTATAATCGTTCCTTAGTGTGGTTGTACATGTTACTGACGAGCCCGAAATAGGGCGAAACGCACAATTTTTTCTTCACTTCTAGTCGTCACCCTTTAAATGACCTCGGAATTAAACTAAAAGCTATAAAGAAACATTTATTCTAAAATTCTATGTACTGACCAAATACCAATAAACCACAGGAACCCATAGATGATACAACTCCGTTTTGTCTATATCACTTTCCTTTTTCAATTCGTTTTTCTCCGGTTATTTTCTTTTATTTCAGAATTTTTTTTTCTACCATCTCTGTCTAGGTCAGACGTCAAAGTGCCGAATTTTGAACCAACTGATAAAAATCACAATCTCAAAGATAAGTTGAGAATAGATACAAGGCTGGAGTATCTAAAGTCTGCGCATTCAGTAGCTTGTAATACTAAGATAACCGGGTAAGAATGTATATTTGTTCTGCTGTATGATTTACCTTGCTTATATATCTGGGTTCTTGGTTGATTCGTTGCCAGCCAGCCAGAGTTCTGTGATGCTTATTCTTTCTGGCCATCCATCTGATCTTCATCTTCAGTGTCGAGTGAACGTAGGTGGCAGCTGTTGATGAATGTCTGTAGTTTGTTGGAAATGCTTTTCGTAACGTGCCAAGACATAACATAGAAGCACTGAATTGACTGACATTAATGTAGAAAATCCGGATCTTGTTCACACTTTATGCTGGGTGCAGTGCAGTGTAGTAGATCTCCACACTGATTTCAGATTAATGAAGGAAGGCCTGTCTTGCTGTTTTTCCGACGCTGGCTGGCTTTGACATCCTCACCTGTGTCGTCGCCACCTGTAGTTGAAATGATACTGCCTAGATAGGTAGGTAGGTGAAGGCGACCACTTCCTTTAAATTTCTTTCGTTGATGGGATTGGTGCTTGTTGTTGTTGTGGTTGTTAATTGGTTGGGTATCTTCATCATCTCTGTCTTCTCTACGTACACCTGAAGGTAATCCCATCTTACTTCGTTGTTCTGCCTCTTCTGCCAACTTGTTAATTTTCGTCTGTAGATCTTCGAATTTGTGTGACATAAGACACTATACATAAATCATCATCGGCGAACTTCAAATCTTCTTCTGGGCTCTTTTTATTAGTCAAACAGCGTATGCCCCTCTTCTCGCTTCCCACAGTTTGTTGCATGATCCAGTCCAGTCCAGTCGACCACAATCAGGAAGATCATCTGTGATAGTAGGCGGTAGCCTTGTCTTATTCTTGTCTTCCCTTCAAAGGAATCCTTCGCTTAGCGATCTAAAAATAATGTTTGAAGTGAACTCAGTAAAGTAAGGAAATATTTTATTGATACATAAAGGTAGCATTAGTGCTGTTCACTCTAAGTCACCTAACTGACACAACTTTCCGTATTGTTGTCTGTTATCTCGACGACTTTAAATAGTCAATTTTTAGGTGTTTATGTAATCAGCAAGTTAGACACTTGTCACGTCCATTAAATCCTCCAACCTACCCACCTTCCACCAAACAATACACTTATTTATCGTTCCCACTTATGTCACATTCAAACTATTGATTGACTCGTAGCATTTAGTACGAAAAGACAGCTCACCAAAGTATCCTATTAACTAGTTTAGTAACCAGATTGTGAGTTCGAATCTCGAAGGGAAAGTTAATTTTTTCATGATTGTAGACACACCTTACTGATAAGTGGTAAAGAGGTCCAAAGTCAAATGAAATAGAGTCACCTAACATGTTACACACATATTCTAGGAATCATTCATACCACTCTTGTTTTTAGACGATGCAACCGATTCTGTAGAGATCAAAAGATAAACTTGTTCAACTGCTACCACTATCTCAATGATATCACAATAGTTGAATTTCTTAATGAAGATTTCTGCGTTTATAATGAAGCTTCCTCAGCTCTAGACTATCACAAAAAGTGCAGGTATTTCATGTTAGTTGCAGATTAACGCATCACTAAGTAAAGACTAAGTATATGCGCTCAGGGTTTTTCTCATAATAACTTGTTTACTTTCAGCATGCTTTTTTCTCCTGAAGACAGTGTTATCTTCATTGTGAAAGACCGATTAATGGCATTCATGATTTTATAATGAATCGGTAGTGGACTATGTCGCACATACTTGGTGATTAGTCTGTGTCATCTTTCTTCACCTCTGCAAACACACGCACATTGGTGTTGTTGGCAATGATTCACAAACTTATAGGCACATTTTAGTTGCCAAAATCCTCGGTAGATGGATCGTTGTTCCTACCTGTGACCCACTTATTGAGTGTGGAACATTATCTAGATTTAGTACTATTTATGCCTTCATAGAGAAAGTAATTTGATCATTTCATTCAATATATTGTAGTTTTGATTGACTGTGATTAAGTCACCTATCAACTACAGGTGGCGGCACAGACGAGGACGTCAAAGCCAGCCGGGATCAGAAAGACAGCAAGACAGGCGTTCATTAGCCTGAAACCGGTGTGGAGATCTTCTGCACTCCACTCAGCACAAAAGACAAGATCCAGATTTTCAACACTAATGTCAAGTCAGTACTCCTGTATGGCTCAGAGACTTGGTGCGTTACGAAAAGCATTTCCAACAAATTACAGACATTCATTAATAACTGCCTACGCTGGCTCGATACTGAAGATCAGATGGATGGCCAAAATAATAAGAGTAAGCAATAAGGATTTCTGGCTGGCTGGCAACGAACCAACCAAGAAGATATCGCTAAACAAATATGCGGGAGAAGGAAGTGGAGATGGATTGAATTGGCATACACTGAGAAGGCCGACTGGGGACATCACGTGCCAGGCCAGTCCCTTGAGTGGAACCCAGATGGGAAACGACGAGTTGGGCGTCCGAGGTGAGGGTGACATGGATAAGATCGTGTGAGGAAGAAATGAAAGCTTGTGGTCTGTTGTGTAGCCAGGTTCAAAAGATTTCAGAGAACAGAGCTCATTGGAGACGTGCTAGTGAAGCCGTATGTTCCATTAGAAACCCAAGGGACGAATAATAATGTCATATTTAGAGTATTTGTCACTACTTCTGCTCTTTTATATATTGAATCAAACATATCTATCTGTTAATTTCGGTTCTACACATGTTGTATTGTATGACTTAAGCTAGGGTTGCATCCTTCTTTCCCATCTCTAAGTTGATAATAATTTTCTATTATCTATCCAATGTTTACGGCTGAAATTCCGTCATATCTCATCACCATCGTCAATAACAATGACAATTCTACCCTGGCGTATTCATTTCAGAACCTGTTTGGTGTATGACAGTAGAATGGAGAATCATAAGCATGAAACAGATCCGTAAGTTGGTTGACATATCTTCAACTGATATTTCTTATAATGTAATATCTCCTCTTTTTTTCCAGTAGTAATTATTTACATTATTTTTGTGCATCGTAACAGGACCTTAAGTTTTATTGCTAGAAGTTTTTAGACATCGAAGATAGTTGAAATAAATGAGAAATCTGCTTATGTGTGTTAGAATCAGAGTTCGTTCCACCAAATTTGTTTCATTTGTTTACCTAAAGGCAAGTACGGGAATCCTCTTGGGATGACGATGCGGTAATCAACATAGCTAATTATGCTATTGATACTAGGTAATGATTCAAGGGGGAATGAAAATGTGGTCCCTGCCCTGAATCTCCCCGTCGTCGAAATTTTCATTCTACCTGGTATCAATACTAGTCTGTCAAACCCTGGCTACCTCAACTTCATCGACTTTGAAAAGGCCTTCGACAGCGTCGACTGACAAGTAATTTGGAAACTGCTGCAACACTACGGAATACCGCGAGCCTTTATCAGCCTCATTCAATAACTATATGAAGACGCCACATGCCAAGTAATTCACAACGGGAAGGAAGCTCAGTGATGCCTTCGAAGTGAAGACAGGAGTAAAACAAGGCTGTCACCTACTATCACCCATGTACTTCCTGATTGTGGTCAACTAGATCATACAACAACATGTGAGGAGCGAGAAGACGGGGATACACTGAACCAGGGAAAAGATCCTACAAGATTTGGATTTCGCCAGTGATGACTTGTGTCTGATGTCACACAAACTTGAAGATCTACAGGCTAAAACTAACAAGTTGACAAAAGAGGCAGGGCAGCGAAGACGAAACTTCAAGTGAACATGGAGAAGACAGAGGTGATGAAGATACCCAACCAACACCACCACCAGCAACAACAGCAACAACAAGCTCCAATCACCACCAAGGGGAGAAACATAAAGGAAGTAGCCTCTTTCACCTATCTAGGCAGCACTGTTTCAACTGCAGGCGGTTGCGGCACAGACGAGGACGTCAAAGCCAGGACCGGCAAAGCAAAACAGGCGTTCATTAACCTGAAACCAGTGTGGAGATCTGCACTCAGCATTAAGCGTGAACAAGATGCTGATTTTCAACACCAACGTCAAGTCAGTGTTCCTGTATGGTTCAGAGACTTGTTGCGTTACGAAAGGCATTTCCAACAAACTACAGACATCCATCAACAACTGCCTACGCTGTCTCGTTACTGAAGATCAGATGGATGGCCAAAATAATAAGAGTAAGCAATAAGGATTTCTGGCTGGCTGGCAACGAACCAACCAAGAAGATATCGCTGAACAAATATGCAGGAGAAGGAAGTGGAGATGGGTTGGACATACACGCACCAGGCCGTCGAGTGGAACCCATATAGTAGACGATGAGTTGGGCGTCCGAGGTGAGGGTGACATGGATTAGATCGTGTGAGGAAGAAATGAAAGCTTGTGGTCTGTTGTGTAGCCAGGTTCAAAAGATTTCAGAGAACAGAGCTCATTGGAGACGTGCTAGTGAAGCCGTATGTTCCATTAGGAACCCAAGGAACAAATAATAATATAATGATAAACCCTGGCTATCTCACTCAGATAGTCAAAATGATAAGTAATATGGTAATGTAGATGTCATGGTTCCTATTCGTTTGGTATTTAACTGGTAGATTTAAATACCCATAAGGGTTTCAGGCCTAGATGAGGATATACTGATAAAATATTGATTTTTTAACAGGTTCTGGAAGTTAAACATACTTATCAGCGCTTGATACTTTCTATATTGTTCCATATTCCAAGTTGATATTCGATTCATGTAATTGGAAAGTGGTATGGTGCTTTCTGACTGTGAAAAGAAGCATCAAGCAAATATGTTATGCTAGTTGAAGTTATCCACTTGAATTCATAGATATGTAGGAAGTTACGGATGGTTGTTATCTTGATTGCGAACACTTAATGGTGGAATACCTATATTCATCATTACTTCAACCTTGTTAGATATAGAGATTTTGAGGTTACTCTGTTCACTTCCGAATTCTCACGGATTTTGCTATCCCATGATCATCTAGTTAACTTAAAGTAGACAGATGACATAATTTTGTTTCAGACGAAGACGGTGATGAAATTCAAGATCTTCTAAACGCTTTTAGTGAAAATCTTAGTGACTTTGTTATGCGTTTTGACATTATCGAATGTAAAATGATGTTCACCATCGATCTGTACTAACACTCCTAGTTTACGGAAGTGAATTGAATAATGCAATGATTTACTCGCTTGAAGAGAGGTGTTCTACTTCTAAAAATTCGATTACTAGCAAAATCTCAACTCAGATACCTAAGCCTCGTTTAACATTTACCCAACATACACCATCTGTGTAATAAGGAAACACAGATAGGCAAAATTAGCGTAGAACATCGCACACTAGCGCATCAAACTAAGTCGACACACTTTATAGTAACATACAAGGAACAGGTGGATAGAAAAAGTGATATCGAATTAAAAAAGTTGTGTGAGGCAGTAAACACTGAAATATAGGTTGGCCCAAATATTCAAGTTTTATAAGACGTCAAAGAGTAAATACATATGCACCATTGTGATTGGTTTTCAGCTATCTCACTTAGAGTCCTCAACCACTGATTTCTTTCGTCTCGTAGACTCCAATAAGGGAGTTTACGTCTCCCAAAACGACTCGGACTAAACAGTCAGGGACTTTACCGATTAATCTCAAATCTTGGTCTGGGCAGACAGAATCCTCTTTCTACCTAATCCAACTTTCCCTAGCATGGCATGTCAAGGTACGCGGTGGTTGTACAGTACATGTCCAAGCTATCTTAGTCGACTAAGGTTCAAAACCTCATCAGTCGACTTCCCTGTACCCCTCACTTACTTGACTTAAACACTGTTCACACAGTGATTCCGCTATACACGATCAATGCTATGAAGATACCTATGATCAAACACGTGTAACGCATGTCAAACATTCCTGGCAGCCACCACTAGTTGTCGTCAATTCTTAGGACAACTCTCCATGGGCCCTTAAACGGCTGCATGAGTTCGAGTAGAGAGCTTTGATAAGCGTTATATATACTTGCTCGGTATTTCCTTCGCCGTAAGACGCTGCCAGAACATCTTACGGTCGGCCGCCTTCACGTCAAAAAAATATGGCAAGTGTCAGCCATTGGCTGATAGGTATGCCTTTGTTCTACAACCTGTCGGAGGGTGAAAATATGATTCCTGCATTCTCGTCCAGCTCTGTTTGAAACCTACTTAGTTTTCTCGAATTTGATGTTCCCGAGCTCCAGTTAGGCATCGGATAACTATAAAGCTTAGGATCTTCGACTCGATATTAGTCAAACGAATTCAGTTATGATTATCACAGGAAGATTCCTCCCCCTTTTTATAAACTAGGATGATCAGTGAAGTACACCAGTCTGATGGCACTACCTTTGATTCCCATACACCACTTACAACTTCCATCAATCTAATCAACAATTTTCTAATTCTATCCTTGAAAACTTCATGTGGCAAACTGTCACATCTTGCTGCTTTGTATCGTTTCAGGTTCCAAGCAGCCTGTTGTCAGATAAAGACGTGAAGCGATTACAGGTTTTTGACCATCTTTGTTTTTTGGTAGTATTTCTTTCATATAATGCCAAGTATCAACTGCTTCGACTTCAGTTATCTCATAGATCTTAGCATGGAAGTCTACACGACTTCAACTAACGTTTATAAATCTCATGGACTATTCTGACAAGGAACATTGTACAAAGAACCAACAGTAACGTTTTGGTATTAGAAATGAATGCAATATCCTTTTCATAGCTTTTGATTACCAATATATTCATTGATACCTTCAGTGTCAACCTGAAATAATCGAACTTCGAGTATTTCGCTAAACAAGTATAATTGGATTCACTTTCCACTTATTCCTTTTCCTATGCATAGAACTCAAGAATATTGAAATACATGTGACGTATTGTGAAACAAAGTATTGAGCTGAAACATATTTCAGAAGCTGTTGTACTCATATTCTATCAAATTATCCGTATATCTAAATGTAAAGCAGTATGAACGAATTAACACATTCAACAGTTCAATGGTAGTGAATGTACCCTTAGACTTAATGACCTTGGGTAATGTATTCTTGGATTAAATTATCGGTATATATTGCTAAGGAATTCAACCTTGAAAAATGCTCCATGGTGTTCGACATCTTTTGAACTACACTCGATTGTTGACTGTAACTTTCTTTGTGTTTAACTGAATTTTAGGTGATTATTATAATTTACTTGATGGTGGCTAGCTGTAAAATCCAAGATGCACGCCTCATCCTATTCAATACTCGGCAGTTGGATGTTTCTTAAACCCAGTGAATGGTTGTATTCCCACTGAGACTAGAACTTTGTGCCCATCATTTCAATCACCATAGAGGCTATCCATTGAGGCTTGAGAGACCCCTTCTTGTGCTTAGGGTATTGGTTATTATTATATGTGGACAATTTGTAATTCCCTGAGATGAATAATCACTCAGCATCAGCATATAATCTGACATTGTTGTGTAACAGCACTGGGTTCTACACTCCATATAGGCACATCGCAGTAAAGGGAAGAAGGCCATACGAAGCGAAGTAGAGGATATGAAGTAATTTCGTCATTTTAAAGTGTTAAGGAAAAGATTTCTTATTGGTGCGTAGTCTTTTCACGGTTGAGGCCTATTCATAAGAACTCTTTTAGCACTTGGAGACGTTTTTATGGATAATTGTCTAGTCGTTTCAACGTTTCAGAAAATCAGCAGTTCTAGAAGCAATTGAATGTGGAATATATATCCATATAAGTGGTTTCAGATGAATCGTAATGCATTCATCAACCTTGTGGACATTTGTACAGTAGGCAATGAGCTATATCTATTTCGTGAGGCCTAATGATACTACCTGGTCGTCTAAACCCCGGTAGGTGGGGCGGGTCTCGAACTCCTGTCGCATTGTTTGAAAGTTATCTCACTAGACCAATCAGCCACAGATCCACACGGTTTCAGATAGGCAAGAACAACTCAATCCAATACAGATTTATTTAGTAAGCCATAAAATATACTTATCTGGTTTGGGGCATATCAGAGATACCACTCGGTTGATGGGATGAGATATTCCGATGATTCATGTGATCACAGGTAGTAGTAGTTTTACTTAAAAAGGGAAAACTTATCATTTCGTTTGAATATGCCTTGAAAATATGTTTATAATAAGATGGATTCATTTCACAATGCACTAATTTTTCATAGATATACACTTGCCAACTATTAATTTCTTTTACTCTCTATTCCATGGTGTGAATGACGATGAAAACAAGACTGTTGTATGCTCCACCCTATCCTCAATCTTCAAAGATATCGATGGAATATTTCTTCAGATTTTTATTCGTTTTGACTACTATGATGTGATCCTGGAGTCATTATACCTAACCGATAGGTGACATACTATTATCTTGACTTTTCTTACCTTTTTTATACCTCATTGTCATGTAATCCCTCGTCTTTACTGTCCAATTTTCCCTGACTTTCCTTAAGGTTACACCTTTTGATTGAATATCAATATACATGAAGGAGGAATTTAAAGTTTCTTGCTACAAACTGGTCACTGGTAGGTATCCCTCAGGGCTATCTTGCCCTCATTGCTCAGGACTCACCACAGTCTATCGATCGATTTTATGATATGACCTCTGAGTTAAATGATGCAATGTTTGTTGGCCACCGCCAACCTTGGCCTGTCATGCTCCAAGAAGTTGGATTAGGCTGGAAGAAGGTTCATAATAGCCAGGGAAAGACCATGAAGTCCCTAACTGTTGATCTGAGCCGTGTGAGGAAATGTTGACTACCTGGCTAGCTGGGATCCCCGAGATGATAGGACTCAGTGATTGAGTACGCTTGATGAGATGGCTGAAAATCGGTCGCGGTGATACAAATGGTATTTACTCTTTGATATATTATAAAGCTTGAATATTTATACTAACCTTTATCTTCAAATTGTTTATTCTCTCATACAACTCTGTCTTCTTTAATATCACTTTTTCTATCCACTTTTTCTTTGTATACCATTGTGTAGTATGCCATCTTGATCCGATGCACTTGTGTGTGAGGTTCTACGTTGATTTTTTCTGTCTGTCTGTCTATTAACACAGACGTATCACCGAGAGGAATGCCAGTTTCCTCATGGTTACAGATGAAACTTTCTCATGAGCTTCTACAAACAAAACACCTTGGTCAAGTAGAACTTCTTGTTAGTTGAGCACTAACCTTTTACACCAAAGTTCTTTACTCATTGGTTGTATATATCTCCCCTCAGGTCAAAATACAGCTCACTGGGGTATCATCACAAATATCCCTTATGGTGAAATTCCACACTTTATTTCTATTTTGAGGTTTGTGGGGATTTATTGACTCCAGGTTGGCATTCTTCATGGACTGACATCATTTGAAGGACCACTGGAAGCATGGGAGCACTGGACAACTGTTTCTTCCTGGTATATAACTCTTGTGCAGTGCGCACTCAAGACCCCGCCAGCAACCGAGCTAAGGGTCTTCAGGTCTTGTAGCTAGCACGTTACCACTAAGCCACTGGGTGTGAATGGTCCACCCTTCCTACTTTGTCAATTCACGGTATAGCGCGACCTCTATCCAATCTCGTCATTGAATAAATGTCCTCATATTCGACTTGGTCAGCTTTGTTGGCTACGACTTCTCATTGGCACTTCTAGAATCATCTCTCGAAGCTAGTCACCAACGAACAGTAGATTAATTCAATTTTGAGGTTTGTGGGGACTTATTGACTCCAAGTTAGTATTCATCATGAACTGAGATGGTAATAATAAACCGCTAGTCAATATAACTAAAGATATGAATGAGCACAAAATAAATATATTAGAAATATTTTAGGAAAGATGTAAGGGTGAAGAGTCAATAATTACCATGTTATAGTAATAAATTGGTAACTGGCTCCTTCTGAACACTTAGTTCTGGTTGAACTCGTCGGATAGTGGCGGCTTCGGCAATTCAAAGTAGCAGTCTGGCAGTTGTATTGGTCCTGAACAGTACACTTCTTATCCATCAGTTGATTCTCATCGCAGCATCATCTCCCTTGAAAGCTAAAGTAAGAAATACTGATTTCTTTTCAACAGTAATACCACCCCACTCTCTTATTGCTTTTTAGCACTTCTGAACTGATTTCATTGGATACTTATACTTGTGTAGATATTGTTCCATTAGTTGAAATTCTTCTTGGATCTTTTCTTGTCAACATAATCTCTCTTCCTTCTGGTATAATGTCCTCAATAAACCTCTCTTGTAGCTGATTGGGCAGAAGCTGTTGAAGTTTAAATACTGACCGCTTTATATAGGTTAATGGTGAATGCTCTTCTCTATTGTACCGTCTTATGTCGAGAAAATTCAGCTACTGCTGCTGCTGCTTCTCTTCATATTCCATCGTAAACTTAATACTATGATGTGCATTACTGAATCGCTGGAGCAGCCTTCTTGCTTATTGAATATTTTCACAGATAATAAAGGTATAATCAACATATCTTAAATGATGGATAGTTTCATTGACTGTAGGTTTTAGCTGATGAAAAACTTGTGCGATTAACTATAGTCCGTAGACAGTGGTGTTTCCATTATTTTCAAGTATCGTACTCACTATCTTTTTCTTTTGTGATATTTCACCTCTTTTTTTGTTGTTGAAAAGTACTCATCCAGAAACTCCAAATCGTATTAGACGCGCTTATGAAATGTTGGATGAACTTGGTCTTGCACGTCGCTGTAAACGTATCGAAGTAAGTTAAATAATAACCAGTATATAAAACATCTGTGGAGTTGTCCTTTCTCTACTTGAGGGATATTTTATTATATCATAATTGTGATTGCATAATTTTTCATATTTTTTGATATAAATGGAACTATTCTGCTTATGATACCTAAGATGATATCGAAATATTGTCTGTGTAATGAGGTTTACTATGGAAGCAAACTAATCAAAAATAAATGTAGAAAGAGTTCGGAAAAACTTTCATCTTGTAATTAAGTCTCTCTTATTTTTCATCATTTTAATATGTTTTATCTGTATTGGTTTTCAATTTGATCAAGGCTCGCTCTGCCAGTCAATCTGAACTATTACGTGTGCATACAGAAGAATACATAAATACAATAGCTTCAACTGCTGGTATGGATCAATCAACATTGAATGAAATGTGCTCTGACGAAATATCAATATACTTTAATCGGGTAAATGTCTGGGTATCCACTTGACTTGTTGTTCTTTGCTATAATAATAATAATAATAATAATAATAATAATAATAATAATAATAATAATACTAATAATAATAATAATAATAATAATAATGTGTTTCACCGTTTGACACATTTTAGAAATGATTGAGTTAGGATAGTAATAATTAAACATGGTTAGCAGTGGAATCTAGGACCCACGTTTCGTCCTATTTGGGACTCGTCAGAATTGGCTATCGTGACTTTTGGTCACATGGTTAAAATGGGTCACAATGACGCTGATGTATTCACTCCTTGACATCTTCTAAAGCTTGAATATTCACACTAACCTTTATCTTCAAATTGTTTATACTCTCTGATTACTTTATCTGCTTTGATACTACTGCTTTTTTATCCACCTGTTCTTTTGTATATTACTGTAAAGTATGGCTACTTGAGGTGATACACTTGTGTACGAAGTTTTACGTTAATTTTGTCAGTCAGGCTATTGGTTCAAGTCCTTTTGTGATTAGCACCAGTCACTGGGACCCAGGTACATTCAGTTGACAAGTCTGAAATAAGACGAGACATACATCCTAGATTCCATTGTTAGCTATTATCCGCCAATACTATCAAAGTGAAAATACTGGCAGTATCTACGCGTTCACACATGAGGCTATATTCTAATAGAGACCGATCAGTTGGGTTCAATCAACGACGGGATATTGAATTAGGATTTTTAAGCAGCTTGAGCCAGACTTATCTTGATGGTTGAAGTCTTAATTCGTTTGATATCTTTTTTGTATCTGAATACATAGCTATTATTGTGTAACTCCTCAGTCCTAGAACACTATCTTTAGAAACATTATTTACTGAACTGAATTTACACAGTAATACCAACGATAATGTTGATCGTAATGGATTGACTCCTGAGTGACTTATGTGCATATATTATTCTTCATTATCTTATTCAGAACACTCATTCGATACAAAGAGTGCATTAATAAAAGTGGAGTTATGACTCATCGCTCTAGGTACTCGACTTCTAAACAGTTTGCCTTGGTTTTGAAACACGCTCTGACTACTCAGAATGGATTAACCACATAGTATCATTAACCCTCATATAATAGGGGGTGACCCATTATGCATGAGCGTGTCACTTGAATGCTGAGTTGGAGTACATTTCGTCATTTCACCGGGAAATACGAAATGACGTAACAACATTAATAAGACATCAAGTGGTATTGAGAGAAGATAAAAGTAAATGAATCCCCAGAAGAAGCTGAATTAGGCTAGGAGAGGGTTTAGGGTGGTCAGATTAAGACGTAACACCAGTCTATAAACTCTCTGACTGTTGGTTTGGGCCATGTGAAGGGATATAGACTATTTGGTTGGCTATTGTCTCCGAGACGAAAGGAATTAATGCTTATGGTACCCCTAATAAAATGTCTGAAAATTAGTCACGGTGGCGCAAATGTATTCACCCCTTGACGTCTTGTATAATTTGAATATTTACACCAACCTTTATCTTCAAATTGCTTGGTCTCACACAGAACTTTGTCTACTTTGATATCACTATTTTTCTATCCGCCTGTTCTTTGTATACTGCTCTAATATGTGATAACTTCACTCTATGTACTTGTGTGCAAAGTTCTATGGTGTTTTGGTCTGTGTGTCTGAACTTTTTTTTCTGCTTATTATGAGACTGCTTCTTCTGGTGATTCATTTACTTTTATCTTCTCTCAATACCACTTGATGTCTTATTAATGTTGTTACGTCATTTCGTATTTCCCGGTGAAATGACGAAATGTACTCCAACTCAGCATTCAAGTGACACGCTCATGCATAATGGGTCACCCCCTATTATATGAGGGTTAATGATACTATGTGGTTAATCCATTCTGAGTAGTCAGAGCGTGTTTCAAAACCAAGGCAAACTGTTTAGAAGTCGAGTACCTAGAGCGATGAGTCATAACTCCACTTTTATTAATGCACTCTTTGTATCGAATGAGTGTTCTGAATAAGATAATGAAGAATAATATATGCACATAAGTCACTCAGGAGTCAATCCATTACGATCAACATTATCGTTGGTATTACTGTGTAAATTCAGTTCAGTAAATAATGTTTCTAAAGATAGTGTTCTAGGACTGAGGAGTTACACAATAATAGCTAACATCATGAACATCCGGCAATATTAAGACATCCACATAGGAGCTCATCTGCCAACAGTGATCGAGAAATTCGATCTTCTATAGCAACAGGAAATTACGAGTAACAAATAACTAAAACAGAAAAGGTTAGTCCTGATGGGCTTAAAATGAGTTGATTAGTTAAAGTGATATTTGATTATTATTATTTGTCGCTTGGGTTTCTAGTGGAACATAGGGGTTCGGTAACACGTCTCCATTACACTCTGTTCTCTGTAGTCTTTTCAACCTCGCTGCACGACTGCCCACAAGCTTTCATTCCTTCCTCACATGATCTCCTCTATGTCACCCTCACCCGGCTCATCGTTTCACCTTTAGATTACACTCAACGGCCTGCCGCATGTCGGCTTAAGAATTTCTGTAATTCACTTAGTGTGATGACCTTAACATATCCAGGATGCAGAGTCTTCTGAGTAGCAGTTTGGGGGATGCGTTTATCACCACCCAAATGCAAATTGTTGTTCCAGGATTGGTTTTCAGCGGTGCTTTGACTAACAATAGAGTGTAGTGGTTGACTGTGTCGACTACTTCACTTACCTGGGAAGTACGATCAGCCCTAGTGGCTCAGTGGCTGATGAAATGTTTGCACAAATACACAGAAGGCTCCGTTGGCATTTGCCAACTTGCGCCACCTGTAGAGTTTTAGAGAGAAGAGGTAAATCAGTTGACGAGGTTGTGAACCTTCATCGACTGAAATGGTTGGGACATGTGTTACATATGACTAGTCGCCGATTGTCTCCTCACACAATGTTGACCGAAGTAGGTTCAGGTTGGAAAAAGGCCCGTGGTGGCCAAACTAAAACATGGTATCAATATATGAAGTGTTTGACTGTTGGTTTGAGCCATGTTGGGCGATACAGACTAGGTGGTCGGGGTCCGTGGGACAGGATAAACCAGTGGTTGGAGACTCTAGGAGATATGGGTGAGAACCATTATCAGTGGCGTAGATGTATACACATATTACCGTAATCCCAACGCTATACAGAATCTCACCATTTTCTCATTCTTCCTTCCTCCCTTTTCATACTTCATATTTCTTTCGACTGAATTCTCTTGTCTTCATCTTGCGCCTCACTGCCTTTTTACTTGATGTACTGATCTGAGGTGTGGCAAGTGGGACCGTTACGCAATAATTCCTGGTCCTATGTATGATAGATGATGATGATGATGAAGAGGAGGATGTGTTCCAAAAGGTTCCCAGACTTGTGGATTTTCGTCATACCCTATAATTGCAGTATATGTATCCTAGTCGATTTGAGCCGTTTATTGACTTTCATTTATAAATCCTAGTATTGTAACTCTTCACCAATTCGCACCTATGACTACCTCTCCAGTGATTGAATACACGACCAGCATTTTACCATTGGCAAATCAGCTTATTGGTAACATGTCCGCCGTGGAACCCAGAGGTTCTGATTTTGATCCCTGACAAGGTCATGGGTGCCCACTGCTGAAGAGTCCCAATACTAAGACTGGAAAAGTTATCCATTGCTCTCAGGTTTTCAATGGTTCACCAATTGATGTCAGTCCATGATGCAAACCAAATTGGAATATGAATTTACTGAACGTTTATTGTAGATATGTCATCAATTATGAAAACTGATCATGCATATTTTCAGCTTTAGATGCATAAATCAGATGTCTTGTATACAGTCTATCTGTGCCAGTAAAACATTACTGAGCTCAATATCTCATTTCTTATGAATATGTATTCTATACGACTAAAAATTCCCACTTTGTCTTGACATAACGTATTCTACCTACGTTATAACAATACTACTATTATTATGTAATCCCTTGTTGATGAAAACTTCGTTAGTTTACTTACTGCTTTATAAGGTGTATGTCTCACGGAAGGCGGGAGGGTGGTGAAGATTTGTGAATCTGAACCTATTATAGCACAGTTGTATTAGACAGGATATGTTCTGGGAATACCTATGTATGTGACCAGTGCATCTCATAACCCTTAATACCTAAGTTTTACAGACCAGTAGTAAATGCTACCAAATAATGCTGAACGTAGATAATCTGTCAAGGTTGTAGACAATCATCGAATACCATCACTTGTGTATGATTTATTCTTTAAAGGTGTAAATGAGGAGCTGGAATCACTTCGAGAAGTGTTGTTTGAGAACGATCATCATAGGCAAGGATACCGAAGAATCGACTGTCCGAAGCACTGTAGAAGTCTTTCTCTTCCATTCAGCTTCTGAATGTTTTCACTTATCAACAATTGATTCGTGTATATATATATATATATATATATATATATATATATATATATATTCCGAATTGAAGTCCTCATGTTTTCTGTTTTGTTTACTGCCCCTTCCCTGCCCCTCTGTCTCATTTTTCAGCATACTTATGATAACGCTTGTTTGGCTAGTGGTTCTATCTTAGCTGTTGTAGATGAAGTGTGTTCCGGCGGTGTAAGTATACTATTTTTGGTATTATTTGTTGATTAAATACTATAATTGCACGATGATGGTTGAAAGTGAAACGTAAACCTGAATCGTTGCAGGTTTCGAACCAGTGACCCAAGTTCTCATTTCATTTTTAATCAGTCTCAGATAATTTTATCAATGGATATTATGAGTTAGTAACGAAATGAAATAAATTTAGCATGAATAGTAAGTACACTGCTAGCGCTTAGAAATGGACAACCTGACATTGATTACTCTCCAGTAACCAATCAATGTATCTTATACGGTTATAAAAGAGGTTCATCACTACCCGAAGACCTCAATATTACGGTTTTCCACTGAAGGACAGAGCGAATCATGTCCCTCAATATTAAAAATACATCTTTCTGGCAAGTGCCAACATTCATGCTAATAGCATCCAACCACGTGTCAGCAGTCTTATGGCATTACAATGATGGATCCACATGTCATCAATTGAGCTGTTGGAATTAGGTTTCGAACGTAGAACTGTAAAACAGCTTGTTGGTTATGGTTTGGCGATGCTATGATCAGTAGTACAACTAAGCAGCCTATGAGCGATGGGAGGCTAGCAGGATACATACTTAACGCACAACAATTTGACTCTAACCCAAATCAGAACGTCAATCATCCTAACAACAATGCCACGGACGCGCGAAAACAAAAAAAAGAAGAGAGACCGTTGACAAAGAGCTTTTTACCGTCTCAACAATAGTCAATACAGTTAACAGCGATGCTGAATATATACATTTCTAAATGACCTTGACAACACTAAATCCACATATAGGTAAAAATAGTTAACAATCAATGAGCGTTCAGCCTTGAGAGCAGAGAGAAGAAAAACTAGTAAGGGTGTGAAAACAGCCATGATAGGTCATTTTAAGGTCATAAGCAAGACATTAGGCATTAGCGTTGACAATAGGATAAAATGTGAGATTCCATCATGTTTTTCGTTAAGAACCACTTATTATCAATTAAATCGTTGAAATTCCTCAATTGTCGTTTACTTATTTGTAAAATTTCTTGTTTAGACTTAGAGACATTCGGAAAGTATTTTGGAATTGTTAGTATAAGAAAATGAATTGAAGGAGAAATGGAAACTTAAATCAAGTCAGGTTTTAAACCACTTTTCCGTGGGTCCCAGCCGGGCATGTCACTTTTTATTCATTCAATGAGAAGCGATCTTGCTTGAACGTTTCACATATGCATACATACAATGTCTGTTTCCTTTATCTCACTAGTTTGAAATATCTATGATGACTTATACATAAGATTGTCTGAACTCAATCTGACACAAGGTTGTAAGTTACATGATATGTATCCCAAAGCTTATTACATCACCCAGAATCAGCGAGGCTGTGTTTTTGTGTTTGGGTTCTACTCTCAAATCATGACAGAATTAGAAAATAATGGATAACCTTTAAATTTCAACCTTTTTGGTTGGATGCTAAAGTACCCCTTGCAAAATTGGATGGTTATATAGGCTCAACCTCTGACAAGGTCACTAACTACGAGGCAATCAGATTTTTAATGGTTCTTCAACCGATGTCAATCCCTGCAATCAACTTCACTAAAATGAATCAGTTCCTACAAACTATTAATATATATTATAAGGAAACATGGTTATGTAATTACTAAGTAGAACAATGTCGCATATTTTTTTTCCACGAATTCATATGTTTGTAGTTTCACTTTTGACATCAAAAAGAGGATATTCAGCGGAAAGGACTTTTTTTCACACATTTATACACACATATATAGTATTTAAAGACAACAATCTATGAAGAAAATGAAATTTAAATAATTCGAAATTGAGATGATAATGATGATGGTTATAGGTGTAATAATGTTTCTAGTCGATTAAGTAAAGATTGAATGATAGATAACCAAAAAAGTTATGTAAGATTTTTGGATCGTTCATAGGGTATATATCGATTAAAAAGGTGAGTGTGAAAAAAATGATATAGCGAATAAATAACTGGTAATATGGAATATGTAATGAATTTTAACAAAACTGTATGTTCACATCATTATATGATGTAGAATATGAATAGTCTATCTACTTTTGATTGAAGTTTAGCAATTAACATTCTCCATCGATTACCACCTCAGTACAAAGAACAAGATCCGAATTTTCAACACCAATCCCAGTCAAGTTAGTACTTTTACATGGTTCAGAAACTTGGCGCATCATGAAAAGCATTTCCAACAAACTACGGACATTCATCAACACCTACTGCCTATGCTGGCTTGATACTAAAGATCAGATGACCAGAATAATAAGGATAAGCAACAAGGAATTCTGGCTGGCTGGCAGGCAGCGAACCAACCAATAACCTATCACCTAATAAATATGCAGAATAAAGTCGACATGGATTGGGCATACACTGAGAAAACCATTCAGAGACATCATGCGGCAGGCCGTTGAGTGTAATCCAAAGGGGAAACGATGAATTGGGTGAGGGCGACATGGAGGAGATCATATGAGGAAGGAACGAAAGCTTGTGGGCAGTCGTGCAGCGAGGTTGAAAAGACTGCAGAGAACAGAGTGTAGTGGAGACGTGTTACCGAACCCCTATGTTCCACTAGAAACTCGAGCGACAAATAATAATAATAATCAAATACAACTTCAACTAATCAACTCATTTTAAGCCCATCAGGACTAAACTTTTCTGTTTTAGTTATTTGTTACTCGTAATTTCCTGTTGCTATAGAAGATCGAATTGCTCGATCACTGTTGGCAGATGAGCTCCTATGCGGATGCCTTAATACTGCCGGATGTTTATGATGTTATATTCATCTTGGTCACTAGCAACAGAATTCAAGACACGTGTTTCGTCCCACTTGAGACTCATCAGCTGGATGTGCCTCCATCCTAGTGAGTGATGTTTTCCCCATTGAGACTCAAACCCATTACTCATCGCTTCAAATGCCAAAGCGTTATCAACTTGGACACTTGGGCATGAAAGCCACCTCTTTCTATTTTATATCAAATGAATTTTAACACAAGATATCGGTTTATTTACAAGTTTTATCAGTTATTTGTATCTGTATGCTTATAAAAAATGTGAATCAATTTTTACTTATCAGCCTTGATTAAATTGTTTTGTTTTCAATCTATTCCCTTTCCACACACTCATATATAGAGTTTAAATGGAGTGGCTATTATTCGCCCACCTGGTCATCATGCATTCAAAGATCGTTGTATGGGATTTTGTTTTTTCAATAATATTGCAATCGCTGCTAAACATGCACAACAAGTATATGGATTAGAAAGGTAATTTGTTATTGTTTATATATAGGTGTACATGTATGTAAATACTGTCTATCTCTTTCGGTCTAACCATTCATTCGTATAGACGAAGTTCAGTTGGTGAACACACTGAAGTATGGAGGGACATATTGATGTGTGAGCCAATCAAACCATAAGAACAAAATGAGATAATCTTCAGTGAAACTTTACAAGAAGTGAAAAAAAAGCTTTTATTGACATCCACAAATCAAACTGCATTGAATTAATACCAGTATTGCTATTTTTTAGGTGGTATTCATCTATGGACTTGATAACATTCAATGAAACACCTGTCCAGTGCTCTCTATTTTTCAGTGATTCTCCAAATAATGTTAATTAATGGTGGATGCCAACTTTAAAATTGACATTATCCATAAACCCTCAAACTATTTCCCCTTTTGATGTATTTACTGTTCACACTTTCGTTGACACCGACTCATCTGTAATATCTGGATCTAACGTATGATATACATCTTGGTTGTGTTATGCGTAATTCGTAAATTTTATATTGTTACTTGTATTATCCGGTTGTTGACCTGACCAAATCGATCAGTCTCTATTAGCTGCCTCATGGATGCTTCGTTTCAATTTTATAATAATGATGAAAACACTATACTTTGCACAAGAAGTAACTATTGTTACTCGATAGTCTTGTGGTCTAGTGCTCTGACGTTTAAAACAATCATTTCCGGGTTCATTCACTGGGAGGCAGGTACACCCAGCTAACGAATCTTTTGTAGGACAAAATGCGTGTCCTAGGTTTCACTGCTAACCACTATCTATCATTATAATATAATTCATAGTTTCTGCAAATTAGTTGATGACCCAATAATTCATTTCGTCTTAATGACATAATCTTAAGAATAAGTGGTGAATTTAACCCCTTGTCTTTTTTTTAATAACTTTCAGAATCGCAATTGTCGACTGGGACGTTCATCATGGAAACGGTACAGCGAAAATTTTTGAAGATGATCCCAAGTATAGTCACGTCGTTTTTTCATTGCATTATATATATTGGTAACGAAAAGCACCAGTTTCACCTGTTTCGATGCTTTCCTTCATTTTCTTTCTTTCTTTCTCCTGTTAGCATTTTATACCTTTCGGTACATCGGTACGATGATGGTGATTATTTTCCAAACTCTGATATCAGTTCTGCTCAGTTTTGTGGGACTGATGAAGGTCTGGGCGTACCGTTAATGTTGCATGGAATGGGGTTAGTTTTTTTGTAACATTTTCTTTCGAATCGTTATTATTATTATTACTATTATAGTTTCTTTCCAAGAAATCCGGAAGCAAAGGAAACAAGCCATTCTCTACCAATAAACCAAGTGCTTTAGTTACGCGTAAAATCCAAAACAATACAGTATTGCTCTGAAATACACTTTTGAACTAGTTAAAAATGGTGTGGCTTTGACTCTATCAAAGAATCACCTGACATGGAGTACGTCCAATGCAAACCAGGAGGGAAGGTTAAGGACGAGTTTATCTCCCGACACTGATGTAAATACACTAGGTAAAGAACAGAAAGAACAACAGGAAAAACTGAACGGGATCCTAACACTCAGAAACTGCAAAGGGTACTAATATCTAGGGATGTTAAATAATGATGAACAAGATACGATTAAATAGAACCAACAGTCAAGTTGTGAATGAAGTAACATTTTAGGAAAACACGAATTATACTATTTAACAATACTAAGTAGTATAAACTGAAGGTATAAAAATGGATACATGGGTAACACAACAGTTATCATTATTGCCTAGTGTTTCCCAGCTATTGGTTCTGCGGGGATTTTTTTTGACTTGGAAATTAGCTCTTATGACGAAATGGCGTCAGTTGGAGAGCCATAGAAATCCTGAAAGCATTGGGCAGCTATTTCTCCTTAGCTTGAGACTACTCAGCAGTGGGCACCCATGAATTTATGAAGGATCAAGCTTGCAGCCATAGTAACGAGCACGTTGTCACTTGACCACTTTTTTGGGATTGAATGTTCCGCTTATCTTAATCCTCTTAATGTGCAGTATAGTATAGTCATCATCTAATTTCATCGGTATGCATCCATTCTCATACTCAGCCTAATACTGTAGCAATAGTCAGTAGAAATCATTAGATCCAGATTTAGATCATGTTACCTGTTAGTAGACCGAATGAATGTGTGTAAGCTTTTGAAAACTGATATTCTCTAGAATAATCAAAAGTATTGCTAAGTTTGTTTGCCGTGGTAATACCATTGACTGTGTCATTCATTGTCACTAGTTTCAATCTCCGATAGTTTGCATGAATTATCTTGAAACTGTTGGTACACCAACCTTAATAAATGCTATGAAGTACACCCCACTTAACTTTTTTTAAGTGTCCTTCATTTAGTAGATCTGTCCATCGAGATACAAATTGTGTATGCAGCCTGAACAACTACAGGATACATACTTTCCTACTTTTTTTATTATTTTTTATCTGATCATAATGGACTGTTATCAATAAGTACTAGACAGTAACTAACTTTTTTGTCGTCTAGTCCTAAATGCTGACCGAAGTTTATCAGTCAGGTTTTCAGTGTGATCACTAAGCTAGACGATTCATCATCGGTGTTAGATAAATAGGGCATCCCGGACCTACGTTTTGTTTGTTGGCACCTGTCAGGAAAGTTTATCTTCTACCTAATGTCCTCTCAGTGGTTCTGACTGCAAAACTGTCAATGTGCATAGTTATTACAGACTGAAGAAATCAACAGTTTGTGACTTACGGCTCTAATCTGAGGCAACTTATATTAAAAGAGCAAGGGAAAAATAATCAACAACAATATGACAGAATGACATCAGTAGTTATGAAATCTGCTTAGTACGAGAGGAACATTAAAACATTCTGGTTTGAGGAGAAAATAAAACGTAGATGTAAGTCGAAATGCTCTCATCCACAATGTTCACACTTGTGCGTTTGTCAGTGAGCCACGACTATTGTGTGACGGCTAATGATACTACTTGGTTGTCGAAAGAAACCTCGGTAGATGGAAATGGGCTCGAACTTGTGGGCTATTTAAATCACCACTTGAACTTTGCAGCATCTCACCTTGTTGATGTCATTTGAAATGCGCTTGGTTAAGTGTCTCAGTAACAGAAATAAAAACCTCTTTGCAAGACGGGAAAGAGGAAACAAGTAATTAAGAAAATCTTGCACCTCAGTAATCACTCGCCTACATGTATCATGTATCAAGAAATCCACTGAAAAATGTAAGGAAAATATGAACAGTAGTTGTAACACAAATGTGAATAACAGCAATGAAAAAACAAAATAATAATGCTAATGGTATGAAAGTAGAACTGACAACCACTTGCTTGTCTCCACTTAGGAGGCTGACTCAGAAACTTTTCAGATGGTTCTCAGTATGGTTAAAATTACATTGATACATGGCCTTGTGAATAATCCGCAGAGATCCCATTCATCTAATCAGGAGAAATATTTACGATTTGCGGATTATATTACAGCGATTGGGAGCCTCAATAAATGGGCGACTGATAAACTCACGAAATCAACTTAGAACTTCGCACACAAGTGCATTGTTTCAAGTTGCCACTCTTCACAGTAGTATATAAAGAAGAGATAAATAGAAAAAGAGTGATGTCAAAGCAGACGAAGTTGTGTGAGAGAGTAAACAATTTGAAGTTGAAGATTAGTGCAATGATTTTGGCTTTAGAAGACGTCAAGGAGTGAAAACATATGCACCATTGTGACCGATTTGCAGCCATGTCATCAGTTCTCGACCACTGATTCCTTTCGTGTCAAGAATCCCAGCGAAGCATTCTACATCTCCTAAAACGACTCAGACCAACAGTCACGGACTTCATCGACTAGTGCAAAGTCTTCTAGCTACATTGAACCCTCTTCCAACCTAATCCAACTTTACCTGGCATGGCACATCAAGGTGCGTGGTGGCTTGACATGTGCAGTACATGTCCAAGCCATCCCAGTTGACTGAGGTTCACAACCTTATCAATCGACTCGCCTATCGTCCCTAGTACCCTTCGCCTGAAGTCAACATTGTTGCCTTTTTCTCGCTACATAGCTCAAATCAACAGATGGAGACTTCATGCAGTGATGCCATATTTTGTCAGGCCATCATAGGGCCTTTTTCCAGCCTGAACCTGCTTCAGTTAACATTGTGCAATGAGGTAGATGGTAACCAAGTATGCGTAGCACGTTTTCCAGTCATCTCAGCCAATGACGATTCACGTCCTTACTAACTGACTCTCCTCTCCTACCCGAAACTAGACCTAAATCCTAAATTTCTGATGCAGTGGCACCATGACACACTACCGATGCTACAAAGATAACGGTAATTGAAAGCGTTAAGCCTTTTCATGTCGTTTACCCTGTTCCCATGTTTCGCAGCCAAAGAGTATAACAGAGTGAAGTGAAGCACATTACCCTCGACCCTAATAGGGAAAGGAATATCGTGGCAGTTCCAGAGATGCCATAAGCAAGTGAAAGCTAATCGAGCCTCGTTTTTCATTCGTGCAGAGATTTCATCTCCAACTGTCAATTTCAGTTGTGACTTCGAAACGTGCATTTTCAGCGAGCAAAGACTTGATAAATCCTTGTTATTTATTGTTTCAACCCCATCCTTGAGGTTTTCGTGACCAGTTAGCACACTTCAAGTAACACTCGGCATGCTAGAGTTATAGAGTGTTTAATGCTGTCATCACAAATATTTTAACGAAATAATTTAATTGTAATCAGTCTCCAGTGTTTTGGCTTTGATTAGTCAGACAACACTGACCTATGACCTTGCATTTTCGCGAACCAGTTCGAGTTAACACGCTTCACATCACTACATCTAGATACAATATAGTAGATAGGCAGACAAAGTGAAAAGTTATGCAATCCAAAAGTCGTACAAAGTCATCTGGAGATAGGGAGAGCGAATGAATGATGATGATGAGAGTTAGTAAGCAAAATATTGAAGTGTAATTTGACAATTAAGGTGAAGATAATATCTGAATCCATCTTTGCCACTTGAATCGATTCTGAGTCACTTCACTTCCAATCTCAAACATATTGATCACTTAGCATATGCCTTATCACTGTTTTCTTTTTTGCTGGCACTGTTTTGAACTTCGCTTGGAGCAGCTGAGTTCTTCAATTTAGTTCCAAATTGTATCAGAATTTTTTAGAATAAAGTGGTTACTGTTATTATTGAATCTTGAGGGAGTTGCGGAGATTTTGAAGTACTTCAAGTTGTTATTCATCGTACACTGACATCAGTTGGAGGAATAAAGGAAACCCGGGAGCAATGGACAGCTGTTTCGCCCTAGTATGGGACTCCTCAGCAGTGCGCACCCACGACCCCGCCGGGGATCGAACCCGCGACCTTTGGGTTCCGCGACCAGCGCGTTACCATTGAGCCACTAGGACAAAGCAGCTGTTCAGTGCTCCCAGGTTTCCTTTGTTCCTCTAACTGATGTCAGTCTATGATGAATAACAACTTGAAATATTATTATTATAATTTATGAAATCACACTCCACGCGTTTCCTTTTCTCCTATTATTTAGAGACGTGTTAAAGACGGGGAATATATAGCTGTATTCAGTAATATATTCATCCCAATACTATATGAATTTCGACCTCAATTGATTCTAGTTTCTGCTGGTTTCGATGCTGTTCGTGGAGACTGGCTGGTGAGTTAGTCCCTTTCTAGTTGGGATTCTTTATTACATGATATTGCTAGGGATGCCCACTATCACTGTTCCTATTTGACTTCGTTATAGATTTACTAATGAACAGAACCGTAGGTACGTCTGACTTCATGGCAATTTATCTACTTCCTGGAGGACATGTGACTGACTTGGAGCATCCAGATGATATTGTCCTACTAGATGCAGACGCTTACGAGACTCACTATCTTATGAACGCGTTGAGCAGAAATCTGAGTGTTTGGCAGGCATTTAGCTCTCACCTGTCAAACATAAGATGATGATCCATAACTGACTGGTCTGCAACCACTCCCAGTGAAGGTGTGGAATATGCTGACCACCTATTCTTTGTAGATTACTGTCATGTATGGCAACTTGAGCCAATACACTTGTGTGCGAGTTTTTATGTTGATTTCGCCTGCCTGTCTGTCTGTCAGTCAGTCAGTCATAAAGTTGTCTGACACATCTGATGAAAAGCACAAGATAATTATACGAAATATGTTTTCTGTCATGATGTTGCAAAAGAGAGATAGTTTGTGAAAACTGAATTTTTGTTGCATTATTACGTAGCACAACGTTGTGTGATGAATGACATCAGCGCTTGCAACCCTCACACCCCCATTGTTGAAATCAAAGCCGATGATCTTCTACATTTGATGTGGTCACTTAATTGTCCAACCAGATGACTAGAATGCACAACTTCATGTGTTCGCATTTTTTTTAGGGAAACAGGATAAGTTAAATGTGTTGTTTATTTCCTGATTTTTAAGTTTTCCTTTTAAGGCTTTGAGTTGGCAATTCATCAACTGATCATGGACCACTACAAGCTGTGCTGAGAATCATTTACTACTTAACAGTTAGGCGTCAACGTATCCATCTCTCTACTATTGATACGTCGAATTAGTATTCACTGTTAAGGTTAAATGTAATGCTTTGAAATAAAATTCAAAATTAAGTGTTATTTATCTCAACTATACTGTTGAGGTATGCATATTCATCCAAGTACTATTTTATAGTTTTCGCTGGTTGCTACTTATGAGTAGTTTGACTGTAACCTTTAAAATTTAACAATACAGGAGCCTATGGTCCTACACTATTACTTATGACCTGAAGTAAGTGGCGAAGGACTCAAATTCTTTAACCCATTAGCTACATGTCTAGCATATTCTTTAGACGAAACTATCTCCATATTGAGTAGCCAGAGGTATTCCGACTAGAACGAATTGCTGTCTTCTCTCTAAAAAGTTTGCTGAAACTTGTCGTCACATCAGATGCTGATAACAACTAATTTATAGCCATTGATGTGATAAACTTTCCTCGAGAAACTGATCGTTTTTGGCGTCTAGTTCCGTGTTTTTCTGTTATTTGTTTTATAGGGTGGACTAGGTGTATCACCTGAATGCTTTGGTCATCTTACCCACTTACTAATGACAGTGTGCCATTTAAATCCATCTTCATACACGTTAAATCAAAATCAGAATGAACACCAACAAGTCTCCTCTTCAAGTGGAACCAGACAGACACGTCAACGACTGAATCAAGAGAAGTCAGCATCATATTCCGGTGGATTGATTATTGCCTTAGAAGGTGGATATCAGTTGGCGGGTACAGCTGAATCAGTTTGTCATTGTGTTTCTACTCTACTGGGAGGGAGTTTACCACGATTAACGACTAATCTTGTAGTATCTGAGAAGTATGTTTCTGGTCTTTGTTATTTTCGATACGATGTTTGTGTATGCAGTCTGTCTACTTTATTTAGCAAATACCATCGGTAACTCTTCATGAAGTAACTGAGTGGAAGTGACTGACGGGATAACACAAGAACGCTACCAAGACAATTAGATAGTTGAACTGGATACTAAAAGCTACTTTTCTCCCTTCGATTTGTTACTTAACTGAGACGCGGAAATCAGAAGACAAAGACTGGCCTGCGACTGTGAGAGAGACAACTTTACCTAATGAAATACATCATTTATATACAGTTTTCCTTTAGAAAATGAAGCCTCTAGGTCACAAGTTGGATGCTTACTTTTATTGTATCAGTTGAAGCATAAAATTACTCAGTAAGATTTTTCCTGCCCACATCGTAACATGAAACCAAGGTTGAAATCCAAAACTCCTTTCTGTGACTGATGACCCTAAATACTGATTTCGATTTAGCCTACCTCTCATCTCTCTGGCATCATCCTACTCCCCCTCAATGGTTATTTGGTATTCCTTCTTTAGCAGAGCTCAACTGTTAATGAAAGCTAGAGAACAGTCTTGTTTATCGATTGGTGAAAAACCGCCTTGTAGCCTCTTTTGTAGTATCAGTTGTATCGCGAACATTTCAGTAGTAGTAGTAGTAATTTTGATCATATTTAGTTCGTTAGTTATTCCTTGTAATCCTGTGGAGCCTACAATACATCATTTAGTGATTACTGAGAAGCATGAAGTCCTCAGTACTAATTTATTCTCCTTGATAGAAGAAGTTCAATCAGAAGTAAGATTTATTGAATTACTTTCAGTATTAAAAGATTTGAGATTCTCCGTGTGTAGGAAGCTTCTTTGATATAAGCGGTCATCTTCACTACTGTGAATTGAAAATTTGGGATTATAGCCTTTATGACATTTCAGGTACGTGATAACACAGCCTCTGTGTAGAGTTATGAGCAAACATTTTGTCTGACCAACTTGATCTAATGCACTTTTGTGAGAGAGGGGTTCTGCGTTGATTTTATCTGTCTCTAGGAACCAGCATAGAGACGATTTCCGTTGTCTACACAACAGTGAAGGTGCAACAATGAATAGTGCAAATAAATTAGAAATCTGTTGTTTAAATATGTAACATTCATGAATTTCATTTCAACTTAAGATGAACAACACTAACACTAGAATATTTTATCTTAGAACGCTGATAACGAAATGGCTGTTTTGTAGTTCAACCTTACTCAGATCTACAAATATTCGTCATATATTTACTTTTTCTGTACGATTTACCAAGATAATAACTGCATCCCATTAACGATGATATGATCGATTACCAGCTCTCCATCTGTTTACTGTGCATAATAGATATTAAGGCCTGGATATACTAAAGTTAATTGGCAGTGTTCTCACACTGACCATTTTCTATGGTATATACTTGAAACGAGTAACTGAGATTGTTTCAGACTTGTAATTTTCTGTTACTATACAGGCCTAGTTACTTGAACTCTGTGAGCAGATGGCCTACTATGCGGGTGTCTTGATACAACTGGATATTCATGATGTTACATTCATCGTAGTGAGAAGTAGTGGCCTACACCAGGTTGTCTAAAGCAAATCAAATACGCATTGATTCATATAGGCTTTGGATCATTTTAACCGAATGTGAGGTATGCTACTCATTAATAGTAAGTAGTATAAAACCAAACGCGTGAAAAGAATATGTTGGTGACATCATAACGGACAAAAATTAAAACCAATTAGGGAAATAATTTACAACTGTTTTCGATCAAGCAGAAAAATTTGCGATCAAACAAAAAACTGGAATAAGTTGGACTTCTTAATGAAGAAGTTCTTAAAGACTTACTCAAGAATAAAAAAGAGCATGTGAGAAAAAGGAAAGTATCCATGAGTAACATTTGATCCGCGTTACACAAGAGGTGGGTGTCTTGCCTCAGTGGGTAACGCTTTGGCGTTTAAAGTGATAGCTACTAGATTCGAGTCTTGGTGCTAACAACATTATTCACTGGGACTCAGACACATCCAGCTGTCGAGTCTCATAGGATGGAACGCAGGTCCTGGATTTGAGTAGTAGTTACCTATAACACATAGACTTAGTAGTGCTCACTAGCCAAATCCCAACGATTTCATAACTTTTGTTTTCGCATGAAAGTAACCCAGAGGGTTTAACTTTCAAACCATTCGCAATTTCGCCTAGCTGCCTGAAACTGTTGAAACCCACCATTTGAAACGATCACCTTGATATATCTGACCGAATTTTTGAAATTCATTTATCAACCTTGTGCACATTCATACAGTAGGCACTGAGCCACACTTACTGTGTGAGGGTCAATACTGATACTGCCTGGCTGCCCAAACCTCGGTAGGTGGGGCTGGGTCCGAACCCTTGACTCCTTGCTTGAAAATCATTTGTCTAGACTAACGAGGCAAATATCCACCTTATCTACCTAGGAAATGTTGCCCCATTAGTTGCTATGAGTGATCCATAGCTACCCATTTCAACTGGCAGTACATGTTGTACGGCTTGTAATCTTGAAACCATTTATAATATCAAGAGAATAATATACTGCCGTCCAAATATTTTTTAAAATCTCTTATTAGTTTTTTTCTGTTTCCTTCTTACATCTCTTCTATGCTGAATGGAACAGATTAGTAGTATTCATTATAGTTATTATTATTCCGCTTTTTTCTAATTTTTTACAGAGCATCCAAGTCTATACAACAGACAATTCAAATACACAAAAGTTATTGGAAAATGCTGGAAGGTTTCGGTAGGTTTCCCTCATCTTTTCTTCCAACCAATTACGGTGTATGCATTTTGTTAACCATGACAATGCAGAGTCCAAAAGCCTAGTTGAACGGGTAGTCTGTTGTTCCGCGAAGTGCACACATCAGGACGTGTATTGAAAACAACTCGTTAGGTGACACTTCTACGACACACTGGTAAGTGAAGCGGAACAGGCTGCTGGTAGGAGAGACCTGACAACATTAAATCAAATAACCAGGTTACTATCTGGTGAGAGATCAACGCAGATGAGACCAATGAAAGATAGTGAAGGAAACTTTGTTACCAGAGAGGAGAAACAATGGAAACGATGAGCTGACCACTTCAAAAAACTCTTCAATGAACCGCCACCACCACCTGCAACCCGTCCAGAAATACTATCAGCAACCCAGCCACAGAACTATGAATGAACACAAGCCCTCCGACAAATGCAGAAGTCCTGAATGCCATGAAACTGCTGAAATTTGTTAAAGCAGCAAGACCAGAAAGAATTTCACCAGAAGCACTCAAAACGGAGACAGAGATAGACGCGGACGTGTTCACATTACAACTGCAGAAGTTTTGGAAGGAAGGAGCGGTACCTGCCTGTTGACTAGAAGAAGGGCTACCTTGTCAAACTCCTGAAGAAGGAAGACCTTAGTCTTTGCAAGCACTGTCATGGAATCATGCTCCTGTCCACACCAAGCAAAATATTAAGCCACATTATCCTGGAGAGACTGAAAAATGCGCTGGATTCAAAATTACGACTGGAAGAGGCTCGCTGGCTTCAGAAAAAACCACTCATGTGCGGATCAAACTGCAACACTACGCATCATCATAGAACAGAGTATAGAATGGTAGTCAACTCTCCACCTCCATTTCATCGCTTTTGAAAAGGTTTTCGACAGCGTCGACTGAGAAGTAATTTGACGAGCAGCTGCTTCAACACTAGTTTTAGTGCCACAAATCTTTATCAACCTCATTCAACAACCCTATGGAGACGCCACATGCCAAGTAATTCACAATGGGAGGCTCAGTGATGCCTTTGGAGTGAAGACAGGAGTAAGACAATACTGCCTACTATCACCGATGATCTTCCTGGTTGTGGTGGACTGGATCATGATACAAACAGTGAGGAGCGAGAAGAGGGGGATACGCTAGACCGCAGAAAAGAACCTAGAAGATTTAGATTTCGCAGATGACCTGTGCCTGATGTCACACAAACTTGAAGATCTACAGACGAAAACTAACAAGTTGACAGAAGAGACGAGGCAGCGAAGACGGGACTTCAAGGAAACGATGAGAAGACAGAGGTGATGAAGATACCAAACCAACGCCACGACAAACAACAACAACAAGCTCCAGTAACCATCAACGGGGGAAACTAAAAGGAAGTAGCCTCTTTCACCTACCTACATGCATAGGCAGCATCGTTCTAACTACAGGCGGCACAGGCACAGATGAGGACGTCAAAGCCAGCCGGGATCGGAAAGATAGCAAGACAGGCGTTCATTAGCCTGAAACCGGTGTGGAGATCTTCTACACTCCACTCAGCACAAAGGACAAGATCCAGATTCTCAGCACTAATGTCAAGTCAGTGCTTCCGTATGGCTCAGAGACTTGTCGCGTTACGAAAAGCATTTCCAAAAAAATTGCAGACATTCATCACCAACTGCCTACGCTGGCTCGATACTGAAGATCAGATGGATGGCCAGAATAATAAGAATAAGCAATAAGGAACTCTGGGTGGCTGGCAACGAACCAACCAAGAAGATATCTCTGAACAAATATGCGGGAGAAGGAAGTGGAGATGGATTGAATTGGCATACACTGAGAAGGCCGACTGGGGACATCACGTGCCAGGCCAGTCCCTTGAGTGGAACCCAGATGGGAAGCGACGAGTTGGGCGTCCGAGGTGAGGGTGACATGGATAAGATCGTGTGAGGAAGAAATGAGAGCTTATGAGCAGTCGTGGAGTGAGGTTGAAAAGATTGTAGAGAAGAGAGTGCAATGGAGAAGTGTTACTGAAGCCTTATGTTCCATTAGGAACCCAAGGGATAAATAATAATAATAGAAGAGCATGAAGGGAGAACTTATTCCTCGAAAGTTAAGTACTGACAGATTGACGTGGCATCTTTAAAATTGAAATATTATTCCTGTTTTAAGTAGTATTTCTCCAAATTACCAATGCTTTTTTTCTGCAGTTTAAATTAAACTGATCTATTTTAATACTGAGTAGGTGTTTTCATTCCTTTTTTTTTCATCGTTGAATACGCTTTCATGATCACTATATTTTTCTTCCTCTGTTAAATTTAGATCCAGTTGACTGTTTTTCGGATCCAGTTTCAACTCATCGCCTGATGAATCGTAGAAATACACGAAAAAACCCTACGAATACTACCTCTACTCCACAAAATAATTTGATTCACTCGCAACTGGAAACTTTAACAGTAGATGATGAAGTTCCAGCACAGTTCGCATCATCTCCACGTGATGATATCTCACATCTTGTCAATACCTCATTATCTATAGGTATCAGTGAACAAGCCACTGTAATCACAGGTTTAACGTCTATGACTCCAACAAGTATGGGTACACCAGTTCAGCATCAGCCAAATTCCCTTCAAAGTGAAGTGTCAACATCACATCAAGCTTCAATTGTTGACCAAATATTGTCTACTGGTGTAGTATCCCCGTCATCTGGCACACTTCAAGAAACTGCTACTATTCCACAACTAATTGAAGAATTATCAAATTTAAGAGGTTTGTTTCACAGCTTCTCTCATTCGTTGTTTGATACTTGTAATTCCTCCTAGCTCAACAGAGTCAAATTTCTCAATGATTGTTGGCAGATGGGATTCTATGCGGATACCTCAATACTGCTGGATATCCGCTGTACAAAAAAATGACCCCTGTGCTCTTAGTTGCCCAGCGGATGACTTTTTGGTGCTTGGAGCCATGAGTATTTGGTTCGAGTCTCAATGGGAACAACCTCACCCACTGAGGTGAAGGTACATTCGGCTGAGTCGAGGAATAAGACGGAATGCACATCTTGAATTCCACTGCTAGTCATCAACATATCTCATTCGTCTGACAACATTGTTGTCCAGTTAAAATGATGAACACTGACTTTACGCCTTAGTAAACACACTAATGTTAGATAGTTATGTCTCCTGAATATTACTCACATATCATCCATTGAACTTAGGATTAGCAATTTCCACATTGTTCGAACCACTAGGTTTGGTATTATCTTTTACACCAAATTGAGAACTTTGCTGTAGCAATGATAGGCGTAATGCAGGTGAATTTCGCCTTTTATTCCTCCCCCTCTCCCCCCCTCCCCCCTCCACTTGACTGAAGGATAAAAAGATAATTTAAACAAAATTCGTTAGTTTGAGAGTTGATGTACTCACAATACCTGATGATATGTTGATTTTGAACCTTATTGTGTGATAGTTCATGCGTTTGTTTACTCCCTAGTCCGAGAGTAATCTGTAACAGTTCTTTAGTGATTGACAACTACTACCTGTTCATTTGTGAAATTTATATAGGATGGAATACGTTTAGGGTAGTATATGGACCAGTGGATTGATGAATTGAAAAATAAGTTGTGGTTTCTGAGCTCCGGTGCCTGTGAGATCGATGGCGCCTTGTACTGACGAAACTACTGCCTATTTATCTGTGACTTCCATTTATCTATTTATCTATCTATCAATCAGTTTTTCACCTATCACAAGCTTCATTTCTAACCGAAAAATAATTAGAAAATTAAGCAGTTCCTACTTTCGTTTCTTTTTACACCACGTTACATTTAACTAATTGGATGTACTAATTCGCTGTTCTGTAGGATAGGATTCGGTCAACAGTACTGTAGGATTTTCTGTCGTGGTAATAGATTTTGTTACCAAGTTTAATTTTCAAATCATGGAAACCACTATATGACTGATTCACTTTAATTGCCAACTCTTCTGTATCGTTTATCTACTTCACATGAGGATTGTGGCCAGTTTAAGTATCTAAGGCTAAACATATCGACAGAAGTAATCAGCGTAAAACTTCACACACAAGTGGCTTGATTCAGATTGACACACTTCATCCTAGTAGTCTACAAAAAACAAGTGGATCCAAAAAGAGTGAAATCAAAGAAGACAAAGGTGTATAGGTGGAGAGGAAGTTTTTAAACGCAAAGATTCAAAATTCAGAAGACATTAAAGAGTGAATACATATCCACCGCTGTGACCGATTTTCACTCACGTCACCAAGAGTTCTCAACCACTCGTCCCTATCGTCTCGGGGACTCCAACACGGCTCAGACCGAAAGTTAGGGGATGCATGCACTGGTGTCATGTCTTGGTTAGGCCACTACAGGCTTTCTTTTGACTAAATCCAGTTTCTTCTAGCATGGTACGTTGAGGTAGCTGGTGACTCGGCATACGCAGTACATATTCAAGCCAACTCAGTCACTGAGGTTTTGCAACCTCATGAATCGACTTACCTGTCTAGTCCAGTAACCTTCACTTGACCTCCACATTGCTCATACGGTGATCCCATCAAACACAAGCAATGGTGCGAAGACATTTTTGATTAATATCCTGTAACCGCTACGTAACTACTTTTAACGGGCATGTCTCATAGGCTTACAACAGGGCAGAACGGTTTGGAGCGCGGTTTACTCGTCCTGTGATTGGTAGTCGAACATCTCGCCAGTCAGCGTCAGGTGACACAAATTGGTAAATGTCAATCAGGCCTTCTGTATCCGAGCTGAGATTTCCTTAGTAACCAGTCCTTTCAAGCTGATGCATCTCCCAAGTAAGTGAAGTGATCTACACATTCCACCACTTCACCCACTTTCATTGAACGTAAAGTGAATACAGACCAGTCAGTCATGGATCATCACCCTACATTTGACAGGTGATAGTGAAACGCATGCTAAATATGCTCAAATTTCTGCTCAACGCGTTCATAAGACCGTGAATTTTGTCAGCGTCTTCATCTAACAGGTTAATATCGTCTCCATACTCCAAGTGAATCAGATGACCTCTATGAAGTAGATCAGTTTCTGTGACATCAGACATACCTAAGGTTATGACCATTAGTACGTCTATGAGGATGTTAAATAGGAACTGTTACAGTGGACAACCCTGGTGGACACCACTAGCTTTCGTTAGTTCTGAAGAATAGAATGCAATATAGCGCATTATATACTTGTTCGATACTCCTTTCACAGTTAGACAATACCGCAACACTTCAATGTCGAGATAATCAAATACCGCCTTCAGGTTAACATATATGGCAAATGTCGGTCATTAGTCGGTAAGTATGCCTATGTTCCAGAACCTGTTAGAGGGTTAAAATCTGATCGATACACCCTTGTTGATGTTTGAAACCTGCTTGGCTTTCCTGAGTTTACTGTTCTCGTGTTCCAGTTAGGAGTCGGACAACTGTGGATCTTAGGATCTTGAACAAAATATTACTCAAAGAATTCCCTTATGGTTGTCACAGTTAGACTTCTCTCTTTTAATTGAAGACTGGGATAATTAGTGAAGTAGATCAAAGTGACATGTAGTGATGAATAGGTTATAGTAATGCTTTGAATCGATAAGTTTTAGATACCCTTTAGTGGTACGAACGTGTATTTCTCTTTTAAGATAAGAAAAAAGCAAGAAGCAACATATTTTAGGCAAATCTCGATGAATTTTCTATCAAGCATATATTTTCTTTCTCCTATCTTCAGATGAATATTTTCACCAGTAAATATATGTATTTGAAGCTTAACTCTAAAAGGCACTTTTTTTAACGTATTCAGTATAGTGCTACGTAAGGTTTTCGGATAATGTTATATCCAGCAACCTAACTTTAATTTCTTTCAAGATATATCTTTCCAAGGTGTTTTACGAACTAAAATTTTTGCCTTTTCGATAACTTCCATTGGTTATTCAGATTGTTTGATTGATCGGAGATCATACTGAAAAGTTTGATGTAAGTAATCCTCAGATTCACGTAGTTTTCATGCTTGTTGTTAGTTCTTGTCAACAAGATGCGACTGCAGCCTGTAAGGAGTTTATGACGTAGCTCATATATTGAAACCTGCATCACTATGTAACCACTACTGCTTCAATTTCTCCTAGTTCGAAATCGCTCTAGAGTGTTATAGTTAAAGAACCATCTTGCTGTATATAATTATGCTCAGCTTTACAGTTAAATGGTCTATATGTGAAGTGATGTTGTTTTAGAAAGAGACTACAAGTTTTGCTTTGTAGCATTGTTCTCGTGTTCATGGAATCACTGTGTGAGCGATTTTTAGGACTGGTTGTAAGGTGCTTGTCCATTTAAAAGTAAGCCAGTCTGTAAGGCTGTAAACTCTCATCTACTGACTGAGAAGGTGGTCTGGTCATATATTGTACATGCTGATCCACCGCCTACCTTTATACATGTTAACCGTATCAGGATTTGATGGGTCGGAAGAATTCTAAAGGAGACCAAAACAAGATATAGAGCCAGTTTGTAAAGTTTCTGATTTTTTGTGGCATAGGTTATTCGACTCAAGTTTTTAAGATGTTAGGGGTTTATGGTAGGTTATTGTTTAAAGTCGATCACAATAGCGCAGAATTAGTACATCGTCTTCAGGATTCTAAGCATTTAACTACCTTTCACTACCTTGCGTTCCTCTCATACACTTCTTTCATTCTACAGTGAATTGTGTCAATATGAAGTAATGCCTTTCTGTGTTAGGTTCTATGCTGGTTTATCCTTTCTTTTGTTATGCATAAAATTTAAGCAGAGGTAAGTATACAGATCTCATCTGATTGTAGTCTGTGTGCATATCTAAATGACGCATAACCACAGTATATGATGACAATTTGACCTTAAACTTTTATTCTCCCCTCTTTCACTTTCTTCTCCTACCTTTCTCCATTTAAATTTATTATAGTTAGCTTTCCAGCTACAGATACAAGTGATCGACCAAGTCTAGCGTCAGAGTTTGTACACACACTGCACGTACAGCATAATCAACCAAATATGTATGTAGTATCCGGTGCCAGTGAATCCACTCTAGTAAAAACTACAGATAGAGATCATGATGTAGCTCAACCTCAACCATCTACTTCAAATGAACTTGTCACAGTGGCAACTGTACAAGATTTAATGAATTTGACTAATGTTGCTTCAGAAGATATTTATGATTTCTTTGGATTGGTAAGTTGTCCGATCGTTGATTTATTTGTTTTGTGGTGTTATAGTTGACATCATTCAATGTTTGTATGACTGAATAGCAGTATATTTCATTATGTTTACTTATAGGGATTCGCATCATGACATAGATCTCCGTAAAGTATATTCGACTTCCTATCGGTCAAGCAAAGAGTACTAGACAAGAAAAACAAGTTGATTGATGAGGTTGTGAACCTTAGTCGACTGAGATACCTTGAAGATGTACTACGCATGCCGAGTCACCGACTAACTCGATGTACCATGATAGTGAGGGAAGTTGGATCAAGTTGCAAGAGGGCTATCACAACTACCTATTGGTATTTTTTTGTTCAGCCTATGTAGCTAATTTGTTGCAGGTGGATTAGTAGAAGATTTTGTGTAAATCTGACTTTGATAGCTCGACTAATTTAGCATAAGAATTTGGAAGATAAAAGAATGGGGGAAATATGTTGGCTGACAAGTCGATGAGCAGCAAGAATGTACTTAGGTATAACCTGGAAATCGAAACTGGAAAGTGAGTAGGTATGGTTTTGAATGCCTTGCAGATCGACGAAACAGCAGGAGCTTCATTTTACTGGGCTATCCTCTTCTCCTTAATCTGCCCGATCTACCAAACAGCCAACTGACTTCTAACCAATGGATAATGGATTTGAACACCGCTCTGCCCGACGAGATTCTGGCAATCAGGTAGTATAACCAGCCCTCACGAAATAGGTTTGGCTCGTTGCCTACCGCACAAACATGCTGTTCTCTGTCACAGGGTATTACAAAAGTACAGAATTTCGAGACGTTATACAATGATGGTAGTTTCGTTTTTTGATGAACTTCGATGTTTTATCGTCAACGTTTCATCAATCCATGTCTCATGACCTATTTACAATTCAATGGAAAAATTACAAGCCCAAAAACAAATGGGATACCTATAAGATGGCTAATATCAGGATTGATTGATAAAACTGTGGTGCCATCCGCTGGAATCACTAGTCGACCTTCTCATCAAACCAAAAATTCGGATCCAGTATAATGACAACAAATTCGTATTTCTCAAAGAAGGTGAAAGAGAAAACTAGTCCAAACTAATCAACCAAACGTTTGAAGGAATTCATTTGACGAAGGAGGAGGAAGCCAATAACGAATTTCTATTCTTAGATATTCTTATCAGCTGAATACATGAAGGAACTTTAGAAAGCGAAGTGTACAAGAAAACCGCACATACTGATTGAATTTTGAACTACAACAGTAATCAACCTACAGTCCATAAGAAATGTTATGTACAAACACTAATCTCAAGAGACAAAACACATTACAGCCACTGGAACACTACACAAAGCTCAAAGGAAATACATGTACAACGTGTTCAAAGTCAATGACTATCCACTCAACTTTATTGAAAGGTGTTTATCAGCAAAACAGAAGACTAGTCAATCAATCCAAATCAACAGATGCTTTGCGTTGACCTACATCAAAGATGTCTCACACACTGCCAACCAATTGTTTCCCTCTTCCAGAATTACAACAGCACACAAAGTAACGAAGGCAAAGGAGGATCCATTGACAGAGAAGGATACAGGACAAATATAGTCGCCAGGTAGATCAGAGAATTCATGCACAACAACTAGCAGTGAAGTGACATGACACAACCTCCTTGATGTCGAAACATGGAGAGATAACCAGGATCACAAATTCCATTTGCAGAATGTGGAAACCCTCTAAGGAGTAGGGTTTAAAAGCTGAAAGAGAATCTCTCAATACATGACATTCAAATGAAAAGTTAATCAACACACATGTTGATGTAGGTAGTTCCAATCTCGAATCGACATGGGAAGAAAGCAGTCAGGCATCAACCAAATGTGAACTGCCACACGAGGTCAATAATCATGCACAGTGTGACAGCAACAATTAAATCGATTTCACTCTAAAACAAATTCGTTACAAACTTGACCGAGTGAAATTTAAGTTCAACAAGTCTAGGTGTTGTGATAACAATCCCTTCTCCAACTCACAACTGGACAACACCCAATGTCAATAAAAACATTTTATAAACATTCATGTAAGAATCGAATATGCATCATTTCTTTATGAAGTTAGTGCTGAAGATATCAGCAAGCCTGGTTATGAAACGTACACTTGGAAATATCAAAGCTCAGAGAACATCGAATCACCATCATCCTTATGTTGAACTACAAATCGTTTCCATCATTTCAGTTTGTTATGTCATGTAACTGGAATAGACAGAATTATCTTCGAAAAACATACAATTTTATCACATGAGTTACTGACAAAACTGTAAATATACAGGAGATCTGTATACTACCAAAACATAATGATGTCGACACTAGAATTTTCAAATATTTTTCAGAGATTAGTTATATGAATCGCAGAAATAAAGAATGTTCTGACGATGAAAAGTATCAAACATACGCTTGTCAGTTCCAGCAGAACTACCAATAATAGAAGTGTTACACAAACTACTATTTAACAGAAGTACTTCGAGTAAAATATTACAGATCATAATATATCGCACCCAGTAAACCCTTTTGTTGAGCCAAATGAAAGACTGATATTACACAATTTGCTGTAATTGCGATCAACTGTATGTCAGTAGGATAGAAATATGTACATGATATTAATCCCGAAAAACTATGGACTGGTTTTTATGAGTACGCCTGTTAAGAGCTCTATCACTGAAGTATGAAATTCTACTGTCAGTCAGTCAATCGCTATCGATGTAAGACCTGGCATTACTGTGTAATGGTCTAACTTACCCCCTTGATATCAGTCCATCTAGGTAGGCGGCATGAAGATTAAAGAGAAATCGAAAGGAATGTGATAAAAAGCTGCGAAAAGGAGAGAAAGGAGGGAAAAGACAGTAACGAAGTTAGATATAAAGACTGAGATGAAGATAATGTTGGGATACATCTGCACCATATCTACTCTACTCTCCAACCATTGTACTCGGTTGTTCATATTTCTCTTCACAGCCTGGATCACTAGTCAGAGACTTTATGAACTGAGAACATTTTTCATTCTGGCCACCTCTGACTTTTTTGTTGTCTTATTTAGTTTCAAGTATTTCAAAGAAGTGATAATTTATCAGCTGTTGTTGAAGTCTTTAATCAAGCAGCTTTTCATTTCAGGAAATGGTTTCGTCTGTCACATTTTTGTTGTTATGCAACCTAACCAATGACTTCAAGTAAACTTGTTGGGCTTTTTTATTTTATGGCGCGAGCACTTTTGAGTGTAGACGCCAAAAAATGGTTTCACACAGATATATCATTTACAATTTAAAGTAATTATCCATTTTTAGCCTGTAGAATACTCTCATTTTCCTTCATATTATCTCATCATCTAATCTCATGATTATTTTCTTACGTGTTATTTTAATTTTTTGGAAAAGCCGGATTCACATGAATTACCATCTCGTATATTCACTGTAACACCATTATCTTGGTGTCCTCATTTAACATATGTACGGAGTAATCCAACCTGGCAGCCGGATGTAAATGCTTTATGCAGTCGGTGTGATAATCAGAATGAGAATTGGGTTTGTCTATCATGCTATGCGGTAAGAGTTATCATTAACATTATCGTTGAATATTATTATGATTATTACTGCTTACACTATGAACTAGGGTGTCAGTAGAGGAGATCCTGTTAGCAGTACAGCTGTACTTAACTTCTACAATCTTTAAACTTGTGAATAAAATATGCAAACAAACAGAAGGAATTGCCACAGGATCACCAATATCCACAATCGTGGCTAACGTGTTTATGGACAGTTTGGAACGGATGTCTGTAGAAACACTTAGTTCATCTCCAAAAGTATGATTTCGATATGTAGATGACACGTTTACGGTGTTGAAATTGGAGCACATACATAGTTTCTTTACACATAACTTCAGTAGTTAACGCAATCCAATTCGCCTATGAATAAAGAAAATAGTGAAGGGGAATTAGCGATATTCGGTTGCAGAATAAAACAAAAGCAAGAAGGACGTTTGGATACTAGTATCTATAGACTACTTAGACTTCAAATCTTCTCACCCCATGTCAGTTAAAGTTGGCTTAGCAAAGTGTCTAAGTAACATAACCAGAAAGCTTACTACCAGGACAAAAGATCTGAGACAAGAAACCAGATGGATTAAGGACACCTTACTCATCGACAGTTACCCTCCGAGATTACTTGACAAGTTCCTGAAGAATTACATGAAAAATATAACTTATATTAATTAGTAACACAAGTGCTGACTGTATTCATTATAATGTTTATAATAATGATGATAATACTCTGAAGAGGAAATTCGAAACCTGTACAACATTACTATATAAAGAAGGCAATTCAGAGACGTTACTTAGGATTCTCTGAAATTAAAGTCGCATTTAAACCTACAAACTCATTTACAATTAAGTTTAGTAGGTAAGTAGATCCTATTGATTTAATTAAGCAGGATAATTTAGTTTACCAAATGCCTTGTAACGATTGCGAGGTCAAGTACATAGGGAAAGTAGTCGACCAGGGTTAATTGGGGTTATTCGAGGACAAAAATCTAGCTACATCAAAATTGGTAGATCCTAATACGATTAGGAATCGAGAGAAAAGCTTGACCATAACTATACATGCAATTACATACAAATACACAATAGGATGCTACAGGATGAAAATCCTTAAAGCTAACATAACAGAGTGGAGGGAGAGATTGATAACTGAATCTTTGTTTATTCTATCAACCAACACCTTATATATGCAGCAAGATGAATGTTCTGGGTATGTAGAAAATTCTACTACCCATATTACAAATAGAGACAAGAAAATTAGAACTGTATAAATAATTTGTCAAAGTTGTGAAGTTATCTTGATATGACAAAATGGACAATAAATTGTATCCGAAACGTAATCCAGTTATAAGTAATACTTTTCCCTCATTGTGATAAGTCTAATAAATCAACTAAAATGGAATTACATTTCGATATCTGGCTAGATATGATCTGGATAAATTCATCTCTTTATCATTTGGCTAGTATTTATACTGAGCTACAAGGTCCAGTTGGTAGAACATCGGACCGGAAACTTGGTGGCCACTGGTTCGAATCCGGCCGTGATCCAAACTTTCATTTCACCTTGAATCATCACCCAGTATAAATTCATCTCTAATTTTTTTTTTTTTTTCACTGAATACCTATTGCAAAATCGTTAAATTTATACAGACACACAATATTCATGTCGTACTACCTACAGTAACAGTGATGTTTTGCTTAGCATACTTATTTGATAGGCTAACTCATGCTGTATCAGTTTTGGATACTGCAACAAATAACCAAGACCACTTTATGTTATCATTTAACTGACCTAGAGTGACCATCCAACTTCATTCTTGTTAATGGGTGAAGTAAAAAAAACCATTTTGGTGACAGTTAAAAGATATTACACTGAAAATCAGGGGAATCTGATCGACTACTCCTTTAAGCTATTGTTCAAGTCATGGATGGTTGTTTTACTACTATTGGAGCCTATACTATTCTATTCTATGCTATACTAAGCTTCGCATCAATTCCTCACTGTGTTTTACTTATTGTACACCGACCAATTTCTAATCACTGGATCAAAGGTTGAGACCATATCCATCTACATTGCCTGGAGGAGTAGTACATGATTATCTACAATTTTTCTTTGTGTATTCACCACCTCAGTCACAGACGTTTTCAGTGATCTGTTCAGATTATACCACTTTTTTTATTTGCATTTCTAAATGTTGTGTAGAAGTTAATTACGCCAACAAAGAGACGAAATCAGTTTGTATAATCTATTAACATAGATTATTGTGTACAATAGCATGATGTACCGCTTGTTTCACTGTTCCTTACCACAATTTTTAATCATTAACGTTCGTTCAGCACTCAGATGACAGATGATCTTAGCTGTTGTAGGTCTTGTCCCTCAGTAGCCTGTTGGATAACGTTTTGGTATTTGAAGCGACTGGTACTACTGAGTTTCAGTCTCAATGGGGACAACATCACTCGCTGGGGTACACAGGTACATCCAGATAACGAGTCACAAATAGGATGAAACGTGCGTTCTGTATTCCACTGCTTGTCATCAAGACGAATACAAGATCTTAGTTGTCGTTTGTTAGCTTATTCTTTTTTGTTTTATTTACTTACAATTAATGTCTATTTTTATCCCATTATCTCTTACTTTATATCTGTATTCTAACAGGTTTATTGTGGTCGTTATGCTAATTCGCATATGATTGAACACTTTTCATCTTTACAACATCCTATTGTTCTCAGTTATGCAGATTTATCATCATGGTGTTATGAGTGTGAATCTTATGTGCATAATGAGGTAAGTTATGAAAAGAAAAAAGATTTCATCACTTTTTATCTTCTTTCTCTGAAATACATAATTTCCATTAAAATATAGTCTAAAAATCATTCGTGAAAAAAAGCTTTTCAACTATGTTCACATCATTATCCACTTGTGTTCAGATTGAAAGTGGACTGCTCCTAACAAACTTGTACATATTACTGTAGTAGACATGGTAATATCACACTATACTGATTTAGAATATAACCGTTAACATTTGTTTTCAATCGTCATTTTGTGATAGAGTATATCCAGCCTTCAATGATTGACATCATAAGTTATATAATGCCTCATCAACTCACCCCTCATATATGAACGGAATCGTCAATCTACTATAACTTATCTGATTGTAATTGACTTAAGATCATGATTTCACTAAATTAGCATCAACATTGACCTCGTCTGTAAAAACAATTAAATCTACCACAACGCATTATTATTACTAGTTACTAGTGTTAACCTTTAAACTTTTCAAGGTTGGAATAAAATACCAGCTAAACGGGACCCCCTATGAGTTATTCACGCTATTATCAATTTCAGTGATGATGAGTTTGATCTTTATCCAAAAGGCTTGAATTATCACAAAGTAAGTTTTTAACACAGCAGATATGTGAAACTGACATACCTACTAGATATAACTTAACTGTTTTGATCTCATCATACTTTTCGCCAATCAGATTGAGTTGATCCCAGTAGCAGACGATTGTCTTATTCGTTCAGCATTGAGCTTATCTTTTGTGTGCCTAGATTAATCCACATAATCGATATATATTGGTGCTAAAAGAATATCAAATGAATATAATTGACGAAATCAACTGTAAAGACGATCTACAACACCAATAATCACCAACTGTCTAACTATCGGATTGCTCAAATTATTTACCAACTTGAACTAGTGATAAAGCAAAAAGTACACATAATCTTTAATTTCGATACAAATGAACAGTCGAAGAAAATTTTTTGAGAAGAATTTAGAAATTCTAAAATGAATTGATTCAAAATTTGTTTTAATGGATACTACTGGTAAGAACGGATATAAGTAGTATATGTTGAGAGGTTGGCAGAAGTTGTAGGCAATCACGAACAATGCGTAAATATTCTGCCCAGAGAAATGCAAGAGATAATGTGGGCGTATGAAGAGTAAATTGAGATAGAAATAGGAGAGGAAATGAAACATTGTATAAATGACGTTTTTAATGGAAAGTGTACAATACTTTATCACTACTGTACAAAATGTCATAATACACATTCTGTTCTACTTCTTAGTCTTTATCATTTTCTTACACTGTAAGCGAATTTCCCAGATGCTTGACATTTAGACCAAACATCGACCAACTAACACATGATTATAAATCCAATTCATATCCTGCTTAAGAAGAAAACAAAAACAACTTCCGATCGTTCAAACGAAAATTGATTAAACATTTCATGTATCAAGCAAATTGTTAATTGGACAACCATACAAAAACTGGGAGCACTTGAGAACTGTTAGTCACACTATATCACAAATTGACAAAAGTAGGAAAGTATGAATCATTGAACTCTAATCCAGTGACTGAATTTTATCATTCTCGAAGCAAATATCGGAATTACTGGATTCAATCTATCATGAGGTCGTGGGTGCGCGTTGCTGAGGAGTCCCTGACTAGAGTGAAATAGCTGTTGAGTACTCTCAGGTTTCAATGGCTCTCTAATTGATATCAATCCGTGTTAAATATCACTTTGAAATTAATAAATCCCCATAAACCTCCTGACAAAAATAATGACATAAAGTTGAGGCAAGCAAACAAATGATATAAAGGTAATACAACTATGTTGATCACAGCTATTAGCTCCCAGCTGCATCATTTAACCAGCATCTATCGTCTATCATATCTTAAATTTCAGTCGATACGTTTATGAAGTTTCATTAATTTTAACTTAGTCGTGTGTTTTACATATGGAGCTTCCACCTGCGTTAACACAAGACTTTCAGTAAAGTACATATCGGTCAAAAGGAAGTTAAAGGTGGCTGGATCAAGAAACAGCATCAATCCATAGAGTTTTCCGACTGTTGGTCTGACTTTTTTTTGAATAGATACAGGCTGGTTAACTTGGAGTTATCGAGGTTACAGAAATCAGTCGGTTGATCTTTGTTGATTTGTCTCTCCGTCCTGATTACTACCTTCAGATAGGATGGGAAGCATATTCTGCTTGGATTGACAGTGGAAGATTGTATGCTTCGTCGCTTTGTTTTAATGTGAACAATATTGAGGTCTGGCGGAGTGTTTCAGGGAAGGAATGCAAGGCAGTGAATGTGACTGTGAACCTTCATCATCTGAGGTGGCTTGGACATGTACTGTCTATGCCGAGCCACCACCTACCTCGATGTACAATGCTAGGGAAGTTTGAATAGGGTGAGAGAAGGCTCAGAGTGGTCAGATCAAGAGCTGGTACCAGTCTATGAAGTCCCTGACTGTTGGCCTGAGCCATGTGGGGAGATGTAGGCTTCCTGGCTGTAGTCTGCGAGACGGTAGGAATCAGCGGTTCAGAAGTCTTGGTGACATAGCTGAAAATCGGTCACAATAGTGCAGATGTATTCACTCCTTGACGTCTTTTAAAGCTTGGACATTTTCACTAACTGTTATTTTCAGATTAATTATTCTTTCACAATTTTGTCTACTCTGACATCACTCTTTTTCTATCCACTTCTTCGTATACTACAGTGAAGTGTGGCAACTTAAGCAGATGCACTTGTGTGGGAGGTTGTTCATTGATTCTGTCTGTTCGTCTCTGTTATGATGTCATCCATCCGACGTATTCTGAACCCATCAACTAAGTCAAGGTCTTATTGTTGACGGCTGATGATCTTGTAGAGAAAGTGTCCTGTTAATTCCTATTGGCTTAGTCTTAGCTCACCTTATTAAAAAGTGTGTCTTTTTCTCTTAGTAGTCTGATATTCATGCAAGTAGATAGAAATTTTCACTAGTCATATGTTGCTTCTCAACATTATTCACTCGTGTAGAAAGAAAGTAAAGCTCTTTTATACCATTTTAGTCTGTTGATAAGAAATATCACACAGTGAAACAGTAGCATTTACTGAATAATGTTTCGGACACAATTCATTGTCCATATTCATATCAGATAACTAACTCCACAACTTCCTAATTTTCTCCCCTTCTCTGTGATGACATGGCCAGTAGAATTTTCCATATATCTGGGACAGGTGCAGAATCATTTCGATTGCTGCATGTATTTGGTATTGATTTCACAAACAAAGATTCACTAATCAATCTATCCCTCCAATTAACTGTTAGTTTTCAACACTGTCGCTCTATCCCCCACCCTACTATGTGATTCATTGTGTGTCATTACGTGCACATCTATATTCGAGCTTTTCTCTACATTTCTCATCTTATTACAATCTACTAATCTTGATTTAGCTGAGTTTTAGTGCTACGTTATTCTAATCGACCCTACTCAACTACTTTGACCTATGTATTTGACCTCGTACTCATTGCAAGGGATTCAGTAAACCAGAATATTTTGCTTAATTGCATCGATAGGATCTTTCAACCTACAGAGCTTGTTTATAAGCGAGTTAGTTCGCTTAAATGCCATTTTAATCTCAGTCAACTATATTGAGAATTTTTCGTAATGCTTCTGAGGTGCCTTCCCTGTGTGGTAACACAGCAGAGGTTTTGAATTCTCTCTTAACCCTGTCACCATTATCACTATTAGTAGTGGAATCATTATTAATAACACTTGTATTACTACTACTACTGCTACCATTGCTAATACTTTTCTTTCGATTTGTTATGGATTTATTTATAAATTTAGGTGGGTAATTATTGAGACGCAAGGTATTCTGCACTTGTGTAATTTCTTGTCGTAGATTTTCTGGCCTACTAGTAAACTTTTTCGCCCTATCACTTAGGCATTTAACTAAGCCTACTTTAACTGAGATGGAGTAGAAGGATTCAAAGTCTAAGTAGCGATTCGAATAGGAAGGTTTCTCATAGACACTGGTCTCTGAACTTCCATCTTATCTTCGTTTTAACTAGTAGTCTAACATTGATAGCTCACCTTCTTCACTTTCTAATTCACAGGTGAATTGGATTGCATTTACTACTGAATTCATATGTGCCAAGAACCTATTGATGTGTTCATATTTCAAAATAACGGAGCACAAATCAAGATTAGTAGATCCTAATAAGATAAGAAATGCAGAGAAAAGCTCGAATATAACTCTGCATGCAATGACACACAATGAATCACATAGTAGGGTGGGGATAGAGCGACAGTGTTGTGAAAACTAACTCAGTTGGTTGGAGAGATAGATTGATTAGTGAATCTATGTTCTGTGGAATCAGTACCAAATACATGCAGCAATCGAAATGTTTCTGCACCTGATTTTATCATCCTTATCATCACAGAGAAGGAGAGAAAATTGGAAATATATAAACTCTGCCTCGAAGTTGTGGAGTTAGTTACCTAATATGAATATAGACAATGAATTGTGTCCGAAACCTTATTCAGTCAATGCTACTGTTTCACTGTCTGATATTTCTAATCAATAGACTAAAATGGAGTTACAATCGACCACAAGTGTCCGAGTTGTAGTTCTCTTTTATACCAGTTAACGATTCCTTAATACAGGAACGAATATTTATTGAATTCTATATGTTACAATTTACAAAACTCCAATAAAGCTATGTTATTCAAAGCTGTGACGTCTGCCGAAGTTTCGATTCACGTGACTGCCTTTATTTTAATGTACTTGTTCTCCATCTTTACTTTGTAGACCTATCAACTGGAATAGTAAACAATGGAGATTAAAATATTGTGCTATCTTTTACCTTAACAAACATCATCCCATGATGATATGATTTTCAATAGTTTTTCATTAGAATTACTTAAATGGCTTGAAACATATCCTGATTAATGCAGACTTGAATCACCAAAAGAGCACCAATCTTCTCAAGATTGCAAATACGTCTTGTTGCTGAATGCTATACAAGCATGAAAACTAGTTCAAGCCAAGGCTTCCTATCACTTGACTCGGAAACATCCAAGAGTATAAAGCGATAGCTTAGTATTCAATTGATCATCTCCACGAAGGAACTGTATATAATGCTAATTTTCTTACTAGATAAATGTTTTCTAACAAACTTATGAACCTCTCAATCGTTTATTTATAGACGAATGAATATACTTAGTACAGCTGAGCAGTCATTCTGAAAACACTTCAAATATTAAAATGATAGAGACGATTTGTAGTTCAACATAAGGATGATGGTGATTCGATGTTCTCTGAGCTTTGATATTTCCAAGTGTACGTTTCATAACCAGGCTTGCTGATATCTTCAGCACTAACTTCATAAAGAAATGATGCATATTCGATTCTTACACGAATGTTTATAAAATGTTTTTATTGACCTTGGGTGTTGTCCATTTGTGAGTTGGAGAAGGGATTGTTATCACAACACCTAGACTTGTTGACCTTAAATTTCACTCGGTCAAGTTGGTAAGGAATTTGTTTTATAGTGAGATCGATTTAATTGTTACTGTCACACTGTGCATGATTATTGACCTCGTGTGGCAGTTCACATTTGGTTGATGCCTGACTGCTTTCTTCCCATGTCGATTCGAGATTGGAACTACCTACATCAACATGTGTGTTGATTAACTTTTCATTTGAATGTCATGTATTGAGAAATTGTCTTTCAGCTTTTAAACCCTACTCCTTGGAGGATTTCCACATTCTCCAAATGGAATTTGTGATCCTGGTTATCTCTTCATGTTTCGACATCAAGGAGGTTGTGTCATGTCACTTCACTGCTAGTTGTTGTGCATGAATTCTCTGATCTACCTGGCGACTGTATTTGTCCTGTATCCTTCTCTGTCAATGGATCCTCCTTTGCCTTCGTTACTTTGTGTGCTATTGTAATTCTGGAAGGGGGAAACAATTGGTTGGCAGTGTGTGAGACATCTTTGATGTAGGTCAACGCAATGCGTCTATTGATTTGGATTGATTGACTAGTCTTCTGTTTTGCTGATAAACACCTTTCAATAAAGTTGAGTGGGTAGTCATTGGCTTTGAACACGTTGTACATGTATTTCCTTTGAGCTTTGTGTAGTGTTTCAGTGGCTGTAATGTGTTTTGTCTCTTGAGATTAGTGTTTGTACATAACATTTCTTATAGACTGTAGGCTGATTACTGTTGTAGTTCAAAATTCAATCAGTATGTGCGGTTTTCTTGTACACTTCGCTTTCTGAAGTCCCATCATGTCTTCTACTGCCAAGTTCACGCATAAAGTTATGATATTAAAAATAGTACTATTTCACCATAATATAAAGGTTCTCTGCCAGCTAGCCCGAATGAATAAAATGTTATGTCAAATGAAGTCAATATGTGATGAAAATCTCTTCCCTGACTTGAGCAATTGGGTAACACACGAGTTCAATAAAAATATTATGTTAACATTTATATAAAGATCGAATTTGCTTGACTTCTTTGTGAATTTAGGGCTGAAGATGTCATTAAGTCTGTTAGTTGATTAGAGGCAATCGGCAGGAAGCCCTGGACGTAGGTTTCGTGCTTTTTGGCACTCGTCAGCTAGGCGTATCTGCAACGCCGACGGAACTGATGTCCTGCTTGAGATTGGAATCCGCGTGACCCAGTGTTGTGGGCGACAGTCGTACTAAGTAGCTCAGTGATAAAGTCGCTGACTACAACACTAGGTGACACGGGTTCGAATCTCAGGTGGAACATCAGTTCCGTCGAGGTTGCAGATACGCCTTGCTGGCGAGTGCCAAAAAGCCTGGAACCCAATTCCAGGGCCTTCTGCCGATTACTTCCAACCAACATTTACTAATGTGCATCGCGATGCTGAGCTTTCTAGATTGGTTGCCACATTGCAAATATGATCGATAGGATTCAATCTGCACTCAGGACTAGACAACATCAAATTGGTTGCACTCCCGTGACCAATTAATACATGCCATTAAGTCTGATGATGAAAAATCCACGTCAAAATATCGAAGAACACCAAATCACCAACATTTCAAATGTATCTCTATCTAATCATATGTGTTCTAATAAGTTACCTTTCACACGATGTATGGAATTGGTAAAGGTCGATACTTCACAATGTCCAGTTTAGCATAGCTGCATTTGAGAATATTTATGCATAATAATAATATAATATAATGTAACTGTATTTTGTATCAGTCATTTTACAAATACATTCGTCGTGTATTGTAGGTGCTATTGGAAATGAAGCGTGCTGCTCACCGAGCAAAATTCGGAATAGAAATGCCAGGTTCTTGAGTTCATCTTTCGTAACAGGAATTCTTTTATGTGGTCATTCGTGTCGTTATGTGTGTGTGTGTGTGTGTTTGTGCCTATCAATTATACCAAATAAATTATCTATTCATGGTCTCAATTTTTTTGCGACCAGTGTTTCGGTGACTACTTTTTATCCCTTTTTAAGTTGACTTTTGAATCTCAGATCTCGTTATCCCTTGTGTTCGCATATTTTTATTCTCTAACATCTTTTCGTAATCATTACATTAACCAATTTTGGTCTCATTTTCTGCATCCATCTCCACAACCAACTACGAACACACAAAGGGACTTTGTTCCAAAATACTTCTTATCTACTTCAAATTAATTTCTCCACTTGTTTTTTTTTTGTAATTTCAGTGTGCTTCCACGCTAAACTTGTTTTTATCAATTCGCGTTTTTCTAAAATTATAAACGGGTTAAACATAAACACTATTTTTTCCCCTAGTATAAACATGATTTTGATAAATAAACAACGCTTATTAAATCGAATATTCAGTTTTTATTCTGTTCGTTCCGGTTAGTTGTAATGCATGCGTATTCTGTCTATTTCGTGTGATGGTTTGATTGGGTACAAGTAAAACTACGAACGTTCGCAAACCTGAACGATAATCTATAGGGACTGAGTTATTTACGTGGTGATACTACAAGGCACATGCTGTGCTACAAAGGCGACTGTAGTCGAAAACCTGAAGTCTTCTCATGTCCTCTACCTTTAATGGCCGTGTTTTGTAGCTGTTCAGTGGAATAGAACTGATAACTGCAGCACAGTACATTCGACCCCTAATAAATAATCGTATACCTTGGTGGTGCCACAGATAACGTAGACTGCTGAAAGGCAATTGAGTCCATTGTAGGCGTGCAGAGGTTTCGTTGGCCACTAACCAACGCACCAGGGCTTATCCGACTTCCTAGGTAAGTGAAGCGTTCAACGCACTCAAACACTTCACTCTCTGTTGTTAGCTGGGGCATCGCTTGAAACCAGTCCTGGGGAAAATTTTTCTTTTGAGTGGTGAGAAATGCATCCCAAACGTTCTCAGATTTACACACTCTGCACCTCTATCGTCTACTAACATGGATCTGTTTACTTTCTACTTAATCAATACTTAGATTATCATTTTGACTATCTGGTTTGATAGACTAGTATTTATACTGGGTGACCGCGGTCCAAATTTTCATTATACCTCCAATCATCACCCAGTATATAAGCGCTAGCATTACCAAAAATGAAAGCAGAAACGAAAACGTTCTAGAGATTCTGGATTTCATCTCCTTCAGCTATCAAAATTAAAATGTTTTCACAAGCCCTTCACTTATTGTCTTATAGAAATGACTAGACGTTTGTGATTAGTCCTTGAGCTATAAATAAGATCTATTGCTTACAAGAGCTGTTTTTTTTAAATATTCTTGACTGATTTCATTTATTCCTTTTAATTTATTTCTGGTCAGTTGACTTCTGACTCATTGAAGATCGTCTAACCTGAATTTTTCATTGATTCCTTGGTAATGAACGCAGTTTATAACAATCAAAACTAACGTACTTTGTAAATCAGTGTGGAAGAAGTTGATTATCCAACGCATCGAGAAGAAAGACAGTTATAACTGTCTTTGTTGATCTCCTTCAACACTTGATTCTCCGTCTTTTCGACTGTGTGTTTCATATAACCTTAGTTCACATTGATTGTGTAAACAAGAGAGGAATGACTTCCTTAGTTTTATGAATGCCAAACAGAAGCTTAATTAGGCCCATTTTTTATTCAGTTTAACACCCAGAAAAAGTTACACGTGCTATAACTACTGTATAACACAAGTGTTGCTTTTTAATTGGTAGTTTATGGAGATGGATCGCTTCCAGAGTAGTTTTCATGATGGAATGACATCAGTTGGTGAATCAGATGAGTCAAGTATATAATACTTTAATTTTTTAGAAGAATGGTTGGTACTGTGTTTGAAGCTTCAAAACAATCACTAGAAAATGAGTAATCTCAAAAAGAGCTACGAGAGATTTCTTCAAATCTACCACTTGAACATGTTATATGTCTTACAACCAGTCGCATTGTGCTAACATCTCATTTTAATGTTGGATGGTTGAAGATGATTAGTAGAATGTCTTGGACCTAGGTTTCACGCTCTTTGGTACTCTTCAATAAGGTGTTTCTGCAACCTCGGGGTAACTGATTTCCTTCGAAAGACTCGAATCGGCATCACTCAGCAGTGTAGTCGGAAACTTTGCCACTGAGGTTATAGGCATATAAGTACGAACCCTGATTCCATGTCTTCCTACTGATTGCTTCCAACCAAAACTAAGACCAATTCAAGTGCTTCGTGATAGTGAAGCTCCCAGCTTAGTGACCATATTGCAAACTTACTCACTCCAGTGCCTAACAAATGTATCTCCGTTTTACTCACATTTCATTATTTTATCACATTTTTACATGAACACCCACGAGTCATGCTACGAAGACACCTTTGTTCAGAAAACCTGTAATCTCTTCATATATTCTACCTACAATGGCTATATTTCACAGCTGTATAACAGGATAAGGTGGACTGCATTGCTGAAAACTCATTCTTTGTTAGGTAATTGAGTATCTCATCCATTGGATAGCTGATGCTAAACGGGTTTTCTGTATCCGAGCTTTGTGGATGATACTCCTCTCTATGTAAGTGAAGTGGTCAACCCACTCTGCAACTTTACGCTATATCCTTAAACTAGGGTTTGGTTCAAAACACTCATGAGGCATCGTCTTGCATCTTATAGTGCACTACAGTGTTGCATCAGTTACCTTTCTGAACACATTATAAACGTGGTTGGTATATACATATAGTGTTGTTAAAAGTAACTATCTACTGAATATACATTTGAATTTTCGCTTGTTTATATCAATAAAATAGATTAATCTTTTCTCATGTTTATAAACATTGATAAGAAGATTAGGATCAAGTTACCTTCATAGGACAAAAATTTTTCATTATGAGTATCCTTGACAATATTTTTAGTAGTTTCGGCAACGGTATTAACATTAACATTAGTGGAACGTAAATATCATATTGTACTAGCGACTGTGTAAACAAATGCATAAAAATTTAAAACAAGTAACAAGTGTGAAAGAAGCAGGATTTAATGAATTCATAAACTTCAGTAGTACTCGTCAGCTGGATACTACTCTACATACTTGATTATATATACCGTTAAGCAATGGAAAACAGCATACATACATACATATATAACGTAGACTGAGACAGATTTAGGTGTAACAACATAGAAGTGAAGAGATTTTACGGGCCAAATGGTAATCCGGAGGATAGAAATGGATATTCAATGATGTAATCGACGCTCAATCGACCTAATTCTTACCCCTATGCCAACATTATTATTGTTATTATAATTATTTTCATGATGGATCGTGGCTAGCAGTGGAATCCAGGATGCGCATCTCGTCCCATTTGGGACTCGTCAGCTGGATGTACCTGCCTCCCAGTGAGCGTTGTTCCCCTGGGACTTGGACTCGGGAGCGATCGCTGACGGGTCCCAAATACAACGAAATGCGCATTCTGGGTTCCACTGCTAGCCACTATCCATCATTAACATAATTAGAATACAAGCAATATCGAGGCATCCGCACAGGAGCCCATATGCCAACAGAGACCGATCAGTTCGGTCCAATGAACGACGGTATCATATACAAGTAATTATACTAAAACTATAGCCGTCGCCCAAGAAGTGGCTGTCGTGGTTCGGTGGTGTAGTGGATAACGCTCCGGCGTTTGAAGCGATCGCTCCTGAGTCCAAGTCCCGGTGGGGACAACACTCACTGGGAAGCAGGTACATCCAGCTGACGAGTCCCAAATGGGACGAGATGCGCATCCTGGATTCCACTGCTAGCCACGATCCATCATGAAAATAATTATAATAACAATAATAATGTTGGCATAGGGGTAAGAATTAGGTCGATTGAGCGTCGATTACGTCATTGAATATCCATTTCTATCCTCCGGATTACCATTTGGCCCGTAAAATCTCTTCACTTCTATGTTGTTACACCTAAATCTGTCTCAGTCTACGTTATATATGTATGTATGTATGCTGTTTTCCATTGCTTAACGGTATATATAATCAAGTATGTAGAGTAGTATCCAGCTGACGAGTACTACTGAAGTTTATGAATTCATTAAATCCTGCTTCTTTCACACTTGTTCCTTGTTGTAAAAGTATAAAAAATGTTGCCTGAAAAACATACATCAATTCACTATGACACGAAATCAATGTTAGTACAATAGTGCTTATTCATACTGTTGTGGTATATGTATCTGATACTTGTTTTTAATGCTGAAGTTATTATCGAAACAAATGCAACTGTAAGAATAAGTCACCCGGAAGATATCAAAAAATTCCATCAGTCAATGTTAACCCTTCTCTCCGTGTTATGACTCTGATCTATATAGTCAAATCATCTACAAATCAGTTTCAGTAGCTTCTAACTACTTCATTAGTGATAGTATATGTCAGTATTCCATGATAATTTACTCACAAGATCTATCGCTAACGAAAATCCTCTCAATGCTACAGTTGGATAGCTTAAAAACTGTTCAGCTGTAAGAAATATCCACATGGACTATGTACAGTGTTTTTTGAGTTTAAAGGTGAATTCTTTTGTCATTTTTCTGTTGAAAAAGGTGATCAGGTGAATAAAATAAAGACGTTTATTCTTTATCACTAAAGTATTAAACTATTTCTTTGAAAAATGCAAGAATTACAATGAAGCAGCAGGAGAAAAAGGAATCCATTTTATTTCCATAATATCTTTTCAACTACTTACAACCTAGAGTAAAGGTCTAGTATAACAGCAACTTTAAGGAGAGTTAACAAATGGTTATAGTTACATATATAATCCAATGGAAGTTTCTCGAATGAACCCTTAGATGTTTATTCCTTCATTCTTGTCGTGAGTTTCTTTGAGGAACTACCATTAGATTATGTATGT